TTATTGCCAAGATAAAAGATATCTCGAATCGGCTGAGAAATTTAAAAGAGGGTTCATCTGAGAAAATTATTATAACGGAAATACTAATATTGTCATTGACTGAGAAGTATAAGCATTTTGTAAGCGCATGGTAATCGGTGCCGGATTCACAACAGAGTTTGAAGTAGTTGACATCAAAACTGTTGTTAGAAGAAAAGTGGTATAGTTCACATGAAGCAGGGTTGATGGAAAGTAAGAGTAGATGGGGAAGAAAGGTGAAGAAACCGAGTTGGTTGAATGATTTTGATATGGGACTGTTAGCACAGGGAGAGAAAGATATAACTTTTGAAAAGGCAGTAGACGGGAAGAATAAAAGTCAGTGACTGGAGGCCATCAATAAGGAATTGGAAACACTTAAAAGAAATAATACATGAATTGAGACAAAGTTGCCAAAAGGAAAGAAGAAAATAGACGGCAAATGGGTTTTTAAAGTGAAAACGGATAAGGATGGAGTAAAATATAAAGCGAGACTGGAGGTGAAAGGTTTTAGACATGAAGGAGAACTTAGACCATTTAGAATTATATGCCCTAGTTGCAAAATTACCTGTGACTAGTAAATATAATTTATACATAGAGCAAATGGATGTGAAAAGTCCTTTCTTGTGTGGAGATATTAAAGAAGATGTGTATTTAGAAAAACCAAAAGAAATGGAAGATGATGGTAAAGTCTTAAATAAATCTTTGTATGGCCTTAAAAAATCTCCAAGGTATTGGAATGAAAGGTTTAATAGGCAATGATTCAGGAAGGGATTGTTTCTAGTAAATGTAATTATTGTCTGTTCTATGTTCTGTTGAACGTCGACAATTTAATCCTAATTTCTGAAATAAAGATATAGGATATGAAAGAACTATTAAAGATTTTTTTTGATATGAAAGTATGAACGGCGTTGATACATAGGTATAATATAAAGAGGAAAGAAAATTCTATAGAACATAACCAAGAAGAACATTTGAGGGAAATATTGGTGATGTATAAAATGGAAAATTCTAGTCTGTTTCTACACCTATAGATCCAGGAATAAGGCTTTAGAAATCTGAACAGCAAAATGTACAATTAAATTAACTAGGAGACGTAGAAAACTCATTAGGAGTCTTAGGTATGCTATGTTAGGCACCCGGCCCGACATATATTATGCCTAGGCTATTTGAGTAGATTTCAAGCTTGTGCGAATGAGGATGTATGGAAGGGATTGAAAAGGATACTGAGGTACATAAAAGGGACTTTGAGCACGAATTTAATTTATAAAACAGGTATAGCAGAACCTTTGGTAGAATATACGGATGCAGATTGGGGAGGAGACCAAAGTGACCGTAAGGCTACATCAGGTTTATGGTGGTACAGTGTCATGATCTTCGAGTAAACAGCAGTGCGTGGCATTGTCATCTACAGAGGCAGAGTATGTAGCCTTAGCTCAAGGGATTTCTGAAGGGTGTTGGTTAAGGAATTTATTATAAGAAATGGGTTTGGAGTGTACTAATTTTTATTTTATTATTTATTTAATCAGTGATACATATTTTTTTCATATTTAATTTCGATAATTATAATTATGATAATGTAATCATACTTGAGAATAACCAATCTACTATCCATATTGCGAAGAACCCAGAACAACATAAAGCGATTGAAACACAGATAAAGTTTCATTTCGTTAGAAATAGAGTTAAGAAAAACATTATCTTTCTAAAGTATATAGAGAGTGAGAATCAACTTGCCGATATTTGTACGAAGGCGTTAAGTAAAATAAAATTTGTTTTTTTTTAAGAATTAATTTATTACTCCTAGGGTCGGAATTATTTGTGCGTCAAATTTTCGTACGTGGATGCACGAGTGAAATTCGAACGAAAACGCCTTCAAACTGAGCGCGGCCTTACTCCCGTTCACCAAAATGACTAATATGAGCATTGGGGAAGCATTGAAATTTCTCGAATAGTGATTTTACATTGTAATTATAGTTTAGTAATAATTATATGTAATTATAATTTTATTTATAAACAAATAAATGGTTGCGGCAGCTACTGTCTCAATATCCATTTTTGGATGTTGCTTGGGTGCGTGTTGAGTCTTTCGAGAATGAACACAAACTGAATGACCTATAGACGTCTTCGGACGTGTGGTCGGCTCGCGGTGAGGTGGTGATCCATCTGCCGACGTCCGCGGACGCATCCACCGTGTAGAGGAGGCATTACTTAAAATAATAGTCCAAGAGTTGTTTAGACATTTTTGAGTAGATATTTGAGGCACGATAAAAAAATTTCAATGCTTACTTCGCTTTTAGACCTACCTATCTAAGCAGTACAGAACCGCAGATTTTTTGAAAAAAAGCGGGGTTGAATCGACCCTTTCATTTTTAAATAAGGTTTTAGGCGTAAATTAACCGGTCGGTTAAACCTTGTTGACTCTAAACCACAATAATAATGAAATTAGTTACAGTCTAACAACCGTATAAAGACTCGGACGGTGGGAGATCTGTTCATTGATGGATGGACTCAGGTTGTCGTGCGGGCCCTCTTCTCATGCAACCCGAGCGGTAGGGCAGGTTATGGATAGCCCACCTTCAGTGGTGGGACCAACCGCTTGATTCGATCCCAAAAGCGGAGTGCCTATTGAGGCCCCAGACAAGAGAAGTTCCCGAACGCAAAGTCCCAGGTCCATTGTAACACCCGAACCCAACTTCCCATAATCACTCTCTCCTTTATTCCTATGCTACTTTCGGTCCATTAGTAGGAGTAGCATTGTTTTTCAAAAAAACTCACCCACAATAAAACCCTTGTCGCCGATTGTTAAAAATATTCCCCAGGAGCGTCCCAATCTCAACTGTGGGTGGGATAACAACGCACGACGATCCAGTTTTGCTGGCAAAAAAGGCATTGGTTTTTTTAATATTTCACGTTGAAACCTGCGATTTCGGTGTTTTGCGAATAAAAACTAACCTTTACCAAACTGTTACTCCGTTTTAGTATTAGCACAAAATAGAGTATTAGGTCTAGTGTTATACATTTAACACAGTATAGTTTAATGCTACATTTGTACTTTAAATGTTTTTTTCTTAATTATTGAAAGTCTGTCTGAAAACTTTTTTTTAGTTGAAAAGTTGAAGTTTCTGCTGTCGAATAAACCGGAAAAAATTAACTTTAGTAAAAACTTTATACATATAATTGTTAATAAAATAATTCAACCCCGAGAAGGGCTGGCATCCATTCCCTGGGAAATAAGGAAGAGAGGTATGACTCAGCGGATTTGTCGCTCGAACTGGAACACCCGTCTGGGTAAGCAACCTCCACCTTACAGATACAGAAGACCACGGTAAAAGAACACTACCTAATGGTTGTGTTGTGTTTCTGCTGGTGAACAGGGTTCAGGGGATTGGGTTCAGGTCGGCAAGGTGTAGATAGCTGGAGCAGGACACTTTACTCCATTCCACTTACACTTAAGAGCGGAGGCGAGCTGAGAGACATTTGAGAAATAAGTATTTTAGAAATGTATTGCTGTCACGCACGGCAAATAACGTGCGATACGTGCAACAGTAGTTAACGCTGAAAATTACGTATAGTAATTGCAAAATTCGAGTTCAGCTTCGACGATTTCCCCCGAATCTGTGCGGTTTTTGGAATAATCTCTTTAATATGATTAAGCATAGAATTATTAAAACGATGTGTTTGAAATGAAAATATATTTTCATCCTTGTTTACGTAAGTAAATACTAATAAAATAAAAACTTATACAATTCATCTATTGCATTCAATCTGTTGTACAGAACTTTGCATGAAAATTTCAAACAGGTACTAACAAATAATAACATTCTCTTAGCGATATAAAACAGAACAGGAGATACATGAACATCTGACACATATTAACCTAAGTAGGTCTAAGTATTTACAATTAGGCGAATTTAATAAAACATAATAATAATTTAATAATACAATGGACATTGTGAACATGTTTTATTTTATTGGCATACAATACTACATCCTTTTAGTCAATTTACAGCATTGATATTAAAATAAAACTTTTTTTGCACTAGACAAATTAAGAAAAAAATTACACATTCTGTCAGCATGTTTTTATAAATTCATTTCTAAGAATGAACACCTTATCTATAGATAAGTCATTTTATATTAAACAGATATGTTAGAAATGGAGAAAAGTTCCAAGCTAAAAAAGATTTGACTAGCGATTAGCTTAGACGTATCACATAAAAAAAAATATCAACGGAAATTTTATTTCACAAGATAGATAATAATCTGTTTAATAATAATTACTGTAGTAAAGTATAAGTACATAGGGTACAAAGTTAAAAAAACAGCGTCGCTCATTACCGATTAAATCGGATAAAATAGCGTTATCGTAGCCAAACGTAGGTACATGCCAACTGATATTGCACTTATCATTATATTATTTCCTTGTTTCAAACTTTACCGATAGTCAGATTTAAAACGATTCAACTTATTTCATGTAACGTGTTCTGGATACCAGTTTCAAATAAAAAATATTAGACGTTTGTATTAAGATTCTTGGACAAAAATATTTTGCAAATGATTCGTTTCCTTGGAATATTATATAGTGGGTACATTTATTCGGTACATTATGATCACTTAACGAACTATAAGGACACGGACACGCGCTACCCTGCCTATATAATTACATATTTCTGATTATATAAACATCCTCCTAAAATAATAAACTTACGCTGAACAACTTATAATTGAAATCAATAGGTTTTGTAAATGAATCTAGCTGTCTTCAGCTGAAACTAGTTTATCTAATATTATTTACTTATAAAAATATGCTTACTACTTTCATTTTAAGATTTACACTATATGAGCGTGATGTACACGTTTTTTTTCAGATTACTTAACTAAATCACATACAAAAATTTGAGTGCATACTTAAAATCATGAGATTAAAAAGTTATTTATGTATATTATTTGAAAGCTTGATTAAAATGCATTAATAAAACTCATCTGAACAAAGATAGATAAAACTAGAAGAACTAAAAACCATGGTAGTATAAAACAATTTTAAAAATATGTATGCAAATGCCACAGGATTGAATATCAAGTGCGAGATCCTGATCAATAAAATGAAGCTCTTTTTTTTTACAGGACAATTTGCTTTGATTTAAACAAAAATGTATTCTAATATAAGATATAAGGCATTTTTTATGCAAACTAAATTGTTGTATCAACTATTTTATACTTCTATTTCCGTCGAACTTACATACATTGTCTACTCATAACTAATTTGATTCACACTCTTATTCCCATATAGCCACAGTTTTAATCGGAAAATATATAATGGAATATTTTTAAATTGTCTACATCTTATAACGATTATAGTGATCAGGTTTTTGCTCATACAATAACCTGTCATAAAAATATTTACACTCATAAAATAATTTGACCTTTTACTTTATTGTAAATCTAAAGTCAAGTCCATGATTTTAAAACGCCCACATTTAGATTGATACAAGATAATAAACAGATTTGTATTAGTTTATATATAGGAATGTTGAGGACTTCATAGAAAAATAAAACAGACAGTATGGATAGGAATGTAAGTACTATGTTGACGAGGAAGGAATAATATAATTATGTGTGGCTAATTGTAGAAACAGTTATGCATCGCTGGTAGTAAATGCAAGTTTGACGCAATGTATTGAACATTTACTGAAAAATTATAACAAACAAAAGTTATGAAAAATACTTAATTACTTTCTTTTAAATATTCCATTGGAAGGGCAAACAGCTGTATAATAGTTATCCATATTCCATTTATTTAATAACACATTTTTGTGTTCTGTAATCGCCACATAGTCATATTGTCTTAATAATGCAGGTATTTATAGAAAAATGTTATGATATCTTGACATATACAATTAACTTATACATTACTGTACTTTCGAATAATAAAACATATTTACATTCAAGTGTTTGTGCCAGTGAGATCTTAATATGCCTGTTTATTCTACGGTTACCGATTTTGCGAGATTTCGCGGGCAATCAACATTACAGCCACGTAGTACTGCAATATGGTAGGCAAGAAGTTGCATTGGAATGACTGTGAGCACTCCTTGCAGACAATCAACAGTTTTCGGAATTTCGAGTGAACGGGATGCCAGGGCCATTGTTTCTTTGTCACCCTGTTCACACACGACTATTGGGCGACCTTGCCGAGCATTTACCTGTTGCAATGCATTCATGCATTTGGTGTAAACTGGATCACGCATAACAATCATCATTACTGGCATTGAATCGTCTATAAGCGCGAGTGGGCCGTGTTTCAGCTCTCCCGCCATAATTCCTTCGCTGTGCATATATGTAAGCTCTTTCACTTTTAATGCTCCTTCTAAGCAAGTTGCGAAGTTATATCCTCGTCCCATTATAAGCAACGATCTTTGGCGATATAAGTCCTCTGCCAAAGCTTTAACTTCAGAATCCAAAGCTAAAACTTGACGAATTTTTTCGTCTAATTCATGAAGTCCTGCAATAATGTCAGCCCGTCGTTTTTGTAATGATATGCGATCTTCACTAATAACCAAGGCAAACATTACCAAAGATACAAACTGAGAAGTGTATGCTTTAGTAGAAGCCACACCAATTTCAGGGCCAGCATTGATGTGAACACCACAGTGGGATTCTCGACAGATGGAACTGCCGACTGTATTGGTGATACCAACTATAAGAGCACCATGACGTTTACAATATCTTAAGGCCATCAGAGTATCAGCTGTCTCACCAGATTGAGAAATAAAAAAGCAAACATCATCTCTAAATACAGGAGTATTTCTATCTAAGAAATCAGATGCAAGTTCTACCATAACTGGTAGTTCTGTAAGTTCTTCCAACAACTGACGAGTAGCAACAGCACTGTGGTAGCTAGTACCACAACCAATTAACATGAGTCTTCGGCATCGCTTAATCTCAGGAATATAATCTTTGATACCTCCTAAAGTTACAGTACCATTTGCAAAGTTGAGACGACCTCTCATAGTATTTACTATGGATTCTGGTTGTTCAAAAATTTCTTTTTGCATAAAGTACTCATAGTTACCTTTCATTATCTGTTGCAATTCCAGTTTTAAGGTGAAAATCTCACGTTCATGAGGGTCACTACTACTGCCAGACAAACGGTGAATACTGAGCACACCATCTTTTATGTGGGCAACATCATCATCTTCAAAATATAAGACTCTATTAGTATGCTCAATAACAGCAGATGCATCAGATGCAAAGAAATATTCAACTTCACGCTCCTCTTCAGGTTGAAAGTGGGCATGACTGTTGACTCTAGGCACAGAGGGAACCACTCCTCGTGTAGCCTTATTGTTGGTATACATAATAGGAACATGATCACTAGATAGGCGACGGCGTGTCTTGATACCAACAAGCAAGGGACTGCCTCTACGAGTTGCCACACATTCATTAGGGAAATGGCGTGATTTGAAACATAAAGCAAAAGCTCCTTCAAGTTGTTGTATTACCTGTTCAGCAAGTTCTTGAAAGTTATAGTCCTTGTGCTGGTTGTACATATGATGAATCAACTTAGCAATAGCTTCAGTGTCAGTTTGAGATTCAAATGTGTAACCCTTATTTTCTAGGAATGTTTTCACTTCTTTGTAGTTGGTAATGATTCCATTGTGGATAACAACAAATGCATTATCTTCTCCGGAACGTTGCGGATGTGAATTGACGGCGCTCGGTTCACCGTGCGTTGCCCAACGCGTGTGCGCGATTCCACAGTGCGACTCGACACATTCTTCCACCAAGAGCTCGATGCTGCGCTCCTGCAACAGTTCTTCGAGAGCGGCTACTTTGCCGCTACGTTTCACTACCGCAATGTCTTTCTGATCAGCAGCATCGACAGCAACGCCCGCTGAATCATATCCACGATATTCCAAGCGTTTCAATCCATTTACAAGCAATTCCAATATTTCACGCCTAGTTTTTGGCGTTAGGTGATTAATGTATGCAAATATTCCGCACATATTTCCTGAACGAAGAACTGCTCGTGGAAGCGAGTGAACTATACCACGACGCGCGAGCGACTGTGACTACTGGAATGTACTGTAGATATTGAAGGCCTACGCGTATTGCTCCTACCACTAATAAGTTACTTTCACTTACGGCAAAGCACACGTCATCGTGTTTCGTTATTAACAGTTTGTTGATGTCGTAAAATAAATACAGCGGCGACCGACGGTGGAAACCTGTCTTTCACATCAAACACGGCAACATTTTTGTTGCTTTGGCTGTCATTGCTGTCACTGTCATTGTCAGTGAGATTTTTTTTTTATTTCTTTACCCATTCTGGGAAGTTAAAGGGTACTGTGCTCATACAGTTTTTTGTCAGTGAGAGACATTGGTGTCGATTCTGGCGTGATTCTCTAAACTTAAAACTAATTTTAACATCAATCTTTCATTTTCATTCCGTATAGAGAATGACAAGGATACACTGTTGTCAAATTAGAGTTTAGGTTTAGAGAATCGTGTCAGAATTGACACCATTGACATCCAAATTTTTTGATATTGTTTACCCATGTGGAAGACAAAGAAAACTTACAGCATACAATCTTATCTTTAGTATCGATAGTTATGCAATTTTCATGCTATGCCTTGATAGGCGTAACTGGTATGATTACAGGAATCGAGCTCAATTGCTTCTTATTTATTAGAATGAAAACACAATCTATTTACACGCTATATCTATCGTTTCCAATACATTATCGGGACTTCGAGAACGCTAAAAAGTAGAGAAATAAAAAAAAACAAAGAAAAAAATAATAATAATTTTCAGTGACATAGGTGACTCCCATATTAGAGAATAAAGCAAATAATGGCAACTTTATTTTTTGTAGAATAGGCAGGTGTCTATCTTTACATCCTACATCTATGAGTAGGATGTAAAGATAGACACATTACACTACAAGCAGTCCTCGACTTACGCCGTTTCAAGTTAGGTCGAACAATGTTTTGACACTATTCCTCAAACATACGTCAATTATTTCGATTTCCGGCATAGGAGAATTCACTTGTCGCGAGGTCAATGTCCGTGGGGCCGGCGGGGCACGGTGTCGGTGAGCGGGGATCACCCCGCACATGCTGCTGATTTTGTTTATTTAGTTCAGGAACAACGGACAATCAAGACCTAATACATTATTGTTTTATATGTAACATGTTTCCTCTCGCTATACTACAATTTGTGGGAGTGGATTCTTGAAATGGGACGGAAGTGAGTAACAGGAAGCCGCGAAAGCACGCGCTATTTGATTTGATTTTAGCACATAATGTTCAAATGGCTTATTCCTTTTGTAGTAGGTTTTATTTCTTTTTTTGATGTGTAACATCTTTCCTCTCGCTTTCGTGCAATTTGTGGGAGTGATTACGTGAAGTGGGACGGAAGTATGTAACAGGAAGTTTGGGAAGCGCGAGCTATTTGATTTCAGTTTTTTTTACATAGGTACATATTAAAGTGAATTTTAATCTAACTATGGTAGTTGTGCAATGTAAACAATGCCTTTTTTGGTCTCAAAATCGTAAGTTGAGTAAATTTGTAACTTCAGGCAGATTACTAACAAATAGTTACACGATTACATACCCGTCATAGATGCAATTCGCCCGTAAACATCATCCAAATCCCACAAAATTCGTCCAGCTTGGTAGTCTTCGAAACATCGCTGGAAAACTTTAAAAATCACTTCCCGCGTGCCACTCCGATTTACTTTACTCATTTTTATACCTTTCTGCGTAGTTTCGTCTTAATTTATTACAGTTTAATCCAAACAATAAAAAATACAAAAGGAAAACTGTTCCACAACTGAAACTCGATGACAGCTGATGTATAATGCGATTCAACTAAGAATAGGACCGACTGGGCGCCATATTGTGATGTCATAGCTGTCAATTCAAACCAAATAGGTAGTGAGAGAAAAAAAAAGTTTTTGGAGTTTACTCCTTAAGAATCGATTTGCATATATAAGGGGCCCGGTGTGAGAAAAATGTGAGGAGTAAAATCTATCGATGAGTGACCTCGTTACATTTTTGGTGCGCATCCTGTTCGAGCCAAAATGACTCATAAATCCGATAGCTTAGGTGCAAAAGAATTAAATTGAAACTACAGTGTATTTTGTTAGACCATAGATTTCTTTATTAGGTAGGTGACGTTTTGCCTATATGTAGCTCCAAACATATATACAAGCGTGATGCAACGAACTACAGCGCCATCTATTTTGATACATATGAAATAAAATTTTAAATGCACAAAGGTCTGAAAAGGTCAGACTGATGTCAAATTTAGTTTTAAGTTTAGAGAATCCTGCTAGAATCGACACCAATATATTATTATGTACTGTACTAATTCAAGAGTTTCGATTCGATTCGATTTCGATTCACGCACGAAAAAACATGACTCATGCGGCGTTACCTCGCTCTGAGGTGTTCCATTTAAGGCTTGAAGTGAAAACGAAAGCACGCAACGAGCGACAAAGAGGCATAATCGGCCTACGCTTTCGGCTGCGTTCGACATCTGTCTCTCTCCTACTTGAGTGAGCGATGCGTCCGCGAGGACAGCTGCTATACAATAATATACGTAGTATCTCTAACTAGTCTGTGACAATAATACATTTACATGTTTTCGTCAAGTATAAAGTCCAGTGAAAGTAAATGTGGTGTCAATTGTGTAGCAACGATAATTGCAGCGATGAAGGTAATAATATCACACATATTTAAAAGTTGTAAAACAATAGGCTAGTTGACTCATGTCGAATTGTTTTAAATAAATGTTTATTTCTTAAAGTATTACGTCTAAGGAACCTAAATATATCGATTTCACTTCATAAAAGCAGAAGATTGCTGTAGAAATTTAATTTAAAAAAATATTATTTAGTCTATATTTTTTAAACACTAAAAACGCTGTTCGCCACATCCGCCATGATTGTGACGTCTCTTATCTAATGGTAAACAACTAAATGTCATTCGCATATTACTGTGGGTGGATTCTTTCGTCTGACTAAATTTATTATATTATATTATAACACTTTTAACTTTAGAAAAGTTTCCGTTTACTGCTTTTTTTTGGAAAAACTAATTATGGATGCCGGCTTTGTGAAAACAGAAAGCACAAATCTGCCAAGAATTAACGCATTGATGGTTGGTGAATTTATTGCACTAAACCTCGATTTCTGCTCTGCGGAGCAAAGAAACGACAAGGCATCTTTGTAAGTACAGTGTATTTAGTATTACAATGTAGTAATAAACATAAAACTGATACAACATATGAATCAGTGTAATAAAGTTGCGTAGGTTAATTTCTTTCGGCACTTTAATCCACAACTTTCCTGGAGTCTTCAAGGATGTGTTTTTATATTCTCATACAATACAATAATGATAATTACTTTATTTTTCGTGGTATTTATTAGAAATCATGTTTTTTTTATAAAGTCATTTAAGTTATTTTCTACGTGCTTACGAGTTTTTGTTTACTGCAGTTAACGTCATAGCATAGATAATCTATAGACTAAAATGGCCGACAGCGTTTTTGTATGTCCATGAAAAATCTATTTTAAAATTAAAGATTTGTAGCTTTTTAGGTCTCAAAAAAATACAATACATTTTTTTTCGATCTAATAGAACATTTAGAACCATTGACCATTTAATTTTTTTTTTCCAAAAAGGGTCAACTAGCCTATTGCTCAAAGCACATTCATACTTGTAAAAACTATGTGCATTGTAAAAAAACGTTGTCACGTTCAACTATCGTCAATAAACCGACTTTACAGACAACCGATTTTTATCACAACTTACAAAGTACGTTATGAATCAGCGTTTTCAGTATTTGTTGTTTAAATACATATTTTGAAATTGAAGTTTTGGTATGTTATGTGCATGTGGCACAAACCAAATTTTCACATTCATAACTAGTTTTTAGTTATATAATTCAGAACCTCCTCATTTTTTTCAGTAAAAAATAAGGTATCTGGGAAAGTTTATTTAACCATCAGTACTGCCCAGTAAAAAGTTCTATTTTTTGCTACTGTCAATCTACTGTAGACTTATCGCAGTCCAACTGTACCATGTTATTACACATCTTAGTACTAGTACATCCATGCTTTATAAAGATACCGGTCTTGGCCAATATGGGAATCTCCAAGGCCGTAAAAATATACAAAAAAAAGATACCGGTCCAATTTGACACTGCCTTAAGTTTAGGGCATGCAATGTTTGTGTGAAACGAAACGTGTATACATCCGGTTTGTAGTTGACGCGAAAATTTATACCGTGACCGTGTGTGTGGTCAGCTCAGCAGGTCTATGCGTGGTAGAGGTGTAAAAGTAACGAAAAAAAGCGTACCCGTATGTATTCGTTACTTTAACAATTAGTACTCGTTACTATAGTATCGTTACGTTACTCGTTACTTCTCATAAAATAATCGGTTTTACTATTTTGAAATTTTTAACCGTGAGCTTATGTTATATGGGTGCGGCCAGAGTGCACTCAGATTCAGACTCAGATTCAGATTTCGAAAACAAGCGCGAGAAATAAACAGTGTAGTCTAAGCAGGTTGCTTGCTTTTTCTCGCGCTTTGTTTTCTGAGTCTGAATCTAAATCTGAATCAGGAGTGCAATCTGGCCGTAACCTTCGACTACACTGTTTATTTCTCGCGCTTGTTTTCAGAATCTGAATCTGACTCTGAATCTGAGTGCACTCTGGCCGCACCCTATCACAATAACATCGCAATCCATTATTCATCAATTATAATGATAAAGCAACAAATAGGTGTCGAAAATTATTGTATTGATAATAATACTCAAATAGCATTCTAACGATAAATCAACATAAAAATAGTTTTGCTTAGAATGCAATTAAACATAACGAAAGAAAGAACTACCACAAAAATCTTTTGTTCTCAAAATAAAATGATAAAAAAAAAAATTTGGCTTTTTCGATAAGCTTCTGTGAGGTAGTCAACACGACAATAAAGTTCTCACGTCCATTTGACCGGAATAGCGTATATTTTAACGATTCCACTAATTCTTCAGTTACGCAGACGGTTGTAACACAAAATCACACCAATTTTATTTCACAATATCAACTATAAACGAATTTAAAAATAATTAAAATAAAACGCCAACCGCACTCCATGAAATCCCGCCAAAAACTCGTACGTACGTTTCTAAATTCTCCGAATATGCTTGCGCATGCTTAAAACATACGATCAGCAAATGTTTCTATACACACATCAACTGTACTTGCGTAAACTGAAACATATAGATAGTCATACTACGAAAAATGCGAGTAACGAAATTTGTGTGTAACGTTTCGTTACTCGGTACTAGATGGCGCACCCGTTACTCAGTACCGAATACATACGGTTTGCTACAGCTCTAATGCGTGGTCTGATCTAATAATGGTGGAAGATTGGAATTGTTTGTCCAACAGTGTTTTTCACTGGATAATTTGTCCCTACGCTTATCATACCCACCATGGAATACCGGTTTCCAGGAATGCAAAATAAAATCCAAGTAGAATAGTGCTCTTAAACTTAAAAATGAAGTAGGTATAGGCTTAAGCCTATAACCACAGTTTGGTGAGTTTGAGTATGCTACGTGAAGGTTAACCTTCGCCTAGCATACTCACCAAACTGTGTGGAAAATGTATGTTAGCTACAACTATAATAATTCATCCATACTTATATTATTAATGCGAAAGTGTGTCTGTTATCTCTTCATGCTTAAGCCGCTGAATTGATTTAAATAAAATGTGTTATATTATAGATAGTGTAGAGTCCCGAGAAAGGACATGTTACGTTAAGGACACGTTAAGAGTCCTGTCCCCGTAGCATGAGCACCACATTTTACATTATATCACGTTTTTTTATTGCAGCTTTCTGTCAAACTTCATACTAATTTGTTAATTTAGCGTGATAAAATCGAGCTATATACCTATTATAATGCGATGTCATGCTAGAGGGGCTGGGTAGGGATGTTTATCTCGGAAATCATCCTTTAAGGAGGAAAAAAGGGGGTGCAAGTTTGAATGGAAACAAATGGAAACGTGACAAACAACGCAAACAAATCGCGAGCACCTGCTTGTAACTCATATTCCAAATAAACTGTTCTTCACCTAGCATACTCACCTCATTGCGGGAAAATAGAACTAGTTATAAGTTCAATTTACATCTCAATGCAATTTCTACACTCTCGAAAACATTCACAGAACCATAATCGAATTTTCCCTTATAGCGAAAGACTGCAAGGCAAATAATAACTGTGGTGACACCAGTGGGTCAAACCGGTGGGGGGCACGGGTAAATGGTGATCTTATTGCCTAAACGATTGTTAAATAAAACCACGTGAAGTACCAGTAGCTTCTTTATTGGTTTATCAGGATAAGGTCTTTACAAAATTATTGAAAAAATTACAAAGTTACATTTAGCTTAAAATGAGTCTTGAGTTTGTTTTCCGTATGTATGTAAGATATTTTTATTGAATATTGCTCGAACCACCTTGAAAATTTAAACCTTTACACGCAATTACTACGTTTGATAAATATATCGATTTACAACGGTAACTAGGAACAGAAATTACATTGCTACGCTTTACAAAGACCTCAGTTTCTATCATACGTTTTAAACGCTTTACTCATACTGCTAATTCAACTACAAGGTATTGGTTCACAACCAATATCCCCATTTTCTACACTCTGATGTTTGTCCAACTTAATTACTAATCTTCAATCATTTCTAACAACAGAATAATGATAATAATTCACAAATTATTAGAGTTACAATTTTGTTAAAAAAACATCAGTAGTTAGAAAATGATCAATGTACTTCACAGTCAAAAAAGTCTAACATTACAAATTCAATGAGTTTATTGAAACAAATGCTTGGGATATTTTCGACAACGACCAATCAAACGCCAAAAATAATACCTGTGTAACACATACAAAACAATCTAACGCCTGAGGAACCGGAGGTAGCATTAGTAGACAACAAAAAAATTTAAATGTCAAAACGTGCGCGAATCGGTTTAAAATTTCAACGTAGACGCGATCACTTTTCCTCCTAAATTCTTTCCGATGGAAAAACGAAACACAACGAGCCTTCAATTGCGGAAACTCAAACTCAGCGAGCGACTTACGACTAAAAGAATCACAAATACATAAACTTAACACATAAGCGTAACTAAAACGAACTAACTTGAATAATGAGGCGCTACGATAAATGCATGCTTCGGGGGCGAGCGTGGGGCGATGACCAGTGAAGAAGCTGCTCGTGCGTGGAGGCGGGGGCGGGGCGGGGCCGGGCATGGCGCGGGGCCGGGGCGGGGGCGCGGCGAGCGGGGGCCGGGGCCGAGGCCGGGGCGGCCAGCGCACGGCCCGCGCGCGCCCGCCTGCTTGCTTCAACGTGCCCCATAGTTATTTCTTCTTTTGGGCCTTCTCGGCGGCTTTGGTGATTTTCCCCGTCGTAACTTCCTTGAAAGTTACGCTCTGCAAAAGAGGATCCGCTTTGAGTATCCGGCTCGAAGGACCAATATTCAACCTTCTACCCAATTAAGTATGTTAGGTATGTTTATTATAACAGTTGTACGTTCGCGCGGAATAAAACTGTTCAAGGTAAGTAAGACAAAGTAAAAATGTAGCAATGTACGTTATGAAGGTCTATCACAATAATACACAAAAAATATAAATGTAATGTATGTTACATTGGGGGCGCTACGATGTTGCGCGCAGTCAGCGAAATATAGCAATACCTAATGTACTCCTCGCAAATACCTAGACGGCGATTTTTTTTGAGCAGAGCCCCCTTGAGCAGCTTTTGAGGCTGACTGGGTGTGCGAGATTTGGGGGGGAGGAGCCCCACATAACTTCGTCTCTCACCCAGGGACGAGGTACGACTATGAGAGTCAGGCTTTTTCATAACCCGTGAAATAATTTGTAATTATATATATCAAGGCAAACTTCTTGAGCAACGACCATAAACAAGGAAGCCTTCGCAGTAGCAATTTTACATACAAAAACATGTACTGTGCAAGTTTATTTAGTTGGTGGTTTGGCTCAAGTGTGCCGCCATCTGTAGATACCTTGATGACGCCGACGGCGACAGTCTGGCGCATGTCGCGCACGGCGAAACGTCCGAGCGGCGGGAACTCCTGGAACGACTCCACGCATAGTGCTTTGGTCGGCACTAGCATCACGATGGCCGCGTCCCCGGACTTTATCGACTTCGGGTCCACCTCTGTTGTCTTACCTGCACACAATATCCGGGATAAACATTACAGTATTATTGAAGTGAAACTTTTTAGGCACGCTTGACTTTTTCTATCTTTTTTTCTATCAACAACAAATCTTCAGGTTAAGTTTATGATTTTCAGATCACTGGAGCTAAAGAAGTTTCACTTCAGTCGTGTGGTCATCATAAGCGATTTTTTTTTTGTTTACTGTGTATTTAAATTGAAATTCAATTGGACTGGCATGTCATATTATACAAATACTGGGTTTTGTCAGTTATTTTAAGAAAGAAGACTGGGCAAATTTGTATAGGAGTACATCCAATAACCAATACCGTCACTATTGTGGTATTTATGTAGGGATTTTGACGGACCAAAAACTACCCATAAATCATTTCTCGTTTGCTCTGACCTTTATGGTACTTTGAGCTGCATAGCTAAATCTGGCTTACAATATTATAACTACACTTTTTCTTCAATTATTGAGAACCAGCTTTAAAATCAGGACCCATATTTATTTATTTATAGAGGAAGACCAACAGCTGATAATATATTATAAGGTTACATAAAATAGCAGAAAGTCATTTATAGGTCCTCACCAACAACTTGAATAGAAATAGAAAAATCTTACCAGTACGGCGGTCGCACTTTTCTTTGATCTCGGCAAATTTGCAAGCGATGTGCGCCGTGTGACAATCAAGCACAGGTGTGTATCCGTTGCTAATTTGGCCGGGGTGGTTTAGGACGATCACCTATGTACATAGAAAAATGTTTCATAATAATTTTAAGCTGGTGCTGTGTAAAAATGATGTCATCAACAAACCGAAAGCGGAAAACCATAAGTATAGTTTTAATTTCTACCTATAAACAAGTTTAGATTAATGTTGACTAAAAGAGTGTAGGTATATCGATTAAGTTTTTGTTGTTGCTGCCGCTATTGCTAGTGGTGTAATGGTAATACTAGCAATAGCGGCTGTTATGTTATTTGATTTAAGTCATTAAAATTTCAAAGTAATCCATTTCACAATTCACATTAAATATTCTATAGTTTTGGTACAAACAGATAGTATCTATCTATAGATATTGAGCGATAAATGCATCATGTGTTTTTTAACACGAAAGCCAAATAAAGGTAACCCGTGAAACAACAAAGTGTATCATTGGTCACGGCAGTTGACGTTCAAATAATATTTAATGAAAATGTTATTATTGAATTTCGTGATGTATAATGATGATAATAAGTAATTAGAACATGTTGAAGTTATATTTTAATTTCATTCCTAACGAGACTGACTTGGTTACTGAAGTACTTTTTTCCAAACATGCTTGGAAATGTCAACATCATTTTGACAAACTTCTTTGAGATACCCTAAATCGAAATTGCTGTACCTACTGGCCGAACACATGCGAGCAGCGGTCAGCAAAAGTTGTATGAAAATTCATATCTGTCGTGTTTTGCTGCTATATAACATATCTGTGGTGTAAATTTTTAAAACTGGAACATTCTTTGACTCCGCCGAAACATGGCAACCAAGCAGGTAAGTTATCAAAAGTTTTATTTAAATTTCGAACGGGCTTGCACATACAGCTGTATTTATGCACAAAAAAAAAACAAATTATTCTGTGTAATTGTTCGTTGTTAGTCATTGATGAAAAGTAGGTAGGTAATTGTATGTAAGTTATGCCTAGGTACTACTTTGTAGTTATAATTTTCGCGCATTATTGGAGAAAAGTTCAGCAACATCCCTTCTCAATTTCTGACGCGCTCGATTTTTTTTCCTATTCCCCTTCGTGCGGCCACTCCCATATGCAAACCACGGCAGATCAATATTTTTTTCCGTTCTTAGAAACGTTACCCTGAACTCTCTAGTAGCTTAGGACACGACCAATAGTCATTGCCGTTCGTTGATTTTTTTTTCACGTTTGACCCTAAATAGAGAGCTCAGGGGGCCATTCGCCTGACGGAAATGCTAACGCTTTAGATTTTATTTTGTTATTTCTGACCGCTAAAGGTTTTCAAATACCTCACGCTCATTTTTTTAAATGTTGTCATTACCAATGGAAAAAAAAGAGCGCGAGGCATTTGAAAACCTCAGGCGGTTAGAAATAACAAAATAAGATCGAAAGCGTTCGCGTTTTACAAAGCATTTCCGTTAGGCGAATGGCCCGCAGGTATGGCGGGAGTACTTATCTAGGTGCAAGGTTGTCCTTCCATATATGTTAACCTGCCGCGCTGAGTAAATCCAAAAATCCCCTACCATTAACATTTTCCATGAAGTGGAAATTCTTGGACTCAAGAAGAATGTTTATATTATTATCTTTTCTACAATTTTAAAATTTGATTCAATGTAGTGATAAAGTTTCTTGATAAGAAATAATCTTAGTCATGTCATGATGTGATGTTCTATAGATACGCAGGCTTAGATTAAAACAAAAGGGGTAAGTATGTATAAGAAAGTACAACTGCATATAAGTCAATAGCATGCCGTTACTAAAGTCTCAAATTGTTTAAATTTATTGTGAACCTTATTACAAGCAAAGATAAAGCTACAATGTCACTTGAAGAAATACACAAATTATGGCGTATCTATCGTTAATTAATACTTGTACATAAATTAATCATCCAACAGATACCAAGATATCAAAGAAATACTTATCTGATATCTGTTAAAATACTTGTGACGTTTTATAATTCTTAGTACGATATTAACTAGCGTTAAAATTTTAATTTATCTCCTGTGGATATTGGAGTTTATTAGAATTTACTCCTTAAGAATCGATTTGCATATATAAGGGGCCCGGTATGAGAAAAATGTGAGGAGTAAAATCTATCGATGAATGACCTCGTTACGTTTTTGGTGCGCATCCTATGTCGCGCAACTTTGACAAACAAAGATGACGGATTGACATTAATAAAAATTTTAAAATCTGAACTGAATTTAGATATTGTTTCTGATAGAGCAATGGGGACAACGAGGTATGGTACAGTCGCCATCAGATATATCTGAGCATACAAGATGACCAAATACATCTGAACAGTTAAAATGTCAGTAAGTTCTATACACTACAAGTGACCATAAATATCTGATCATTCATTACTTCAATAATATCTGAGCAGATGCCTGTCAATAATATCTGAACATACAACTTTTCAAAAATATCTGAACAATTTTAGTAGGACCTCTTAATTATTTATTTATAATAAGATGACGCTGGCAGTTAAACACTTTCCAGTTTTTATTCTTATCACCTCTGTCATGTGTCATGCACAAATAAATTCAAGCAGCTTGCTTACGTATTAGTTCATACCATAAATTAACTATAATTAATATGAGTTCGTACCGTATTGATGCGGAAATGAAACATAAAATAATACAACTAAAAAATGATGGTTTATCCGTAAAAGATATCGCCGATGAGCTAGGGATAGCCGTAAGTATCACGGAGAAAAATGCTAAAAATCAATTGCCCACAAAACATGAAACTTTATTCACAAAGTATAAAATTGTATTTATTTCAGAGAAATACTGTATATTTATGGCTAGAAAGATGGCAGCAAGAAGAAACATTAAATAATCATGTTTCATTTGGTCGCCCGCGTACTACAAATAACCAAGACATAGCTATTATAGATAAAGCCAAAAATGACAGATTTATAAACACTACACAATTTTCAAGCACATTCGAAATATCCACTAGCACCATTAGAAGACGATTAAAAGAAGGAGGTTTAAAAAATAGAGTACCGGCAAGAAAACCAACTCTCACGCCAAGGCACAAAATGCAGCGGCTACAATTTGCAGCTAATTATTTAAATTTTAATTTTCAAAACGTTATTTTCATGGACGAAAAGGTTTTCTGCTGATGATTTCTGAGATAATGGGCGATTAAGTTTGTGGCGACCCGAAAACACACGTTACTTAGAACAAAATGTGCTGCCTAATCGCCGGAGTGGACGTATTTCAATTGGATTTTGGGGATGGATGTGCAAAGATGGTCCTGGTGAGCTTGTGGAAATAAGTGGACGAATGAATGCAATGAATTATAAGGAACTTCTGGTAGATACTTTTCTTCCTACAGCTCAAGTTTTTTATCCAGAACAACAAATTACATTCCTTCAAGACAACAGCTCAGTACATAATGCTCGTACAGTACAGACATGGATTAATGAACAGAGAGAACTAACTTTAATCAAACTACCACCAAAAAGTCCAGACCTCAATCCCATCGAAAACCTTTGGGGAAAAATGGTGCAAGAGTGGGATGGGAATCAATGTCGAACAACAGAAGCCTTAAGGCGACATGCAAATGATGTTTGGGAATCGTTCAGAGGTCGAGGTTTTTGTGAGAAGGTAGTTGGTTCCATGAGGAAACGTTTACAAGACGTATTAAATGCAGAAGGAGGTTACACAAAATACTAATGTTTCATGAGAAGTATATAATTGGTCAGCCTTTAAATAATTTGGTCGGCACAAAAAGATTTTGTAAGCAATTTAAAAAATCAGGCAGCAATCCTTGTTCGGCAAATAATTATATAATGGTCAAAAATTTAATATGAGAGTATACAAGATGGCTCATTTAAATGGGTCAGTATGGGAAAGTCTGAACTATAATATATACGAAGATCTGTTCTTAGGAACTATGTCATCGATTTTAATAAAAATTAAAACTGCATTCATACATTTAAGAAAAACCCTGTGGTCAGCTCGGGAATCGAACCCGGTCGTTTTGAAAAAAAAAACTAACACTATTTTCTATTTCTATTTATTAGTAAGATAAGTTACCTATACGTGTTAAATTTTGTATTAAAAAAACGGTGGTCACTTAGAACAAGTCGACAATATACGTTACGACCGTCTACGTCTGTTAGAAATTCCCGTCTAAACGGGCATTGATAATATTGGGAAATTATTAAGCTAATAATAATACGCTAATTTTAAGAACCATACTAATTGCCTGATAACTTTTTGATTTGATCTCATGTATCATTATACTAATTATAAGAATAAAACATTTTGTTACTATTTAATTTTAAACTCATTGTATCAGAAGTTGCTTTTTTTTATTTCGATCTCGATTATAATTTTATTATAATAATAAATACTTAAGCTTAAGCATCTACTGAGGTAGGTACCAAGTTAATTCGTTTACATTTTTTGATTATTTAACTGAATAAAAATTTATAAGAATTAAAATTGTTTTTTATTAATTTTCACTTTTATAAATAATACATACCCAAACCAAACAAACACATCCACTCAGAGAGTAAATAAAATTTTTGTAAGGATGGCGCCCAGTTTGAGCATGATAAGTTCAGAATTCCATTTTCCACTGCAATGGAAATAGTGGGACAAATGTTTCCTCCAAATTATTACTTATTTCTATTGCGGTTAAAAAACGCAGTTGTCTTATTTTGAAATAAATTTCTAAGGAGATATTGAGAATTTAATCTATAGAATAAAATAAAAACATAACTTCTCGTTAATTTTAAAAAATAAATAGAGAAAAAATTAGGCATCTTCCATTTCTACTACTCGTGGTGACCCTACACGAATGATTTTCTGATAGATTTTTATTCCCTTCTCATCGTATTTATTCCTTATATTTAGCCTTTGTTTTTAGTTTATCCTTTCAATCACGCAGTAACAAAATATGTAAGCCCAGTGCATGATCTGCGTAGATACATAATCATTGACGTGTTCAGATATTTTTGAAAAGTTGTATGTTCAGATATTATTGTCAGACATCTGCTCAGATATTATTGAAGTAATGAATGTTCAGATATTTATGGTCACTTGTAGCGTATAGAACTTAATGACATTTTAACTGTTCAGATGTATTTGGTCACCTTGTATGCTCAGATATATCTGATGGCGACTGTACAACCATTGATGCGGTATTTTCAAGATTCGTGAACCACGTATCTACGAACGTCCATGTGTCTTATTTTAGTTACCATAAACCACTTGTCACTGTAATTAATAATGCAGACAATGTTGATTTAATTAATATTTAAAAAAATGATAATAGTCTGATAATAATAATTACATAATTTATCAACATTCCTAATGATATATTTATGTACATCTGAAATTGACTATTGTAAAAAGTTTAATGTAAAATATTTAGTCGATTAGTTATAATAAATGTATATGAAATGAATAAATATATATTTAATATTATTTTCATTAATTTGTTAATTTACCCTTTCATACAGTATCAATCTTTTTTAAGTTAAACTCTTTTTGCGTCTGGTGGACTATCGAACTTAAGGAGTAAACTCCAGTCGTGCGTCGGAGCTGACACACACATTTTTTTTTTCATAGTGGGTAGGACAAAGCAATGAAATAATATATATAGAAAATTACAGAAACAGACAAGTTCCTAATAAAAAAGATTAAATCAACTTTCAAAATATTTTGCAGTTGATAGAGGTTCACACAATAAGATTAGATCACAATCTAGATATAAATTTATAAAGATAGCGATGGTATTTCAAATCACGAAGATTCGAAGAAAGATAATGTCTCTGAAAAAGTTAATAAGGAATAGTACCTACATGGATTAGTATTTTAAAATAAAGCATTACAAAGCATTTATTCCCCCCATTTTAAGTATAGAGCGCTCTATCACATTATTTTTGCCTTGTGTAATTGTGTAAAGGCCAATCACAAAAAAAAAGTGAATTCGAATAATTTGAATTAATAAACTTTGAAAGTTACCTGAGCAGTGAAGTCGGAAGCGCCCTTAGGAGGCGCGTTCTTAGAGTCGCCTGCCACATATCCGCGGCGGAGTTCCTTCACTGATACATTCTGTAACAACGATTAATATTATATTAAATAGATGTTTTACTAGGTCTGGCCGTGGTTGCGATAAGTAATTAAAACCTTGACGTTGTCGCCGGGCATGGCCTCTTGTAAAGCCTCGCAGTGCATCTCCTCCGTCGTGATGGCGGGGCAGCGTGAATACCAACATCACACCTGCGTCCTAAAGTCGTGTGTTTGCAGTTACCTATACAGTTCTATAGTTCTGACCTTGAGGTTGAAGCCCACGTTGTCGCCGGGCAAGGCCTCATGAAGAGCCTCGTGGTGCATCTCTTCCGTCGTGATGGCGGCCGGTGCGAATATCACCACCATACCTGCGTATTATTATAGTCGTGTGTTTGCATAGGTTCCTATAAAGTCCTATAGTTCTGGGACCTTGAGGTTGAAGCCCACGTAGTCGCCGGGCATGGCCTCGTGTAAAGCCTCGTGCTGCATTTACACCGACTTCACCTCCGTCGTGGTAGTTTCCTATACAGTTCTATAGTTATCTGAACTTGACGTTGAAGCCGGCGTTGTCCTTGGGCATGGCCTCATGAAGAGCCTCGTGGTACATCTCCGTCGTGATGGCGGCCGATGCGAATATCACCACCATACCTGCGTCCTATAGTCGTGTGTTTGCAGTTTCCTATACAGTTCAGTAGTTCTGACCTTAAAGTTGAAGCCCACGTTGTCGCCGGACATGGGCCTCTTGTAGAGCCTCGTGGTGCATTTCCACCGACTTCACCTCCGTCGTGATATTTTCCTATACAGTTTTATAGTTATATGACCTTGACGTTGAAGCCAACGTTGTCGCTGGGTATGGCCTCATGAAGAGCCTCGTGGTGCATCTCCTCCATCGTGATGGCGGCCGGAGCGAATATCACCACCATACCTGCGTCCTATAGTCGTGTGTTTGCAGTTTCCTATACAGTGCAGTAGTTCTGACCTTGAAGTTGAAGCCCACGTTGTCGCCTGACATGGCCTCTTGTAGAGCCTCGTGGTGCATTTCCACCGCACCTCCGTCGTGATATTTTCCTATACAGTTTTATAGTTATCTGACCTTGACGTTGAAGCCAACGTTATCGCTGGGCATGGCCTCATGAAGAGCCTCGTGGTCCATCTCCTCCATCGCGATGGCGGCCGGAGCGAATACTCCCGCCATACCTGCGTCCTATAGTGTTGTGTTTTCAGTTTCCTGTATAGTTCTTTAGATCTGAACTCGGCGTTAAAGCCCACGTTGTCGCCGGGCATAGCCTCTTGTAAATCCTCGTGGTGCATTTACACCGACTTCACTTCCGTCGTGATAGTTAACAGTTCTATAGTTATCTCACCCTGACGTTGAAGCCGATGTTGTCGCTCGGCATGCCCTCATGAAGAGCCTCGTGGTACATCTCCTCCATCTTGATGGCGGCCGGAGCGAATACTACCGCCATACCTGCGTCCTATAGTCGTGTGTTTGCAGTTTCCTATACAGTTCTGTAGTTCTGACCTTGACGTTGAAGCCCACGTTGTCGCCGGGCATGGCCTCTTGTAGAGCCTCGTGGTGCATTTCCACCGACTTCACCTCCGTCGTGATGGCAGCCGGCGCGAACACCACCACCATTCCTACGTCAGAAAACATTCATTCGTTACAGGGTTGCGTCTCTTCCTATTACATCAATAGGAAAGGGCTGTGCCCCAGCAGTGGGGACATTATTAGGCTGGTGATGATAGTTACGTAGATATATTTTGCCATGCTTATTTAGCATTCTTTCTCTGGGTGACAAAAGAACTTTTAGGTCGCTTATCATTTAAGACCTAGTCGATTTTTCTGTGTGCAGCCAATAGTTTCATCAGGAACTTTATAATTCATTCCCAACAATAATTAAAAACACGCTGTTACTATTATGTAGGTAGTGTTGATAGAATAAAGCATATGTAATATTTATGTATTATGTTAATAAGTAACATTTTTTTATAGTTAACTAGCTTTAAATACTTCCATATTGTTTAACCTAACGAATTAGGTAGAAATACACATTGATATCCATCTCAAATGTATTGAGCCCATAAATCGGTTTCACATAATTTCAATTACCCCTTAGCATGAATCAATATCGAATTCGTAACGTTTCCAAGTAAAAATGTCAATGCAAATGTGTACTGAATTTTAGTTCTCGTAACGTACTTTGTGGCGCTGCTGTTCAAGTTTCCATACAAAATTTGATATTGACATTTCGCACTCGCAAACTATTCGAATTCGATAATGGTTTGTGGTAAGGGTGCTGATCTGTCACAATGCTAACTACGTTCAATCTGCGATCGTAGAAGTTAAGCATCTTTGTCAATGGCCAGTCACGGGACGGGTGATCCAAAAAAAATATCTCAAACGTCTTCGTGCTTCGGAAGGTACGTTAAGACGTTAGTCCTGGCATCTGCAGTCGTTAGCACCCATCAATCACACGCTGAGCAGGCGCGGTGGGTCATGGGCCCACCATTCAGTGTCCCAACAGTAGTGACATTAATAGGCTCATGATGATCATGAGCCCCATGCTGTAAATAATTAGCGAATTCGATCTGTAAGCGTGGAAGTTGAGGAACTTTCGCAATGGCCGACATGGATGGGTGACCATAAAATTACTGTTACTAAACTATTTTATTACTGTAATAAACTACCGAGCTCCAACGTATTTCGGAAGGCACGATAAGCCAGTATCTACAATCATAAGGGCCCACGTGATTGGTCATGGCTCATTCTCCTTATTTCCAGTCCCATGCTCTAGCAGTGGGGGGCATTAACAGGGCCGGATGTATAGCTGAGGAGGCCTTAGGGCAACGAAGAAATGGGGGCCTCTATTTTAAAATCTGGCACCCCCGGCCACTTACAATCCCCCCTCCCTGTTTGTTGACCTGTTGAAATTTAGATATGTTTTCCTCATATAGGCCCGTGGGCCACAGCCCCATCTGTCCTGCCTTAAATCCAGCCCTAGGAATTAATAGGCTGATAATGGTGTTGGTTCTCACCTGGCTTGAGGATGCCAGTCTCGACGCGGCCGACGGGCACGGTGCCGATGCCGCCGATCTTGTACACGTCTTGCAGGGGGAGTCGCAGGGGCTTCTCGGTCGGCCGGGAAGGCGGCTGAATGGCGTCTAATGCCTACCAAAATATCAAGAGATATTACGACTAAAATAGTTACTGACACTTATGGTCAGAAAATACTTTTTGATAAAAAAAACGAACGGGCCTTACAGTAGTCGCGTATGATGTGTAACATTTGAAACCTCACCATATATTAGTAAAAATAGGAATAAAACTTACTACAAAAGGAATAAGCCATTTGAACATTATGTTCTAAAATCAAATCACATAGCGCGCGCTTTCGCGACTTCCTGTTACACACTTCCGTCCCATTTCACGAAATAACACCCACAAATTGCAGGAAAGCGAGAGGAATGATGTTACACATCAAAAACTTCTCATAACATTCGAAAGGAGATTGCTCAGCTTCCATACATGTTTGGCCAAAAGACCAATAATCATGAAAAATTGTTTCCTAGATTCGAAATTATGTATAAATTACTGTAGAAACGAATATTATTGACGGACACCCCTGAGAACTTCTATAAACCATATACACTGAACATATTAAAATAATATAAAACAAATAAGTTATATAGTAAACTAGGGAAATCAAGCCAAGTACCGAAATTATGGATTAGATTCAGGTATATAGAGCATGTAGATTAACAGATAGTTGCCTGTTTTTAAAGTTAATGCATCATAAGAGTAACTTTTAAAATCAGGTGTCATTTCCGGTTATAATATGGTACTCTGTGACAGAAACTGTGTGATGATTGTGAATGAGCCACAGATTAGAGAGAATTTTTAAACTCTCGTTAACCAAAGAAAGCTAAGAGATTTAGGTTCTATAGCCATATATTCAGTATATTATTATTATTTTATTTATATTTATATTTACGTAGGCCCATAGATAGATACCTTAAAGTCTAACATATATACAGATTATAATGTGTTTATGGAGGTGTTGTCTGTCAGACCTAAAAACCATAATATGACCACCATAACTCTGCGAGTGTATTTTTGCTCGTAAAAGCCACAGAACCGACCCATCAATACCAACGTTGCAACGAGTAGCTCCGATTCTCGGTATAGGGATATGCTGAAGTGTCCGTCTCCCCGAACGTGCTCACCGTAATAGCTTTTAGTGAACTTCAGCTGGTTATGTGCCCAGAGCAAAAATAATAAATCAATCACACAATCAAAACGAAGTAAGACATTCAATCTCCGTACCCGAGACTACTACTAGGCTAAATCTAAGCGCAGGATGCTCGGCAGGCTTTGTAACATATCTCTACATAGAATCAAACATCTATATAAAATGTTATAACTCACATGGCTACTTATAATACAAATCAAGGCACTATTGAATTAATTTATTTAGCTACTTAAATAAGCCCATGTGTATTTTTTTCGACCACCAGGATATTTTTTTACAGTGTCATAATAAAAAACCGACCAAATGCGTGTCGTGCCACGCGCAGTGTAGGGTTCGTCGTTACAACAATATATTTGAGTAAGGAGTCTTTATTTTCTGTATCGGAAATTAAAAAATCAATTAATATGAAACTTTGTATCTCTACTAAAATATCTATATCAAAGTCAAACTGCGTCTCAAACTCAAAACCGCCGATCTTTTCAAGTGCTTAAATATGTCACCTGAATATAATACATTACGTATAGATAGCGCGATTCAGAAGCCGTTGCCGTAGGAACTCGCGTTGCAGTAGCTTTGTGGAACTAATAATATTTTATTGTGGTTTCTAAATATTGTTTTTAGATTTTGTTTTTCAATGCAAGGTTTTACGCTACAATAACTTCATATATGTCACTATTAATGTTTTCTTGTAAGGATTTTTTAATTATCTAAAGTTAAACGAGTATTACTCTTAAACGAACGAATCTATCTTAATCGTTATAATTTCCTTAAAATTTTCTAGGTTTTTCAAGCCTTCAAGTTTAGCTTTTAGAGTGGGGCACCCTAGTCGAACAAAAATTAACACGTTAATCGAAAAACAGTCTTAAGAACCCCTAATTATAAAGGACCTATTTGACGATACCCCACATAGACGGTGAAAAAAAAACATCTCAAGGTTACATGTAGGGGAGCTACCCTAAAAAAATATTTTTCAAAATTTTTCTTTTTGTCAGCGTGATTGATATAGTTACATATCTTCACAAAATTACAGATCTCTAGTGCTAACAGTCTTCAAGCAAAACCGGGGGCGGACAGACGGACATGACGAAACTATAAGGGTTCCTTGTGAAAACTACGGAACCCTAAAAAGGCAAATTTTTCATAGATCTTCCGAATTATAATAATTAAATTGGTCGGAGCTGGATGTTATTTGCCCATTGTCCTTTACGACCAGATTTGCACGGTATGTCAACACACCGTGCAACGTTACCGGCACTGTTTCAAAATCTGCTGAATGTGATCTAACACAAAGTCAAAATTTGGCAAGTTAGGTACTAATGTTCAAAACGTTATATTAAATTTAAAGATTTGATGGTCGGTGTAGATAAAGTAAGGGTTTGTGTTACGCACCTCAATGAGACACTTGCCCTCCACCTTGCCCTCCTTGCGGTCGATGGTCCAGCCCTTGAACCAGGGCATTTTGTCAGAGGGCTCGAGCATGTTGTCGCCGTGCCATCCCGAGATCGGCACGAACGCCACCGTGGCCGGGTTGTACCCTGCGTAGGTACGACACTTTCTTCAATACGACGGAATAAATTCCTATTGTTTTATTTATGGAAACATGTGATTGTTGGCCTTTTATTTTGTAACTAACTATTCCTACACGAACACAATAATTTGGCGACTGTTTGTCTTACTATTTGCAAGTGAAATTCTTTGGCCGCGCACGTGTCATTACAATCGGAGGGTCCTTTAAAAGACGCGTGAAGAAGCATTTCTGCAGGCCGGTAAGGTGAGGATGGTTAGTGTGGCAGGTTATAACTGCTGCAGCATCTTCGCCGTTGGACTTTACCATCACTTAACATCAGGTGGGATTTGCCTACCTAGCTATAAAAAAAAGTTCATATAAACTACCGTTAGTTGCCCAAGTGTTCATTATATAACTGAAAACGTTTCAACAAATCAGTCAATCTTATTTCAATATTTCATTTCAAATTAGACTGCTAGTGGAATATGAAAACATGAGGAATTACTTCATTTTTTAAACAAGATACAGCAAATTATATTAAGAGTAACTCTAGTCGCGAAGATGTGAAAGTGTGACACTACAGTTAATCTCACCTTGTGGACTCGAACCCAATCCTTGATGTGAAGCTTATCCCTAAGAAAGCAGAAGTGCTACTCTTAGCAATCATTTTGAAGTTGGACGACACGTCAGTCTTGATCTCTTTATAACGCGCTCGGAAGAGTCAATCTCGTTACCGCCCATGATCAGTACCCTTAGCACGAACCAATATCAAATTTTATTCTATTTGATATTGGTTTGCGTTTGTGGGTAACAACTGCTTGACGCTGAGCGTGAAGGCGAATAGCATGTGCTCGCGAGTGTGACTGTTCTTGTTGATACGTAACAATGCGTCTTGATTTAGGAAGACACCTTGTTGATCTCCTCGTACCGCGATTCGTGGTAGGGCGGCTCGGTGGAGTCCATCTTGTTGACACCCACGATCAGCTGCTTGAAGCAGTTTGCTCGCGAGCCTGACCGTTTTTGTTGATACCATACGTACCAATCTTCTTGATGTAGGAAGACATCTCATTCTTGATCTCCTCGTAGCGCGCTTCGTGGTAGGGCGGCTCGGTGGAGTCCATCTTGTTGACGCCCACGATCAGCCGCTTGAAGCAGAGTTTGCTCGTGAGCCTGACCGTTTTTGTTGATACCATACATACCAATCTTCTTGATGTAGGAAGACACCTCCTTCTTGATCTCCTCGTACCGCGCTTCGTGGTAGGGCGGCTCGGTGGAGTCCATCTTGTTGACGCCCACGATCAGCTGCTTGACACCAAGCGTGAACGCGAGCAGCGCATGCTCGCGAGTCTGGCCGTTCTTACTGATTCCGGCTTCGAATTCGCCTGTACCAGCTGCCACTATCAAAACCGCGCAGTCCGCCTGCGAACACAAAAGTTAATTTGACCTATTCAGAAAAGCAATTCTAAATGAATTCATAACAGGAACAATACACGACATCCGAATTTATCTTCTATTGGAGAAAAAAATATTAAACGATCAGAAAGTAGGGTAGTAAACGGAACGGACAGGTAGTCATTCTCGCAACTCCTAATTCCATCTCAACAATCGCTGAGATGCGTATGTTAAGACGGAATTGTGAGTTGACGAGAATGAATACCTAAGTGAAGAATAGTAAGGTTAGTAGAAGTTTGAATGTATAAAGTAAAGCACTTGAATATGGACGAAACTTGCTAACAGGGAGAAGACCAAAAAAACATCGATCGAGAATTATATCACAAAAAAGGAAATGATGAAATGAAGGCTAGTCGTGGAGCAAACATAGAAGATAGTTTTTTTTTTGAGTGTGTATGCTGTTGATCGTAGATGACAGCGTCACCGGGTTTGAGGACGGCGAGATCCTAAGGGGACCTCAAGCCGAGAATTGGCGAGTGCCTCTGGAGGTATTCCAGTCGGATGGCGTCTCCCCACGGGGGGAGTCTCCTCTCCGTCTGGGAGCCTCCAGACCACTCGAACCTGAGTGGGGATAGAAGATAGGTAGAGAAAAACGCACCAACCCTAAATTAATCGGGAACAGTGCAGGCAAACAAAAGATGGTAAGACAAAAAACAGCTATCTACACAGAAATGCTTATTCTTAAGAACGGGATTCAAAACAAAAATCATGTGACCGATTGAAAAGCTATCAATGAAGGAATGAACAGTAATTTATTTTAAAAAATCAATTTATCAGAAACTATAACAAGGATTTAATATTCTGCTAAAAATAATGTCCCAATGTCAAGGGCTAAGATACGATTGAACAGAGGTAATTACTTGTGAAGTGCCTGTGATCATGTTCTTGATGAAGTCCCTATGGCCGGGCGCATCTATGATGGTTACATAATACTTTGCGGTCTCGAACTTCCACAGCGCGATGTCAATCGTGATACCACGCTCGCGTTCAGCCTTTAGCTTGTCCAGTACCTGTATTAAATATCGCAATAAATATTGAAAATCCAATTAACAGCTTTTAAAGGATTTAAATAAGTAAAGTAAGATTTAAATAAGTATAGGTAGATATCTAGCTATACTTATTTAAAACTTAAAATGTCGCTTCGAAGTTATAAATTGAGAGCTGGAAATTCGATAAAAATAATATTTTATTCGTAAACTTAATATTGAAAGCTTTTATTGTAAAAGTGTTGATGTTGTTAATCTTAAAAGCTATTATTTAACGATTTAATCCAACAGCAACAATGATTGATTTTATGAAATCATTGTTCGGTTTCAAATGAATAAACTAAAACTAAGTACCTATGTATATGCAATACAATTTTTTGAAATAGTTAATGTCAAACCAGTTTAGCTCGAGAAAATTAATATAATCTATCTATACACCAAAGTGACAATATTTTAGGCAAATTTGTTTTAAGAGCAATGACGTCGAGAACAATCTCAAACAAAAAAATCTGTGCAATCTAAAAGGTCAAACTAAGGTGAAAGACATAAGTACAAAAGTAAGTATAAGGTATATGAAGTGTTGTCTACGTACCCATGCGTATTTGAACGAGCCTTTGCCCATCTCCTGTGCCTCCTTCTCGAACTTCTCAATGGTACGTTTGTCGATGCCGCCACATTTGTAGATGAGGTGGCCTGTTGTCGTGGATTTGCCAGAGTCCACATGGCCGATAACCACGATGTTAATGTGAGTCTTCTCCTTACCCATCCTGTAGGCCCAACTGACAACTTGTTGTTAAACCCAGCAAGGAATCCTGGACAAATTAGTAAGTCGTAAAGTTTGGATACTAAAAACACATAAATTTTTACAGGAAATCACATTCCTCCTTTCACATTTTTGTACCTGCCTACACATTTGCTGAATAAGGTGGTCTAAACCAGCGAATTTGCATGAACTGTTTATAATAGTCAATTTTTCTTAAAATGTCGATATATTCTTTAAGCATAACATGAACAAAAATATAAAATTACAGAATCATCTACGTTATAGGTTGGGATGTATAGAATGCGTAAATCATAAATAAAAATTATAAATAAAAACCCCCAGATACATATAAGTACCCTAAATGAGCACCGGACCATATTCTACCGTTTATTACTTTAGTCAAACTAATTTCATAAAAAATATTTTACATCAAGGCAAATATTATCACCTGCGATGTAAGCAGGTAATTAGTCGTAATATAACGGGAAGAGTTCGCCCAGGCCGAGCGTGCGCATAGGACGTTCGGGACATCGATACAGCGGCATGGTCCTTCCAAATATAGACAAATTTATCGGTTGCCTTCACATAAGGTTTTTACATTTCATCGAGTCGATGTCAATCCCGATTATAAAGCACCTAGGTGTACTAATTTAATAAATAAGTAAGTGAAGTGAAGCAAGTCATGAGAAGAGTCGTCATGTAAATGCAAACGTTATTGAGGAAAATCATTATGTGCGAGTTTATTCTCCCAATTTGCAGATTTTACCAAACAAAAGTCGGGGAACCGCGCAGTATTCCAGTACCTACTTATGCGTCGATAGGATTGAATTAAATGGATGGAAGATGGATACTATAATCACAAAGGGAGAGAGCGTATCTAAAATTAGAGTGATCTAAAGAAAGTGGCAAGTGCCTATTCAAATGCATTTGCAAGGCATGTTTCTAAATTAGAATAATCGCATTTGGCTCTTCGCGATGTATGGAGAAACCGGCGACGCACATGGACTTCCCGGTGCGTCCATCTTGTGCATGACAGCATCAATGTTTCGATTATTTCCAAAAAATTTCGCGACCTCTAAATTTCTTTTCGAGAATTTTGTCTGTCAGCATTTTTTCTGCCATTTGTCAGGCTCTCATCAGAACACGTCAATTTTTGAATTTCGAATTACATTTTTCATTGAAAGATGGCAAATTTTAACAAAAAATCCAATGTTTTGCATAAATAAAAATAACAAAGAATATAGTTATTTCATAATAACTACTTTCATTAAAACATGCTATCGACCGGTTACAAAGTTGACCGATATAATAACCCAAAATTGCGAAATTCTAAATTATTAATTACTTACTAAACACGTGTTTATGCTGTCATTGGAAATTAATAAAATCATTAATTTATTTCATATTTCATATAATATTACAAACAATTAAAGAGCTAAATTGCGTAATTTTGAAATATCCCTGCCGGCGATTTCATACGCTAAAGCTAGAGACATGAAAATACTCATTTTCACATAATGAAATATATTTTTGTTGAACACAACAACGGTAATAGAAAACCTAATATTTTAATTAAAAACGATGATAATTTACAAGATTTAATAAATTTCTAAATAAAAATAGGAAAAGCTTACCTTTTGCGGCCGCAGTCACGAATTTTCAGAGCTATTCAAGAGCATGCGCCGTAGACTGTTCACCTGGGATATGAAATCAATAAAATCAAGTGCACTACTTTCGAAGCAAAACCCTATTTTTTTGAGGTACTTATTTAATTGACAAGACCAAATTAAAATTTATGTTTAATAAATCAGTTTAAAACTCATATTACTATGCGTTAGCTACATAGATTTTTTTAAACTGGTATTCGGGCGGATGTCGACAATTTTCTTTTCCAGTGAAGTCTTCATGGCTTTGGCATAGACAGTGCGCCAAGAGTTTGTTTATCGCAATGAACAAAGAGTATGGTAACAACAGCAGCATTCTAGAAATTATTCGATACAGCTAAACTATATCCTTTATCAGCTTAATAATCTTCACATACAATACCAATTTAAGTGTAATTTTATAAAACAAATGGACTTCCAGAAAGTTGTTCAGGATTTTATGAAATAGTTTTCCTCAATCAATCGGCATGTTTGCAGATGAAGAGAATGGTTTAAAATAAATACATATTGGAACGTAGTATTTCTCACATAGGGTGTGCTTTTGGGTTTTCGGCTATCGCACAATTATAAGACTCTAAAAACAGCCACCGAACTATAGAGACTCGAACTGACTAGTCTATGCTTTACACACGGACCTGAAAAAAAGATTCCTTTTTTGATTTCATTTATATTGTATAATACTTAGATCCTTCGCATTCATGTATGACTGAGATTCAAACGACATCGTAGACTTCAAAATAAAAACGCTCCGTCTCGTTGCTTTCGCCTCGCCCACTTTAGACAAGTTTGAATCTCTATAAATTTGCACTGGTCTCACCCATCTGCTGGATTGATTTTCGCAGTTCCCATGGGTTTTAAGAAACGCTAGTTTAAGTATGTTCCGATGCGCGTCCAAGACATATGCAGAGAAGTAAGATGCAACACGTCCTTGAAATAATGCTCACTATTAGGTAAAACCAACACCAACTAATAATCGGTCAACAACTCAATAGTCTGTACAATCCTCAGTACAGACTATTGAATTGCGCTTACAAATTAATATTTTCTAACAAAGCATTGCTTGTTAAATGTATACGGATGTAAATTAAGTGAACGCTTAAATCTTTAAACGACAAGTATGTGCTCCACATACAAATTAACACTACCGATCATTTTTTTTTTTACGCAGGTAAAAAATGCTATTTACAGAACAACGGCGCCTTTAGGAGGCACACCGCCGAACGGACCTCACACCTGGCTCCCGCAAGTCTTACGGACCCCCTAGTAGCTGCCCACCGAGGACCCCGCAACTCTTACGGGCGCTTTACGGCATAATATCCGCTAAAAAAGTCCTCCGAATACCTTCAACACTGCTTGATGCGAAGCCGCAGGATTCCCTGGTGAGGGATTTCTCTGCATCCCCGCATCCAGCAGCTTCCCGGCCTCGCCGGGGCTCAACGGCAGGGGTCTCCCGAGGTATTGCGGGGACCCCGCAGACGTGCGCGGGTAGGCCCGCGCTTGGGGGCTGAGTACGCGGCCTAGTGCCCACCATACCGCCCCCCGTCCGCTGCGGAGAACTACTTGGGCGTACCTGTCCAATCAACCCTCCACCGCCCCCCTTTGTAGGACAAAACTACAAGTGGGGGGCCGCCGTTCCTGGAAGGGGGGAGCAGGAGGGGAAGCGTAGTTCTTCCCGTCCCTCTCCCCTCTCCCGGTCGCCCACGTCTCCTCGCCCCTTCTCCTAGGAGAAGAGAGTGGAACGCGGGCGACAACATTCGTGGGGGGTCCGAGCGGCCGAGGCTACTCGGACATCCCCCCCACTGAGGGTGCCCGTCCGGGAATCGACGACTCAGAGGCCATTCGTTCGGGGGGTTTGCCCTTTGTGACCGGCGGGTCACACCTCCCGCTCCCCATAATGTGGTCAGCCGGCCGACCACTCGCCGCGCACACCACGCATCGGGACGGGGCGGCACCGACCATGGAATCCTGGATCATTAGTGGAGACTGCAGGTTGGCTAACTTACCGTTACACTCACCGCCTGAAATAAAAAAAAACAACTACTCTGCATTAGGTGCGAGTGGTGTCGTGACCGTTCTCACTATTCCCTCCATACAAAGGGCCGGCAGTAAGGCCGAAAGCTCCTGCATGTAGCGACATTTTAGACCGACCGAGGATGATAAAGTAAGATATACCAGTGTACCTATTAGATTCTAGATTAGATCGCAAATACGGCGCGAACCTATTACAATAAATTTGGAAAAATAGCTGATTTGTTCGTCAAGATATGATTTGGACTTTATATATAAAATAGAACCCTAACCCAGTTATCAAAGTAAGGGAGCCTACGACACTAAACTTTTTTTTTATGTTTAAAGGGTGGCAAACAAACCCGCCTGATGATAAGCGGCCAACATAGCCTATAAACGCTTGCGATACAAAAAATATCACTCTCACCGTTGCCTGCCCTGACCCAATCCCCTACCCCGTGGAGCCGTGAAACCTTACTCACCGACAGAAATATACCACCAAAAGGTAGTGTTTACTGTACCTAGTATATTATAAAGAAGAAAGATTTGATTGTTTGTTTGTTATTGTGCGGGGGGAGGAAGGAATATGCACACAAATGCAATCCAACATACTTTCGCAAAAACGAAATGGTAATTACGACACTCACACATTAAAAATGATAGCGCTAATTCAGGCATAGATTAAACTTGAGATTTTCTGTTTTAAAGATCTGAAAGGAAATTGCTCAAATTGGCGCAAACGCACAAAAAATATTGACATACATGGTAATTCTTGGCGTAATTTATAATTTAATTTAACGTCATTAGATTTCAACGGACACCTTTGTATAATATATTTACTTTAAAAAAGACTTTTAATTTCACCGGTTTGGAAAACGTACGAATCATTTTTTAAATCTCCCAAACTAAAACATTGTTAACATTATGTAATCAAATATATATTATAATAACGGGATATTTACCACGTGTTTTACTCGTTGTGAGCTCCCGATTTTTCTGTAATTCATTTTGTAATCATTTTGGTTGTCGTAATTTAGTTTCAAAAGTTTATTTGTATAATAGTTTTGTTAACGGGTTTCAACTGTATTTTTAATATTTTTATACATTTTCCGCCGTTTCGGATTCTTTACAGGCTCCGGTTTGAACGAAAACCAAACGTGTGCACTGCACACAGTACTGGGAGGTATACCGAACCCGAATAATTAAAACCCAGTCATCTCTATGGTTTCTATTTCTAGGAAACCTATTAGAAAGGAGACAAGACAATAATTTATATAAAATATTCTATGAATAATATGACTTCTATTCTTTTTCTTTTGGGATACGGAACCCTAAAAAGTTACGAAATCTGATCTTGCCTAGTCACAAATGCAAGAAATACAAAATTCCCTACTTTTTGGGGAAATTTCCCGTAAATAAAATAGCCACACAGTTGTATTTTTGTTTACAATTTTCATCCTTGTAAATAAAATATAATTAACAATAATTATCAAGAATCGTCAATACTTAAGCGTGGTAGGTGATTCCTTGTGACTTTTCAAATTTACTCGTGTAGTTTTTACAAGATTTCACCACACAAACGGCATTTTTTTTTAAAATATCGGAGCAATTGAACGTGTGACTGGCGCTGTCACGCGGGGTCAAATGGCAGCGAATTGTCCGACCTGGTGCATTAGTGTGAGTGTAGGGATATTCGATATGCATCGATGCATCGAAAACATCGATGTTTGCAATGAAAAACATCGAATCGATCCGATGTTTTGAAAAGCATTCAATATACTCGATGCATCGATGTTATAAAAAAAACATCGAATTGGTAATAGAGTTTGACCACGTAGTGATCTTATCCTCTTTGGTTTGACCTCAGTAAAAAATACTTAAGTATGACTACAAAAATTTTACTTATTAATAATATAAAATAATATAATATTATGCCGAATTCTCTGATGTGGACCCGATGTTGGCAGCACTGCGCAGGAGTCAGTGCAGTGACAATATAAAATAACTACGAGTGTCTATGTTTATAAACATTAAATAACCTTTGGTTATGTGAAAGAAACTAAGATTGAAGTATATTTCTAATATTCTTTTGACAGACAGCATAAATTTTGCGGGTTATTTAGTGTTTTTTAATTTGATCTCTTGTAAAATATAATACAGATTTTTCTGATACATGGCTTTTACTTGTATTTACTTTTACCTACTCATTATGAAAGGAGTTATTTCCATTATTTTATAAAAGATTAATATCTAAACTATAATACAATTATATAATTAATATCTAAACTATAATAAAATAAAATAGATTAAGGTATTTTCATAAACTTCAATAGTAAAAATTTTTACTATGAAAAGATGGCCTCTTTTGAAATGGGTCACTTTCCACAACAGTTGGGTTTTGTAATAAAATTTCAGAAAAAGTACTCGATGTTTAAAATACATCGATGTTTTCATCCGATGCATTGAACGCCATCGATGTATAGTTGCGATGTATCGAATCAAAAAATACATCGATGTTTTTTCAGAGTGGACACCCCTATGTGAGTGTAGGTAGTAGTGTAGATTTTGTCCGACCTTGCATGCTTCACATGATTTGCCTTTGATATTACGTCCGTCTTTTTTTCAGGTCCGTGTATTATAGATGGTAGGCAACATCATAAAGTCTATTTGCCATACATTTTTCGCCAAACACCTCCTTAAACACATTATAATCTGTATATATGTTAGACTTTAAGGTATCTATCTATGGGCCTACGTAGCCTGACTATAAATTAATAAATAAATAAAATTATAAGATGTGATACACTAAAAATCTAAAATATGGTTATATTAAAAACATAACAAAAATAATGAAGCTACTGAATATATGGCTATATAACCTAAATCTCTTAGCTTTCTTTGGTTAACGAGAGTTTAAAAATTCTCTCTAATCTGTGGCTCATTCACAATCATCACACAGTTTCTGGTACCTTATTATAACCGGAAATGCATAGTTGACACCTGATTTTATAAGTTACTCTTATGCATGAACTTTAAACTTTAACTAGCTGACCCAGCGAACTTCGTACCGCCCTAAAAAAATAGGGGTTGTCCAGCGGACAAAATTGTGAATCTAAACCATTCTCAGATCCCCTTGAACACACACAAAAAATTTCATCAAAATCGGTCCAGTCGTTTAAGAGAAGTTCAGTGACATACACACTCACAGAAGAATTATATATATAAAGATAGGCAACTATCTGTCAATCTTCATGCTCTATATACCTGAATCTAATACATAATTTCGGTACTTGGCTTGATTTCTCTAGTTTACTATATAACTTATTTGTTTTTTATTATTTTAATATGTTCAGTGTATATGGTTATAGAAGTTCTCAGGGGTGTCCGTCAATAATATTCAAATAAGCAATCTCCTTTGTACTGGCGAGTCGATCGTTTTGTCAAACAAGTCCAATTTTTTAATTTAATATAAAATAATATGAATTATGTGTTTAAAAGTGGTTAAATAGAGAGGTTTTCTAGTAAACTTTTCTTTTGGTTAAATAGAAATAATATGTTAATAGGCAGATGGGACTCGAACCCGCACCCTTTGCTATCCGGGTGAATGCACTGACCATTAAGCTAGCTGATGGCCGTGTCGAATTTTCTCTAACCTTAGGCTGCAAGGCAGCGCCATCTCTTCTCATTGTGGGTAAACACAATGTCAAATGAATACCTTTACAAGTATTAAACATTTGAAAGAAGAAATAGCAATTATAGTTATTTTTTTAAGCATGTAACTGCTAGATGTTTAAATCTAAAGAAAACTATTAGAATAAAAATCCACGCGTGCCAGGCAGCTGACGGTACTCGAACCCGCACCCTTCGCTATCCGGGCGAATGCACTGACCGTTAGAGTCGGTACATAGCTGACCGAAAATACGTCATGTATTATCAGTCAGTCGCGTCGCCAGAACAGGCAAATATACAATAAAACATTCAACCTTTCAAACCTAACCGAAGATGCGTTAGTGCGTCGAGCATACGACGATGATACGCTCAACGCATTTTCCGTTAGACATGTACCAACCCTTATGCTACCGCGGTCCTGATGCCGTTGGAGGGTACTGATTTCTCCATTGTTTGGAAATTATAACAGTATTTTTATTTTACAGAAATTGATGATCTTTCAGATGAGCATTGGTTGTTTCAAGAGGTCGATCGTACTAGATAAGTTACTTTTAGGGGCACTTCTCATGCTGCTGACACTGATAAGGCCAGTCATGAGGGCTGCACTGAATTTTCATGTAGTCCTACCCCTCCTCTATATCGAGGAATAAACGAAACCTTAGAATCTTATCTTATTCATATTTTTATTGGTTTTTCAATTTTATTTATTAATAGCGCCGTCAGGTTTTTTGCTCTGCAACATCTTCATTCCGTGTTCTGTTAATGACGCGTCTAACTATATATATCTCATCTCTGGGAGTCTTATCATACTAGGTTTAGTGGCGCGGTTACCAGTACCAACTACATATATGTTTTACAGCAAATGTTACAGTTTTTCTACCTAACAGTTCCATATAACTTTGATATCATAACTTCGATATCTAAACTCGTTAACAGTTAGTCATTTAGGGACATAACTTCTCCTTTCTTTTACCTCTTATTCGAGTAAGAACTCTCAATCAAGTTTCTAACATTCGAGTGAGAACTCTCAATCAAATTTCTAACAAGTGTGCTCGCGTTCATAGCTTAGGATGGCTCCCGGCTCCCATGATAAAATATTTGAATACTCGACATTATATAGCTTTCCTGAATACTTAAACAACCTAAGTACAACGGTAATTTTGGCTGACTCGCATTGTTAAAAATATTACCTAAGAACTCACGGAGACCTGTTTTGATTCAAAACTCACGAGACCGCAGTTTGTGCCGCAAGTAAACGAATTCGCATGCGCCTGTGGGTGGCCGCGAACCGCGGGTGCCGCAAACTATTGGTGACGCAAGCAAGACGCAAGCAACCACGCACTCAGTGGGCGGAAATCGCTTTTGTATTTTACCCACAATTGCACATTTGACGCGAATTGAACTCGCTGATTACACAAGTCAACTAAACTTTTTTTGAGTCTGTAATTATTTTAATGACTATTTTCAGATTGATTACATCGAAAAATAACCAGTAACCTCATTTTTATGATTTTTACAGAAACACTCAGGCCTTTCCCCAAAAGGTAGCGCTAGCGGAGCTACACTCACACACTTTTCATCAATAGATGGCGTTAACGAATTTACACTCTGACCTCCCTAATAGACGGCGTTAGTAAAGCTACACTCACACTTCTCTTCAATCACAGACATAGATAGTATAGATAACGCAAGTTCATCAAATTGTATGAAAACCACGCGTGCCACATTTTTAGTACCTACTGTGACGTCACAAGAGCATTTTAGTGATGGGAATTCTTCGTCCGCGCGTAACGATTCAAAGGCGCCAGCCGCAGCGAGTTGTGCGCCAGTACGCCGCTAGTCCTTGAAGTGAGAAGTCGCGCGCGCGCATCCCGTCTGCTTGACTGTTATTGCTTTAATTCACCGCTTTTCAAATAAGTTTTTGTTTATAGATACGTAAAAAATTGATTGTAATACTTATTAGGCTTTTGAGCAGAAACCATTAAAAAATAAGAAATGTGGCGTGAGCTAATGTAGGTATTTTGCAGTTTTGTTATAGTATGAGTAAAAATGCCGAATTTTATATATCGATTATTTAATCGATTATAATTCGAGTTCAAAGACAGAGGAATGATAAAACTAAAGTTACTTGATTTTTTACTGTAATCATAATATATTTTTTATTTGCCTGTCGTGTTGTGTCGTGACGTGTCAGAAAGGTATCGGTTTCATACATTTAGTACGGTTAGAATTATATTTGTGTGTCGCATTATGTCGACAGATCGCGACAGACAAATATAAATTCAAAATATAAATATTGAAATTTCTTCTAAAGCTATGCAATTTCCATCATTATTAGTTTTCAGCTGATCATGGCACAATAGTTTTTTGTAAAAGGATTTAAACTGGCGGGATGTGGGGTTATAATTGCATCCTCCGTGTGCCCGTACATTGCAGAAGAATAGTTCAAGATGATCTTGACTAAAGCGGTACATTGTCAAGAATTTAATTTTTTCTTCTTCTATTAAGTGATGAACCAGTTCTTTTGTGCTTGCCATACAAACTAATAAGCCAATGAATCCAGTTTTCCTTCCACTTTTGATCAATGACTGTCCTTCGGAAGTTTTTAGTCCTTTAATATAGTTTTCAGCATCATTAAAAATAGATTAGATTAGATTAGTAAAATGCCGTATGATAAGATACTATGAAAGTAACTAAAATATACAGTCCTGACAGTATCTATATCAGTAAGTTGTCTTATCTTTCTTATGGCATAAGCTGCTGAACTAAGTTTACCAGCCAAAAGCGTAATGTGATGACTCCATTGCAGTTTTGAGTCTACCGTTATACCCAAGAATGTAGTCGAGTCTACTAAATCTAATTTTTCATTATTTAATTTAATTTCAATATGCTCAACTTTTACATTAGGTAAGGAAAATTGAATACACTTGGTTTTATTAGCATTTAGCTTTAGATTATTGACATTAAACCATTGCAGAACTTGCGAGAGAGCATTATTCACATCGTCATAGTTGTTTTTGCGCCTGTCAACGTTAAATAATAAAGATGTGTCATCAGCAAATAATACAATCCCACACAAGTTTTCCACAAAAAACGGCAAATCATTTACATATACTAGAAACAGGAAGGGACCTAAAATTGAACCCTGGGGAACGCCCATTTCCACATGAGATCCAGATGATCTAACACCATTTACCTATACAGTTTGTAGAGGTAAATGGTGTTAGATCCTCTTCGATCTGCCCATCAGGGCTTGTTTTTAAATTTTTCATTTGTCGAAAATAAAGTTCCTTAGTTGTAACATTTATAACTTTTAAAGATTCAGCTTGCTCCTCAGTGATGAGGGCTTTTTTTTGAAACATTCTATTATTGTCTCTAGAATAATATTTTTTTTATGGTTACGACGATTCTGCTCTTGTAACCTTTTTATTTTTAACTTTTGATTTTTGATTATTTTATTTTATTTTGTCTTCTTTGGTGAATTTAGTAACGAAGGTTTCTCCAGTGTACTAGATGGTTGATTTATTTCCTGTAAATGGAAAGGAATAAAAAATTATAATAATACCGTATACTATATATACATTGCATGTGTATTGTATATTATGGGCCCGGCTCGTCCACTAACCTCTTCACTACTTGTGGTCTTCACTATCTGAATTATCGGATACGATTTTTCGAACAAGCGTCGTTTTTTCGTTGAAACATAGTCGTCCTCTTTAAAATGCATGGAACAAATCGTACTGTGTTTTGTAGGGAACCAGTCTTTATTGCCTGTTGCGTCAATCCATTTTTCTTTAGTATTAGAATCACGTGGAAATCTTAAATAAATAACTTAAATAAATTATCATTCTTCTGTCTCCAAAATCGACTACACGTATGAATCGATTGAATCGAATATACGATTATGCAAGTACAACACTATTTGTAAAATTCGACAGAGGAATGAGAATAGTGGATGGACTACGAATTCATCGCGGTTGCGATTGTTTCGTTTGTATTGTTTTCATTGCGTATTAACTTAACAACTCCATTTATACTAGCAAAGACAGACCGGCAATGGATAACGATATTGGATCCGTAACGAAGATATGTTTGGACGTAGTAGGATTCACTAAAAATAATAAAACATCGGGTTTAATTAAATTACAGCTCTAATAAATAACACAACTACTTACCGATGATACGAAACGTCTCCTCTCACTCTGCAAACTACTTTCGACGTATTTTTACAATTAACAACGGCGCAATTAGGCATTTTGATATTTTCAAAGACTACTTTCCGCTAACGCAGTCCAAAGCGCACTGAGCTCTGACCGGGCCGTATTTGAGCATTGCTCAAATTGCCGGCACGCATTGGCGACGGCATGCGTCATCTATACTATCTATGTCTGTGTCTTCAATAGACGGCGTTAACGAATTTACACTCAGACTTCTCACCAATAGTAGGCGCTAACAGAACTACACTTTCACTTCTCTTCAATAGATGGCGTTAACGATTTCACACTGACTTCTCACCAATAGATGCGCTAACAGAACTACACTTGCACTTCTATAATAGATGGCGCTAGCAAAGCTATACTTACACTTCTCTTCAATAGATGACGTTAACGAATTTACACTCTGACTTCTCACCAATAGATGGCGCTAGAACTACACACACGTTTTCAATAAATGGTGCCTACAAAATTTACACTTAGACGATGTAATCAATAAATAAATGAAGTTTCGTGCATTAACCCGTAAAAACTAGTTTTATTTAATGAGTGATGTGCGTGAAAACCTAAGAAACAAATACTTAGACTTCTCCCCAATAGATGGCGCTAACAGAACTACACTCACTTCTCTTCAATAAATGGCGCTATAAAATCACATTCATATTTTTTTTCGGTTTACTGGAGCTCCATATAAATATTCTCCATAGTAGGTAGCATAATGAAGATTTTAATAAGCAAAAGAAAGGAGTGCAGAAGGCTGTCGGGTATCTTGACTACTTCTTTCCTTCCAAAATGAGTAAAAACTACGTGGACTCTGTGTGCTTTATTTGCGGATCTTTTATTAAATAAAGGGTTGAAAATTTTTAGTTTATCCAGTAGTAAAACTCTGTAGAAGTAAAACAACATGTTTCAAATACCAAGGTTTAACTATAAAAGGACATTGGGCAAAAATGTATGGACGCTGCACCCACGTCCGCCACGGCTTAAACTACATTTGTTTGAAAGGTATTATAGTCAAGATCACCTGTGCCAAAGCGCATCAAATTCCATCCCGGGGGTCTTTAGTTATTTTAAGTTAAATGTGTACAAGTACTATAACGAACGAACATTAATGAAACAAGGGAATTAATTTAGTTAGTTAGTTCGACTCTACATAGGGTGCTCAGGAATTATGGGAGTACTTCACAAAGTGCAAGGGTGCCCCCTTATGTATTCTGCCGCGCTAGAGTAAATCCAAACGTCCCGATCCCCGCATGGGTTGGGTTTTTTTTAAACATTCTGTTCGTTATAGTAAATTGTCCGTTTTACATAGAAGATATGTAAAACGGAGCGACCACAGATTACACAACTTGTCCACGCTTCGGAGAACACATACATAATTCCAGTTCATCCATACTAATTGACAAAACCGATAATCGTGTTCCAATATCCAAAGCTGGTTAGATAAAAATAAATCAATTAAGTAGGTAGCATGGAGCGCACAATCACAACGAAGTAAGAAGAGTCGAGTATTTGCAACTGCAAGTCCTTCATCATCCGTAAACCGTTTTGAAATGTCTCAGTAAGAGCAAGCGCAGGATGGTCGGCAGGCTTTGTCGTATATCCGTATTGTATAGTACGATATGGCATATTATTACGATTACTAATAATATAAAATGAAGGTACTATAAAATGGATTTATTCAGCTACTTAAATATGCCCATGTGTCATATCTATTGACTACCAGGATATTTTTTACGGTGTCATATCTTTTGACTCCCAGGATATTTATTTTCGGTGTCATAATAAAAAAAGGCTAATTTTTCATAGATCTATCGATTCATACTAATTACATTGTTGGCGGAGCTGGGTGCGTTTTGCCCATTGTCCTTTACTCTTTTATTTTTATTTCTTAATGGGTTTTATTTTTATTTCTTGATCCTCTATCCAGCCTAATAGCAGAGATGGACTCTTTATTAAAATAAATGAAAACAATGAAAACTGTATTCAATTTTTCTTTATTTTATGTAATCATTAAAATATCACCACATATAATTCATTTAATCTTAACAATAAATTATAAGATAGAATAATATAGTTTGCATCAGGTATGTACATGATAGATTATGTTTCACGTAACACGGCCGTCTTATCTCTAAGACCACAATACAAAGAGCCTCGATTACTTCTAAAGTTTGGTGACAAGTCAAATGAAAAGACATTGGTTAATGACGCAGTAAGTACATGAAGCGACAAGCCTCCGAATGTGACATGTATACGTAGATAAAGATACTAGCCATTCTAAGATTGCAATATAGTGCAGTCATTGAAGCATTATTGCTCCGAATTTTTTTACTGTGAACCGAATTGCATACAATTTTGGAATTAGGTTCATCTTACCCTTAACTTCAAAAGTGAAAATGATTTGAACTCCGAAACCACCCTGGGGGTGGTTGCCACCCATTCTCGGGGGTGAATTACTCTTTTTTCAAAATAAATCGATAGAAAGTCTAATTTTAAGCAAAAAATCATCTATAAAGTTTTTCAAAAAATCCAATACTTTTCAAGTTATTGGCAATTGAAAATTCGAATTTTTTCCCCGTTTTTCATCGGTTTTTTGCAAATATCTCCAAAAATATAAGTTTTATCGAAAATTTTATAAAAAACTAAATTGTAGCAGGTAAAACAATGAACAATTTGGTTTTTTATAAAGTATTCTAAGTGCAATATTAAGCTAGATATTAAATATCAAAGCCGTTTTTTATTTTGTCTGAAATGCCATCTAGCGGCGAGAAGATGCATTTTATGCATTCTAATACAAAAGGGTTTTGTAGTGCTTGAAATAAGCTTTAAAATGAGCACTATTAAAAGTCTTTTGCACGTAAAATAAGTGAGCTATATTGCAAATAAGGGGAGCATCTAATGTTTTTTCTTTTAAATCAATGGGTTTCAAAAGTGCCATTTCCACCAAAATTAAAATTAATCGTATTCCGCCTAGAATTAACTTTATTATGAAGAGTTTGATAGATAGTTTCAGGTTGGCTGCTTCAGGATACTTATTTTTCAAAAAAGTCACGATTAAAAGAAAAACCAAAGGAAAATGTTAAAATTGGCCTAAGAACCAACACCGATTTGGCATTTATGATAATTCTAAGTATATTTTTTGCGATAATTATCAGTATTTAGATTGTCACGGACACTTCCAGTTAAGTAAGCTAAATTAAAAAGTTAAAAAAATAATCCTAGACAATAAATACCATTTTATGTGTATAATCTATGACAGCGCTGAAAACGAAACACTTATTCTTCCTAATGCCGGCACTTCACTTAGCTATTCGTATTTGCTATTATAAACGTGACATCAGTCTGTCCTTTTCATTTCTTATTAAGTATGGGATATTATACATACTTACAAGGATAAACTGTTGTCAAGTGAAGGGCCGGCATAAAACTCGATACTCTGTGGTTGTGGTGCAGGCAGTTTTCATTCGTAGTAATCTGTGGCATTCGTGCATTCTCGTTTCGGATTACCTGTTGTGTGTGTTTATTTGCGATTGTTTTTCCTTTAATTCAACTATTTCGGCTATCTAATATGCCAGAGACCTTATTACCAAGTGCTAGTGAACCTGTGCCACAACATCCTAAGAGGATCATACTGCCAAATTATTCAAGAGACACACACAATATACATGTGTTAAGCAAATAAAAACAATATACAATATGATACAAGTATGTGAAAAATAGTCAATAAATAAGAAGCAAAACTATAGTTTTTATTTCATTCACGATTCCTACCTAACCAAATTTTTCTTTAAAATCGCACCGAATAAAATGAATTAGTTGTAATATTAATTCACTTCATACTAAGTCCGTAGATTGACCTATGTTTCATTGAATATTAAACATAACCTGAAAAGAAAATAGTTTTCCTTATAATTTAAGTTTTCAGAAGTGTCCGTCAATAATCTTTGTTTTTACAGTCATTTACTTGCGATTTCGAACCTAGAAAATAATATTTCATGATTGTTGGTTCTTAGGCTAACTATGTATGGACGCAGAACAATGTCCTTTCAAATTTAAAAAAACCCCCTTTTTTTTCATAATATCTCAAAAATGACGATAGATACGTATAAAAGTGTACGATTTAAAAATTTAGATATTTTTCTGACACATAATTTGGTTTTTTTGTTTTTTCTGTCAAAATAAAATTGACGGAGATATGATTGTTTAAAGAGCGCGTGGTAGCGCAATCATAGCCTCTCTTAAGCCCTTTAACCCTCCACCGTTTTAGAAAAAGGTTTTTTAATATATATTGCAATGGAGGATGTTGTAGCTCTCTTAATTACCTTTACAATGGTTTTACATAAATTGTGATAGCATGAAAATTGAAGGAGTAATGGTCCAAAAACTTATCATATTTTTTTCTACTTAGTAACTGAAAATTTCGGAGTGTGAATATTTGGAGCAATGTGAAAGTACGCAGTATAATAGAGACCCACAACTATTGTAATGTGTATATATATACATAATATGGCTCATATATTTTGGAAACGTAGGCATGAATACATACCAACGTTCTTATATGTATATATAACACATTTCATCATCATCATCATTCATCCAACGGATTGGGGGTGGGTCATGAATGACGGTTTATTAAATCCACTTAAGTCTGTAGATCCACCCGCACCACAAGAACTGCTGAAAATGATTTTTTGCAACTGCAAAAAAGGATGTGGAGCGTCTTGCGGATGCAGAAAAGTTGGTCTGTTTTGTAATAGTACTTGTGGAACGTGCAGTGGAGATAACTGCCAAAATAGCCCTCCAATTCAGCCAGAAGATGTTGAATGTGACAGCGACTCCGACATTGAGTCATGAATAATAATATTATATTTTAATAATAATAGTACAATTTTATATAATTAGTAAATATTTTATTCAATAAATGGCAATTTTTTACTCTAAACTAAATTATTTTTAAATATGTAATATATATGTGTGGGTTGAAAATGATTTTAATATGAGGTAATTATGTTAGAAAATACTTTACAATTTCATCACTTACTATTAGACATGTTTTCTAGCGATAAAATGGCTCAATGTCAATTTTTCCATTAAGGGGTTGTTTACAACCCTTAAAAATAATAGGCGGAGTTCAGATCATTTTCACATTTGAAGTTAAGGGTAAGATGAGCCTAATTCCAAAATTTCATGCAAATCGGTTCACAGTAAAAAAAATCGGAGGTAAGACCGTATTTTTCGCTTCAATGACTGCACTAATAATCTTGGCATCTATAGAGTAGACTTAGTCTCATACTTTTACAAAAACTTTTTACTTTCCAGCACCATGATAAATATGCATGAAGAATATAATTTTAATAAGACTGATAAAGAGAAGATGGGATGATTAATTGTTATTTTTTCTGTGTTTTAGTAGTACTTACTACGAAAGGCATTCACAGTGGCGATTTATGTAATTTTACACTTTAGATGCAGCAAACAAATACAAACATTTAAACACACCAAAATCATTCAAAAACGCTCAATCACAATTTGCTATATCGCAACCCAGTACTACCAATCGCAATAACTCATGAAAATACATTCGATATCGTTATGAAACCGCCGATGCCAAAAAAACCCTCAAATAAATATATTAGATATATCATAGACTTTAAACAATAGGTCTACACTACTCATTTTATATGAATGAATAAACAAATAACAACATAAATAGACAAACAACATTTATCATAAATTACTTTGCATTAAAGTTTACATTTCGTAGGTATGTCTAAATAAAAATATCTAAGCTTTATGAAATCTTTTTGCAAGCTACTAAAAAGTGAAGACAAAAGCACGAAGTTCATAAAAATTTAAAAGTACAAATTACTATTCGTAATAAGAAGACAACTTTTAAGAAAGACATGCATACTTTCTGAGAATACCTTAACACTGAAAACCCTTCTTCAAATATTATTTAAGTAATTCAATATATCCGTTAGATAGCAATATGTAGTATGAAATGCCAGTTATTGAGAAGATCTTTGATATTAAGAAAAACCCACATTCTTTATCAATTTCGCCGACTCAAATTTATTGATCTAGATACTAACTAAATGTTTATTGATTTCCTCATGATGAAAAAATTGAAAAATAGCATTCTATAGTGTGAGGTAGACACATACTTTATTTGAAAAACTCAATTACTGAGAACATTTTTTTGTACCTCTTAATTGCCGGATTAAAAATAATGTCAACATTCGTTTCAAATAAAATTAACAAAAGGGTTTACTTGATTGTAAAGTTCATACTTTTCTGACTTAATTTTGGATCCAGTTGGTTACATTTATCAATGAAAATTTAGAAGCTAGAAGACCATTTTGTTACCTGTACAGAGTTTACACGGAATGTATAGTATTAAAACAATTAAGCACTTCAAACTGGTTTAAATGTACCGGAATGTAATGTTGGTTGACCTATTACAGAATCGTTGTGGAAAATTATCAAACTTATATTAAATAATAACAAATGTCATCAGAAGTACTTGTGGCGCTTAATAATAACGATCTTGTTACCTGTTTAACAGCGACATTACATAGCGTTATCTTTATAAGTTCAAACAAGAATAATAAGTTCGGAATTACCGGAGTTTACTTGAATCGACATAATAAGAACTGATTGGTCATGATATTAAAATGTAATTTTACATTGTTCTATTGATTGAAAGAGAGTTGTTACTTGTTATATTGATGAAAATATTAAAATGTAATTTTTCAATACTGTTGTTTAAACTGGGTGTTTTTACTCACATATTGGTGTATATTCTGGCATGATTCTTTAAACCTAAAATTAGACAACAGTGTATCCTTGTCATTCGCTATACAGAATGAAAAAGAAAAACTGATGTTAAATTTAGATTTACCAGATCGACTTAGGGAACGGGTCTGAGAGTAGAACCGGTCTTAGGCGCATCGCGCACTAGAAGGCCAAGACCACGGTCAGTGGCCGCAACGACCAGATTAACTAAAGTAGGCCGTTGCGGCCAAGTGCGCGACTTTCGTATGGTTTATGTATAGTTGGACGTGGTTAAATGAAAAGGATCTAACCCACCTAAACTTAGCTTTGAGATGATTTTTTGAATTTAAGACCGTATTTCTTCTTCGATTCTCAATTTTATCTTCTTGGATTCATATGAATACAAAATCACATTACACTTGAATTTTACTTTGATCTTTGTCGTGTTTTAATAGTATTGACCTTAAGGAGTACTTTGGTATACTAAACTAATTTTCTATAAGGTTGTGGGTTGGATCCTTTTCATTTAACAACGTCCAGTTGATCTGGTTGTTGCGGCCACTGGGTGTGGCCGTCGCTTTACTCGTACTAAAACGGATAGTAGATTACATTTCTCTCATCACTGACGAGATGGTTAATTAAACAATAGTCTTTAGACAGAGTGTGTAGTAAATTGGTATAACAGTAATTATCATAATATAATTGATTTTTTCTTCCATAATTGCAAATTTCCAATCAAATTAATAAGCCCTTTTTCGTTCGAGTTACCGGGAATCAGTCCTTCTACAAACGATGTATCTTTGACTTTTCAGTAACTTTCGTCTTTGTTAATATGATTTAAGAAAATTTAAATGGTACCAAAAATAATTTGGTTGTAGCCATTTAAGTAGATACAATCGCTTTAATATTATAGTTCTTAGTCCACCGACGAGTCTTTGACTAAACCTTCACCTCCAAATACCTAACCGAGCGTTCCTTACAAAATACATGAAAGGCATAAAATTGCTATTGATAATTTTTTTATTCGAATAAAAATCGAACATTCAAAAATAAAATAGTCTCTACAATCTTACATGTATTTGCAGTCTGCGTTGAAAGTTTTAAAGTTTTAGAACTATTATATTACTAATTTTAATAATATTTCACTTTCCTCCTGGCCATGGTAAATAACTGCCCCAGCCCTTGTTGGGATTTGGATCCAAGCCTGAAATTAAACAAATTGTAAAAAAAAAGAAAAATAGAAATATCTTTGACGCTAAATGATGAATGATGATTAATTTAATGAATAAATTTTATTATGTGAAAGGGATAATGAAACAAATAATTAAAGGAAGTATTTCATTGATCAAGGAAATTTTGAAAAGCTATGAAAGCCGTTTCGGCGCTGTTATACTTACCTATTTATGGGAGTGAACAGGCTAAACATTTATATCTACGATTAACAGATTCGAGATAAAGTGCGTGAAATGAAACATTGGACAGGTTTCGGGCATGATTTTGTTCGTGTTGGTGTATCTAGGGTATTTAATATCGTTGTGTACAGTAGGAAATTGCCGACTTTGATAATGGCCTAGAGTCCTAGAATTATTAAACAAGTTTTAATGACATTTAACTATTGTTTTATTTAGTCTACTATTAAGAGCCCTTTTACAAAATTGCGCCGCTGCCGTACTGATCGGCGCGTAGGTAGATTTGCATTAGTATATATTGCATTTTACGGGTGATGTTTCGTGTCTCTTAAAATAATTATTAATGGCCTAATTATAAAAACATATACATATTTCAGTGTATTAATTTAACATTTATTTTTACACATATTTACATTTATACAACAAATACTTAAAAACTACATGATTACTAAAATTTACATTCCAAATAAACTTAACCTACTTAATTACTTAAATATATATAAATTACAAAATAAAAAATATGTCACCCCCAGCGCCGCCGTCAGGAATGGTGCCCAATAGGCTTGCAGCATTGCCACGTTGGATGGCAATGCTGATCCGTTGACCTAGATAGCTGCCAGCCTTTTGATCACCAGTCGCCTCAGTGAGCCTCTTTGATAGTTCCTTAAAAAAGGAACGAGCGCTTGGTCCCCATGGGCCCATAGTCTAACACCAAACGGCACAAATATGTAGTTCTCATTGAGAGCTGAATATTTGCGCCGCTTGGAGCACTCGGCAGAGGCCGCCGCCGCTCCTGCAGCTAGGGAGGTACTACCTGTATGGCACGGAGCTAGCGTATCCACGCAAGTTGCGTCCCATACAAGAGGACGACCCTGCTTCCAGGGAATGAGCGTCATACCGTCAGGTCTCTTGCCATCGTCGCGAAAAATAGCCGTTAGGCTCAAGGGCCGCTGGTACATTAACAGCGACAAGAGCTCTGCGGATGACGTCATTAATGCAAGCGTGGCGGGAGACTCGGCCAGCGCTCATTTGGCATGAGAGGCCATGGTGTCCTAACTCACCGACGCGAGTACCGCAACGACAGCGATGGGGATGGTTTGTCTTGACGCCTAGTATAAGCGATATCGCAAGAGACAGAGTGCTCTTGTCAAGCAAAGTCCCGATATTGGCTGAAGGTAAAGCTTGAAGCCAGTAACCAGACTCTGCTTGAAATACCGCTAGAAGGCGAGCACGCTCAGTGGCGCTTTCAGAGGATGCTAAGAGATCACTCTGAATACGCAAACAGAGCGGCTCGTCCCACTGCCTCTGAGACGATAAAGAGGATGGTGGATCCACTCCCGGGCATACCCTAGGCCCTAGACCATGCGCTTCTGGCCTCTGCAAGGTGAGCCAACTCCACTACGCCCAAAGAAGGGCATAAAATTTTATTACAGAGTTCGGCTGTACCGTTTGCAGAAGACAGAAAAGCGGGAAAGGCAATATGGGAAATATGGCGGGTACCTAGACCTCCGAAACGAACAGGGAGAGAGGCCTGCTTCCAAGCAATATCGGTAAATGAGCAATTTAGGATTTTGGAGAGTGTCTCTCTGAGTGAACTGTCTATAATTGAGAGTTGTCCTGGAAAAAGCCAAAAATGAGTACTACGTAAAAAATATATGAATTTTGGGACGAAAGCGCAAAAACGAATCAAGTATAAGGCCATGTGGGGATTAATTTTTAACATTTTTTCGGAGGACTGCTGGAATTTTGAAATTTGTTCATTAATAAAAATAGGAATGGCATCATCAAAAATCGGGGAACCACGGAGACGGAGTGATTTGGTATAAAATATTTTTATATTAGGGGCTAAAGTCGAAAATTTGATAATAATGTGTTGTAAATGTTCAGATGAGAATTTTGATTCTGGAATAAATAACTCGCATTTTGAATAATTTAAGTCAAGGCCAATACTTTTAAATTTATCAATAATGAGTTGAAAATCTGAGAGAACAGTTGAAATATCGCCAGCGATAGATCCGTCATCAAGGTACCACACATTAAATTTTGAATTTAGCGAATCAATAATAGGTTGTATAGCCAAACTAAAAATAGCGGGCCCAAGAGGATCGCCTTGCCGACAGCCGACAGATGAATACATCAGGTTATTTTTGAAAAGAAGTTTAGTAGGTTTGCTGTAACATTGCCAAAGATTATTATAAATATTTGGAGTATTTTGTTAAATTGCTGTGAGTAAGGCACCTCTATCCACGGAGTTGAAGGCATTTTTAACATCCACCTTCAGCACTACCTCCGCTGCGTCAAGCGACAGATAGGTGCGAAGAGCGTGAACAGCTGCTTCACAACCACCCTTGAAGCCAAAGCCAAGCTGAATATATATATATATATATATATATATATATATCATATTTCAGTTGATTAGTTTTATGAAAGTTTTTGATATTAATTCTATTTAATTCAATATCAAAATCGAGGTAAACCTGCATTATTTTTTGGGAAAACTCACGGAGGTTAGATGTTATTTTGATAATTAATGGGGTGGAAAATCAAAATTGTAATACATTATGTTACAACAAAAACATATTTTTGATGTCGTAGTAATTAATTTGATCTAATTTATTGAACACTAGCTGACCCGGCGAACTTCGTACCGCCTTAGCGTAGCTTTGATGCACTACTTTATTTTGTATAGCTGACCTATCTTATGTATGAGTACCTATTCAATTTGAACTGGAATCTATAATATCCTCCATATAAAAATGAATCCTTATTTCCCTGGTCTCGCCATACCTGAGGACTTTACTAATTTTTATTAAATAAAAAACAACATATATATTTTCATAATAGTCCGAAGGCACGTTAAGCCGTTGGTCCCGGCTGCATCTGCAGTCGTTAGCACCCGCCAATCCGCATTGGGCCCGCGTGGCGGGTCATGGCCCAATCTCCCTATTCCATTCATAGGGAAGGCCTGTGCCCCAGCAGTGGGGACATTAATAAGCTGATGATGATGATGTTGACTTTCAATATATTGGACGAAACATAGTAATATTTTATTTTACCGTATTATAATAATAAGTCTCTGTCTAGGACGTCCAGGTGGCAGCTTTATTGCGAAGAAATTGATTTTTTTTATAATAGATGTCGCTAGGTGCGCTTAAATGTGATTCATGTAAGTTGATTTTTCTGTGAGATAAACTTTTTAATGTAATATGAATTGTCATGTTTGTGTACGATAGCGCAAAAAAACTAAAAAACTGCCGGCACTCACGGAGTGCAATCCGTCGTTATTTTTTCTATTTTTGTGTAAAAATCTTAATGCAGTTCACAGAATACATCTACTCACCAAGTTTCAACAGTATAGTTCTTATAATTTCGGATGAAAGTGGCTGCGACATACGGACAGGCAGATAGACAGACAGATTTTCTTTATATTTTTTTCCGTAAGAACCTTGTACAGAGTATTAGAAAACTACAAAAAAAATCAGCCAAATCGGTCAAGCCGTTTTCATGTTATGTCGTGACAACGGAAAACGGGTTTCATTTTTATATATATAGATTATTGAGAGATTGAGGCGTTTGAAGTTGTGCATATTATCGTTTTCTCCGTAAACTAGCTGCAGTACAACGATCAGTACAAAAAAAGGAAAATAGTATTAGCAAATATTCTACATTAACTTACAATAGGAAGAATAAATCTACTATTTACTTTCTAAGGGGTTACCCTCACAAAGCCCTCAAAAAATAGGTTTTTTTGCAAAAAATGTAAAGGGCTCTTAAGCTACTTGGTGAGCTTCCTGTTTTATTGGTAGTAAATATTTATATGCTGTAATCATCATTAATATCATCAGTCTATTAATCTTCCCACTGCTGGGGCACTGGCCTTCTCTATGGATGGAATAGGACGATTAAAGATTATTATTTGATGTTGTACTTTGTTTTTATTTACAAAGTATGGGTAGCGCTAAAATACACTTTACAAAAACATTGCTCGTACGTACGTATGTTACGATTGCCATAGTTCAAACTACTATTAATAGGGTAGTATATGTCGAGTTATTTACTAATCTTCACGGAGTTCTTCAAAAATATCATACTTTTTATATGTCCATATTTTTTTAAATTAATAATTTTGTTGTGTATTTCAGTAAAGATAACTAAATATAAAATTCCATTTTCAGTTTGCCGCGAAAACGTTTTTCTGGGCATAATGGCGTCGCATTGTGTATGTGAGGACACACAACCGTCATTAAAACTAAAGTATTCGCCAATCCCAGGCGTTTTCGGTGACCATATAACAAAAATCTCATTTTTATTTAATGATATTTTTGATTAGTTATTGATTATTTGTTCTCACAGAATAAGCGCTACTGATATTGATATTAAATATAGATGCCAACAATTGTTACTTTATATTTCATATTGTCAAATAGCCTATTTGGTATTTTATGCTTGGGTATTGTTACAGTAACAAGGCACTAGCTGGGTAGGCTTCGAAGAGTCTGCGAGGTACTAGCCGACGTGGGCTCTCTCCGCGGCAAAAGGGCGAGGGGGCGCGGAGAGACAGGAGAGGCAGGCGCGCACTGGCACATCTTCTGCCACCCTGACAAAGGGGATAGCCCGCACAGGGCAAGGGGGTACTGGGTCACGTAGAGACCCTGGGATGGTCAGCACTTCGAGTGTTGAACACGGTTCAACTGTCCTTCTCAGGACCAGGGTAAGAGCATCACCCCACAGAGACACTGATCATTTTAATTGGCGGTAGATGCTCAAACGGCCCTTCTTAGGGCCAAGGGGGGTAGAAGAGGGACGGAGTGAGAGCACCTTGGGGGTGCGCGGACAGTCGGCATCGGTGCCGCGACCACACCCGCACTCCCGGCGTGCAATGGGGGGATTGCGGTCCTCAGAATGAACGCCGGGTGATCGGTGCAGGAGTATTGTCTGGTTTTTAGTGGCCCTGTTCAGGACGTTAGGTAGGGCCCTGCTCATTTCACCCGGCCCAAGGGCTGACTGTAATGAGCAGGGAAGAGTACCACATACCTTCTTCTCGCTCCCCCGGTGGTTGAAGGATAGGTAAGGCATTTCCCAGACAAAAAAAAGTAAAGGAGTGTAAGGCCCGTTCGCCTTATATCATCGTGTCCAATAGTGCAAGCATGTGCTTCAACAGTGGAAACATTAACAAGCTGATAATGATGACATGGATTATTGTAAATATACTGATTTACACGTGAAATTCTTTCAGGCTGATGACAATGTATTATTATGAATATGCCAACGAATTAGAAATGTTATGGAAGCATTACTCTCTAACTACTCGTATGTCTGCTAAAACTAGGTTCCAAACTCATACAACTTAAACTTCAACACTAACGCGACATGCACACAGACTAAACAAAATACTTTGCCAATCAAATATCTGCAAATGTATTCCGTTATCCATTCATTGGGTAAGATAATGTTAAACGGAAATCACAACCAATCCCATGATCGCCGTGTAGATCGCAGTTTTTTCGCCCCGCCCACTTGCTCGCAGTTTGCGTGGTACCACTTTATGGTGCAGTTCGTATTCCGTATTATTTCTAATTCGTTGGAATATGCTGAACAATGTTCCCTACCTTTAGCTACCGCTTGCAGCTTACTGGTGTCTTCGGGCGAGAGAGCGAGAATCTTCTGCAGCACGGGCACCAGTCGACTGCGCTCGTCTCCCGGTGGTAGCGTTATGAACTGTTTAAATATTCATCAAGTTATATTCAATCTAAATGTCTATCTATATGGGAGACAAAGTATGCTGAAGTGACGGTATATTTAAGCTAAGTTATTAAATTTAAGTCACTGTTCTTACTTTTTTTAAGTGCCTACGCTGCGTTAAGCGGCCTGAGCGGGCGTCAGCTCCGCATGTATGTTTCATGTTAGTTCATAGAGCAGCGCTGCGTGAGGCGGGTCTCCCGCGCAGCGCTGTTCTATGAAATGACATAGAAGCTGCACGCAGAACGGACGTGTGCTTAGTGCTCCTGCTAAACGCAGCGCAGACCTTAAGACGGATGTCACATTCTAAAAAGAAATAGTGACAGATTCAAGTTAAGTCAAGTTAATGACACTCGAAACTGACTCGTACTAATATTAGAGAAGGCGCAGTGTCGTCCCTACTACTCACTCACACACAGTGCTGTCAAACAATTACCATTCACTATCGTATAAAGTTACTCCAGTTTTCCATTATACCGTACAAGGCCACAGTTAGTTTTAAAACTACCGAATCACTACTCTAACTCAAGCTTTCAAGCTTTAAAATGAATAGGTACGTTTTCACTGTATGTTTATAACGTAGTACAGAGGGCAAATCCATCTACCGCTGAAAAACCACCCTTAATGTTAAGCCGGTGTAACAAAGATTCAGAAAATAATCCCAATATAGCATACTACATATATTGTGTTATAATGCAATGCAGAGATTTCAAAATGCAATAAGTGAATACAGGAGAATTCTGAATAATTTGTTCTCATTACTCAAGCATGGCAGCTGATAAGTATGCTACTTAGCTGTTATTGAGTAATTTTAATGAAGAAGAACTTATGAACACAAGAATCCATTATTTATTTAGTATTCAACGTTTGTGTTACTTGGCCGTAAACAGTACCCCTAGCACGAACCAGTTTCGAATTCGTATCGTTTGAGAGTCCGAAATGTCATTGTCAAATGTGTACTGATTTTTAGTTCTCGTTACGTACTGTGTGTCGCTGCTGTTCAAGTTTCCATACAAAATTTGACATTAACATTTCGGTTTACAAACTATTCGAATTCGATAATGGTTCGTGCTCGGGGTACAGGTAAAAGACTTACTTTAAGCGTGACGTTCCACATGTACTCCGCGTTGGGCGCACTCTGCCATAGTATGTCACTTCAACATAAACATAGTATAGATGGTAGACGACTTACTTTAAGCGTGACGTTCTTCATGTATTCCGCGTAGTGCGCACTCTGCCTTGATCCGTGCGCGCGACATAACTCCGTCTTCAAAAGGTCGCTCGGTTGAGACATTATTCCTCTAGTATTCGGCCTATATGTGTTACTGGGGCTTGAAAAGAGTATAGAAGATAGAAAACTTACTATAAGCGTGACATTGTTCATGTACACCGCGTTGTGCGCACTCTGCGTGGATCCGTGCGCGCGACGTAACTCCGTCTTCAAAAGGTCACTCAGTTGAGACATTATTCCTCTAGTATTCGGCCTATATGTGTTACTGGGGCGTGAACAGAGTATAGCAGATAGAAGACTTACTTTAAGCGTGACATTCTTCATGTACTCCGCGTTGTGCGCACTCTGCGTGGATCCGTGCGCGCGACGTAACTCCGCCTTCAGATGGTCGCTCAGTTGAGACATTATTCCTCTAGTATTCGGCCTATATGTGTTACTGGGGCGTGAACAGAGTATAGAAGATAGAAGACTTACTTTAAGCGTGACATTCTTCATGTACTCCGCGTTGTGCGCACTCTGCGTGGATCCGTGCGCGCGACGTAACTCCGCCTTCAGATGGTCGCTCAGTTGAGACATTATTCCTCTAGTATTCGGCCTATATGTGTTACTGGGGCGTGAACAGAGTATAGAAGATAGAAGACTTACTTTAAGCGTGACATTCTTCATGTACTCCGCGTTGTGCGCACTCTGCGTGGATCCGTGCGCGCGACGTAACTCCGCCTTTAGAAGGTCGCTAAGCTGCGCCATGCGCGCGCATTCGCGTTCAGACTCCGCCAATAATACGGTCACGTGCTTCACCCTACATTGAGAAAAAAAAATTAACCTTAACTTTATTAATAATAATAATTAAAAATTTCAAATAAAACGGCCTCGGTTTCATAATTAGCACGGATGGGGATGGAGTAATAGATTTAATAGGATCAGTGGTCAGCGATCTTGATGGCTGAAAACAATGTCTGCATTTATTACTTAATTTATCGAAGGCATTTAATCTAACCCACTTTACTTTAAGATTAGGGATTTGTTATTCGTGACTCAGCTCATAACATCCTCTAAGACTACTTAAGACTTAACCTCTAAGACTTGAAATTACTGGTCAGAGCTCTGAGAATAAAAATTCATAGTCTTTAAAAGTGAACAAATCTAAATATGTTATGGTGTACCCCAGTGTTCTATCCTTGGCCCTAACTTACATTAATCAGCTACGTCAACTCTCCATTCCACTTTGTAAAAGATGTTCGAAAATGCTCAATTTTAACTCGACCTGTAACTAAAGAATTCTTTTAGCGACCGCATTTCAACAACCATAGCACAGTTGCTAGCTATCTAGTCCTACGAGGTTACAGATATTTCAAAAATAACCCTGTATTGCTATGAATAATTACCAAATCACTTTAAAAGTGTATACATTAGAAAAATAACATACTTAAGCTGCTGCGCTTGGAGTCTCCTCCTCAAGTCGATGGCCTCTTGCTCTGGAGTGAGCGCCAACGAGGCAGCATCTAGAGCTTCATCTTCGGGGACTCCTTGTTCGAGTAACCTTTCTAGAGGGACCGGCGATCGACCGCTGCCACCACTCGCCATGTAAGACTTGAATGGCGGAGGCGAGGGCGCCGCTTCCGAACCCTATGAGCGATTTTATTTCCAAATGAAAATAATGCATGTAAATGTATCTTTAATAATATTAGCGCCAACGAGGCAAAATCTAATAATACTTCGTCCTGAGGGACTTCTTGCTCGAGTAACCTCTCGAGAGGGACCGGCGATCGACCGCTGCCACAACTCGACATGTAAGATTTGAACAGCGGAGGCGAAGGCGCCGCTTCCGAACCCTATGAGCGATTTCATTTCCAAATGAAAATAATGCATGTAAATGTATCTTTAATAATAGTAGCGCCAACGAGGCAAAATCTAATAATACTTCGTCCTGAGGGACTCCTTGCTCGAGTAACCTCTCGAGAGGGACCGGCGATCGACCGCTGCCACAACTCGACATGTAAGACTTGAACAGCGGAGGCGAAGGCGCCGCTTCCGAACCCTATGAGCGATTTCATTTCCAAATGAAAATAATGCATTTAAATGTATCTATAGTCACGTTAGCGCCAAAGAGGCAGCATCTTAGGTATAATACTACGTCCTCGGGGACTCCTTGCTCCATTAACCTTTCGAGAGGGACCGCAGCCACATCTCGCCATGTAAGACTTGATCAGTGGAGGCGAAGGCGCCGTTTCTGAACACTTTTATTTAATTTTACGATCAACATCATAGTAATTTACTTTATTAACGGGATTGCTACCATGTCCCTTGTTGTTTACAATCCAGTGGTTCGTATATGCCAAAACCGGAATACTCAAAAGAGTGTCGTGTCGCGATTAGATACTGTGATTGTTATATGTCGAGAACGGTTTAGAGTGCATAGTAAGAACGTGAACAGTGGTACGTGCGAGCGCAATAAAAGTTCGTCGGAGGGTAGACCGACATGTCTGCCAATAATATTCTTTCTACCCGCAATTAATTCAGTTACTCCGTGATCATGACGCTTGCAACATTGCCAAAATATCGGGAAATCGTAAAAATAAGGCACATGGTAGCAATCCCGTTAATAGTATAAATTGATATAGTATTAGTGATGATGGACGTATAAGACAATATATCTAACAATATTAGTTTTAAATAACATTCTTATAAGATTGAAATAATATATTACCTCTCCTTCCTCCCTCGGTATCATGGAGACGTTGATATCCATCTCTCCATCGCTGTCGTCCTTCGGTATAACCGGAAGCATGTATTGGTTGCGATTCGGATCGTTTGCTCTCGCGGCGCCGTGAGACTGAGACGAGTTAGCGTTGTCGTGACTCGCCAACTGTTTCCTCAGTAGATCAGTCTCTTTTTGGAGTCTCGCCTCCAATTCGTTGATCTGCGCTTTGTAGCACTGCGTTAATGTTGAAACCTTAAAGCAAACAAACAAATGGCATTATTAGTATGATACGATATAACTATAATAGCACTGTAACGACTGATTTAAACCAATTCCTAATAAACGGCCGCCCGCGCCTTCATCCGCGTTCGCTATAGTTTTTTGAGAATTCCACAGGAAACTAACATTCTTCCGGGATAAAAAGTATCTATGTCAAAATTCAGATAATAAACTATATGTGTGCTAAATTTCATCGAAATCCGTTCGCCTATTTTTGGGTGATTGAATAACAAACAAACTTTTACATTTTATAATATTAGTAGAATGTTTTGTAATACAGTTTTATTATACGTCTTCAGCCGCTCGGCGCCGCATCGATTCCGTTTCAGATGTTAATGTTCAATATTACATACCTGTAGTTTATGCTGTGATCTCTCCGATTCCAATTCTTGTGTGAGCCGCGTAAGATCTGCCTGCAGCCGGGAGTTACGTTGTTGCGCGCGCGCTACTTCGTTCGCGCCTTCAGCCGCTCGGCGACGCATCGATTCCGATTCCGAAGTTAATTCAGCGCATTGATCTCTGAAAACCGCACGTATTGTCAGAGAAGGAATAACCTATTTTGGGTTGCACGTTAAAATACTTATGGCCGTACTGGAAAACGTCAAATTAATTTAATGCTTCAGCAAGTCACGTGTTGTCCGATTGAGTTGTGAAAGAAAGTGTCAACATCAACTTTAGTCATTCTCAGTTCTCTCGGCGGTCGTTAGTTGACCAAAATAATAACGTTTTAAAAACGCCATAACAGCACAGCGGTTGCGCGTTGCCCACAATCTTTACACTATACTCTATTCCGTGAAGCTCAGAAAACTTTACTTATCGACAGAAAAGCAGTGTTACTTTACTTGTCTGATCTTAATGCCGGCACTTCACTTGGCAATAATTCGTATTTGCTATTTGTTAACTTGACAACAGTCTGTCCTTTTCATGTTTTATAAGGAATAAAAAGGACAGACTGATGACAGTTAACAAATAGCAAACACGAATAGCCAACTGAAATACCGGCATAAGAAAATCAATGTGCCCATAATTACGATAATATAAATAAAAAACAATATCAAGGAAACTTCCTACTAAACTTACTGTAAAGTTGAAAGCTTTGCTGTTAGTGTCTCTATTTGAGCGCGCAGAGCGGCAGCTTCCTCTTTCAATTGTTCTTCTTGGCTATGATCAACTGTTTGGTTTTGTCGTAGCACAGCTTGCGCCCTCACCTAAAACATAATGAAAGAGTTGCAACCAACGGACACTAAAGATATAAATCAGTAACCTTCACACAGAATCAAACCTTATAACTAGTATATTCAGTCTTCAAATCAGCAAGCTCTATATTCGTAATACGCAAATTTTCACCGAGTTGTGAACATTTGAATTCCAATTTTTTTAATTTGTTGTTCAATTCAATTTTCTCCTCTCCTAAGCTAATGATTATTTTTTCTTTTTCACTGAGTATACCAGTGATTTCTAAAATGGCTTCTTCGTTCTTTCTTTTTTCATCTTCTAGATCCTGTTCTAATTTAGATATGACTTCATTCTTCATTTGAATAACGCTGTCCTTCGCTCTGGATTCTTCTACGACATTCTGTAATTCTTCTTTTGTTAATCTAGTTTGCATTTCTTCTGATCGTATCTGTTCCTCCAGCAACTTTATTTGGGTTTTCATTGCATTAATAGTTCCCTCTTGAGTGTCAATTGTAGATTCCATCTAAAATACAAAAAAATACATTACAAGTCCTTAGATTGAAGCTCACATGAGATTTTATTTATGATATTGTGAGATATGTTTTATAATTTCATTCGAAAGAATAGGCTATTTGAGAGTATGAAAAATAAAGTACCAATTGTTGCCCTCTGTTTTTAATATGAATATCAGCAGCAATTTCACTATTCAGAGAAAACAAATAATTTATAACGTTTCTAAAAAAATATTAAATGGAAATGATTAAAATGAATGACTAAAATAACGACTATGCTAGTAAACTGCCGATCAAATTGACATTATATTGTATCGTTTGACGTTTTAATAACAGTCGTGTGACGTCACACAGCAGTGAGACGCCATATTGTCCAAAGAAATATATTCGCGGCAACTTGAAAATTGAACTTCTGATTTAGTTTCTTTTACTGAAATACACAACAGAATGATGAATATCCACAAACAAGGACTCTACAAACATTCAAATAACGTGAGATCGTTTTCTAAAACTTGTCAAATACCCTATTCAAAGTGTATCTAATAAATGCATATAGCAACCAGTTTAGTTACTTTATTGTCAAAATACATATTAATTAATTTAAACCCCTTTTGGAGAGTGTATGCTGTTGGTCGCACATGACGTTTACAAAGTTAGGATGGGCTAAGTACATATATCGAAATGTTACTTCAATACACTTCAGCCGGCTAAGGCCGGCTGAAGTGTAAGACGAACTAGCATTCTTAAACGAAAAATACGCGTGAAACTGCTTCAACAAGTCGCACACGATGATGTGCAGCACTATATAATGTAGGTATTTTACCCTTTGACTATTTTTACAATATCTACCTGAACCATCTTCTTCTTCTTTTCTTCCATTTTAGCCGTCAATTCTTTCATAGATCGTTCATAATCCTCCATTTCTAGGCTAAGTACATTTTTCTTTTTAGCGTCACGTCGCGCTTTCTCCAAGTTTTCTTTGGTTACTTTATGAGCTTCAATTTCAGCAGTCAATTGTTGAGACTTTGCGTCCAATTCAGCTAAAATATTAAAAACTTAATTTTTATTTTGACTTTGATGCTAAAATGTTGCTCTCTGTGATACTTATTAGGCAAAAAAATAATATGTAGTGGATATATCTCAGAATACACATTGAGCTTTCCTGACAACTGATAAAAGTTTAAGATATGCAATAAATTGATTAAAGGTTATACTGACAAAAGAAAGTAATACAATGGGCACAAAATTAGAAAAACAAAGTAAGATAGACATATCTACACTGACGTTTCGGTGCCAATTTAATTCGATAGCAATAATTTTATAACTTAAAATATATCAACAAAAAACTAACCTTTCAAATTTTTTAAATCTGCCTCAATTTTTTCTGAAGCTGCAACAGTTTCAGTTAAAGTTTGCACTTTACTTTGAAGATTTGACACATTATCAACTTCATCTTTACTAGCTGACTTTGGCGTTTTTTCGTTTTCACTAAGTAATTTTTCAAGTATAGCTTTGTCTTGTTCAGCATTTTGTAATTGATTAATAGTATCATTTAACTTTTTCTTTAATTTCAAAGCAAATATGCGTAACTTTGTGTATCTGAAAAAATAATTATGTTAATAAAGTTAACCCCACACTCTTTTGATTTTATTATTAGCAGGTGATTGTGAGCTCTCCTTTCTAATCAGCTCCGAAGACTATATTTTTTGTTCTCTTCTCGGGCTTGTATTTTACATAGATAAAACCTTCCGTGAGTTCAGTAGCTTTTGAAATTATCATAGACAGACAGAAGCGGGGGAGAACTTTATTTTTGAAATAGTAAGATGTATTTTGCAGCAACGCATCGACTTCAAGCCTATTCTTTTGTTGTTTTGTACGCTACACCGTAATGTAAGCATTTGGCATGAGTTCACTTTTACATAGCAGCTGACAGGGTCGATTTTAAAATCAAGGCCCACGCAGACAGTAGAAAAACCAAGATGCCGCAGAGCTCAGGAAAAAAAATCGAAAAAAATACTTAAACTACGTAGTGTCGTTTTTTTTACATGTATCTTCAATGTATTAATTTAACGCATTTGAAGCAAATTTTGTTCTAATACTTACTATAAAATGATTAAACAGTAATAGTTTATTTGCTAGGAACATAGTTTGTTTACTTTTATTTCCATAAAAGTCTAGTTCTGAATGTCCCGCCCTTGAAGGGACATGCAACATTCGTCATAATTATTATTGACAATTAATTCATTTCAATTTGATACAATGCAATACAATTTATTTATCAATTAATTATTCAATGTTTATAATTTTTATCATTAAAATCAATATTATGAAAATATTAATACACTAGTCAGATACACATTAAAAAAACATTTGTAATATATAATGATATCGATTCTGGCATGATTCTTTAAAGCTAAACTTAAATTGGCAAAAGTGCATCCTTGTCATTCTCTATACGGAATGAAAAGGAGAGACTGATGTTAAATTTAGTTTTAAGTTTAGAGAATCACCCTAGAATCGACACCAATGTCCATGTAAATTAATAACTTAAAATTACAGTCAAGATATTTTATTATATTATTGACAGTTAACTCATTACAATTTATCAATATATAATGTCAATGTAAATTAATAATGTCATAAACTTAAATTATAGTCAAGATTACAATGGATTTGAAAAAAAAAACATTTAATGTATAAAATGATTTCCACAGTAACTAAGACTTTAAACGCTTCATAAAAAAACGTAACGGTAACTCTCTAATTAAACTCGGAATATGATTATAAGTTTAAATGGCCATAAGGAAGCAGCTCCTCTGATGGAGTGCACTTCTTCAAGGAAGAACTCCCAGCTTAGTGGGATTACGACTAACATATTTACTACTGTGATCATTATTTAATTCAAATATTTTTTTTTTAACTACAACCCGACCTCCAAAGTATATAAGCAAGCTAAAGTCAGCACTCGCAATTTTTTAAATAAGGGTCTACATGTGGTCCACCGGTGAACCCCACAGATGGCTCGAATTCATTTTTTACTACAAAGGCTCTTTGAATATCGATCGAGTAGCCCTATAGCAGCAAACCGTACCTCAGCATTGCCGCGACGTAGACATGGTAACCAATTAGAGCTGCTTGTTCATTTGCCGTGGTGCGAGTCTGTCTTAAAGCATATATAAACCTGTTAAGTTTATAACATACATCATCTACATGTCTTTTCCAATTGCAATTATTGTCTAATGTTAATCTTAAAAAAATTTCACCGCAATAAGAAATATTAAATTTTTTATCAATTACGAAATTGTACATATTTATTTTCTGATATGTTTCTTTAAGCTTAAATGTCAACCATGTTAAAACTTTACTTAATGTGTCATTCAGAATTGATTCATACGTTATGTCACTTTTATTATTAGTATTAGGTATTATTTTTGATGTCATCAGCAAATAGAACGCATTTTACGTCGGTCACAGTGGTCCCAGAATACTACCTTGTGGAACTCCAGCATAGTTTAAGATATACACAGACCTGTGGTGAGTTGATACATTTATAGAAATTATTTGTGATATTCAAATGCACGGCCGGTTGTATAGCCGGCTCTTTTCCTCGCGGTCCGTACCTGCTATATTGCTAACAGCGCGAATTACGATATAGAGACAGAAATAAAGTCTATATTCTTCCGCCCTCGTAGCATCAATTCGTAAAGTTTTACGAGCTTACGTTTCGATCTGTCATAACCGATTGACTCTAGCGTTTAAATTACACACGTGCAGGCATTCACGGAAAATCCATATAGTTCTAGTTTTTTAAGAAGCAGCTAACACGCTACGCTGTGCATATTTCCTTTGGATATGCTGTTATATATTAAACACCCCATCAAACTTCTTGAGCAACGACCATAGACAGGGAAACCTGCGCAGAAGCAAATTGAGATAGAAAAACGTCTACTGCGCAAGTTTATTTGCTCTGTGAATATGCTCAAGAAAGGCGCTACCTATATGTGTGTACGCCATTTCACCGGGACACCCCCGGGCCAGCCTGACCCAACGAGGGGACCGGGCGACACGCCTCTGGGGGATTGCGCTAGCGTACTAGGCTGCCTTCTTCGGCCCACCCGTCTACGTCGCCGTCGGAGGGGAGGGGCTAGAGCGTCCTCCTCCCGCTCCCTCTCCGCGGCCTCCTTCTGTGTCATCACCGATTCGCAGGAGGCGGCAGCCTTCCAGGCCTTCTGGCTATCAAGCATGGCTCTAACCATCGCCGAGCGCCGCAATCAGTACCCCTAGCACGAACCAATATCGAATTCGTATCGTTTGCGAGTCCGAAATGTCATTATCAAATGTGTACTGATTTTTAGTTCGCGTTACGTACTTTGTGCCGCTGCTGTTCAGGTTTCCATACCAAAGACATTAACATTTCGGTTTGCAAACTATTCGAATTCGATAATGGTTCGTGCTAGGGGTACAGAGTGCGGCGCTCGTTTCGCCAGGCCGGGCACATGATTAGCGTGTGCTCGGGCGTGTCGTCGGGAGAGGCGCAGTGATGATACCGCGGCGACTCGACTTTCACCGCGACTTCACCACACGAACTTAGCTCAGAGATTCCCTCTACCCGAAAATCTACCAGTTGACTTTATCATATAATGAGTGAAAAGGCTATTGGCGACGTGTATACTTACTTTTCTTCAAATGAATCATCTAAATCTCTCATTCGCGAATGTTCTTCTGCTTTTGAAATTGTGGAAGTAGACATATCCTCATTTTGCAAATCTATAAAAATCCGAATTATAGATAAAAAAATACAAAATTAATTCAATTTAAGTCATTCTTCAAATTTTACTTACCAGAAGATGATTGCTGATGTTTAAGACTTTCGATCTCATCTTTTAAAGAATTAATCATGGTATCCTTTTCAGATAATGCTTTTAAAGCAGCATCTTTTTCATGAAGAATCTGTTCAGAGTCATTGTGTCTTTTATTTGTATTTTCTTCAGCATTTTTCAAATCATTTTCTAAACTACTAACTTTACACTCCAAAATGCCCTTTTCTTGGTTAACCCTATCTCTATCTTTTTCCAAGGTTTCTATAAGTCTCTCCATTTCTGCAACAGCTTTTTGTAATTTTGATATAGCTTCGCCACGTTCTTTAAGTACCTGATTTATTTCTTTCATTTCATTCAATAATTCAGTATTTTCCGTTTTGTACCCCATAAGTTTAGATTTTGCATCATCACATTCGGCTGCAAGATTATCAAATTCTTTAGATTTAGCACGAGATTCCTTAATTTCTGTAAGAAGAGAAGCATTTTCTTGTTTGTATGCAGCTAATTTTGTTTCTAACTTCACTATATCTGCTTGTAGAGAGACATTCAAATCAGATTGATTTTCACCATCGTCAGGTCTTGGTTGTTCTAATGAAAGTTTGAGATTTTCCACTTCTTCTTTGAGTAAGCCATTCAGGTCCTGTAGGTCCTCGTGTGTCTTTTTTAGTAAGCCATATTGTTCCTGCAATTCAATTATTTCACATTTTAATTTGCTAATTTCGTTTTCCTTTTCTGTTTTAAGTGTTTTCTCAACTGCAGTTTTCTCTTTCGATATTATGTCAAGTTGAGATTTTATATCTGTAATTTCAGATTTTAACTTATCATTCTGCTCTGTTAATATTTTATTTTTGTTTTCCAACTCTACGACATTATCCCTGGCATTGAGTTTTTCTTTTACCAATGTTGCCTTCTCACTCTCTAATGCCTTGATTTGCAAATGCATATTTTCTATAAATTGATTATTAGAAGATGTTGTTTGTATAGACTTGGCTAATTTATCATTTTCACCTTTCAACTTTTCAATTGTATTCATAAGATCTGTATTTTTATTTTTTAATGTGTCATATTTAGCTTGTATTACATTTAAATCAGTGGTTAATTGATTGTTAATCTTGATGTGTGAAGGAAGCTGCTGTTCAATTAAATCCTTGTAATCGGTATTGATACTGTCTAAATCCTTTTGAAGTGTTTCATTTTCTTTAACACATTTAGATAACTGTTCTTTAATCTCAAATTGCTGAGATTGCAGTAAATCACAGTTACTTCTTAATGAAATTACTTCAGACTTGTGTTTTGCACAATTATCATTTTCTAATTGTAAAAGTCTTTCCAAATTATTAATTTTGGCTTTGAGAACTGCATTTTCGCTATGTAAATTAGAAACTTCAGAATTGTTCTCCTCAATTTTTTGGGGATTAGTAATGTTATTTAACTGCTGTTCTAATTTTATAAGCTTTTCTTTTAATTTTGTATTTTCGCTATTTAGCTGATTTATTTGATTTTCAAGCAATTGTGATGCTTTGATTATATCATTCTGCCATTTTGGTACATTTTCAGAATATTCCTTTATTGTCTTTGTCAATATAAATCTTGAATTTTTAAGTTGATTAATACAAGTAGCACATTTTAGTATTTTATCTTTATAGCTACGTAATTTGACATTTGCTTTCTCATTTCTGCTTTTTTCTGATTCATACAAAGTGGAAAGTTCCCTCATTTTATTTTCATACTTAACCATGTCAACATCATCATTATGATGAGAATTTAAAGCAATTTGATTCTCTAATTCTTCGACTTTTTTGTTTAGGGCATCAATCTGAGTTTTACTGGTTTCCTCTGAAATAAATAACAGATATTAAATTACAATAATAAATACAATAATGTGTTTCATTCTAGTTCCTATTTATATTATAAATGTGAAAGTTTGTGTCTCAATCTCGCAAAAACTACTGAATGGTTTTGATAAAATTTGGTACGCATATAGTTTATGTCCTGGATTGAGACAATGAACAAAATGTTAGATTCGTGTGGGATTGACAAAAAACTTAAGTTAACGAGACGAAGTCCCGGGCGGCCGCTAGTAATAAATATTTATATTTACCTCTTTGCACCCTTTCTTCCAATATTTCTAGTTGTTTTCTTTGCTCTAACCCTATTTTATTGAATTCCATAATTTGCGTTTCAAGCTCTGAGAGTTGAGTAATAAGTTGTTCATTTTCTTCCATAAATCTATTGTTTTGTCTTTTTAAAGATATGATTTCACTGTCTACGTCTGACAATTTTTGTGCATTGTCACTTAAACTTTTATCTTTTATGATGAAATCTGCTTTGAATTTTTTGATTTCCTCCTCATACAATTTACATTTACTACTGAGGGATTTTATTTTACCTTGTGCAGTGTCAACTTCAGTTATGTAATTTAGTTTTTGCTCAGTTAATGAGTCTACAAGTTCTTGTAATGTTTGTATATTTTCTAAATTTGACTTTTTTTCTGTTTCATATTTATCAAGTTGTAATTTATAACTTTCAATCTCAGTTTGCAGTTCTAAAAGAAAATAATTGATCACTTTCAATAATGTAATAATAATATTATTGAAAAATATTATGTATTCTTGAATATCTAATGGGTCCCGGCTGTTAAAGTAGCTTTGTTCCTTATTAACAGAATTATAGACTACTAGACTTGTTTTTTCTTTTCAGTTTTTATTTTAAGTACAATTAAGCAGTCGGGTTTTTTGATTTTTTAAATTTACCTTTTTTTATTATGACACCGAAAAAAAAAATATCGTGGTAGTCTAAAGATATGACACATGGGCATATTTAAGTAGCTAAATAAATTCATTTTAAAGTACCTTCATTTTATATTATTAGTTACCATAATAATATGCCATATCGTACTATACAACCAGATATACATCAAAGCTTGCCAACAATCCGATGCTTGCACTTACTGGGACACCTTAAAACGGTTTACGGGGGTTGAAGGACTTGCAGTTGCAAATAGTTGATTCGTCTTACTTCGTTGTGATGGTGCGCAGGGAGCGCACTTGATCGATTTTTATCTAACACGCTTTGGACATTGGAACACGATTATAGGTTTGTCAATTAGTATGGATGAACTGGAATCATGTTTTCTCCGAAGCGTGGACAAGTTTGTGTGATTTGAGGTTGCTCCGTTTTACATAGAAGACAATTTACTATAAGGAACAGACTGTTTGAAAAACCCCAACCCATGCGGGGATTTTTTGACCCCTAGCACCTTGTGAAGTACTCCCATAATACCTGAGCCCTCTATGTAGTGCCGAACTAAGTAACTTAATTAATTCCCTAGTTTCATTAATGTTGGTTCATTATAGTACTTGTACCTATTTATCTTAAAATAACTAAAGACCTCCGGTGTACGGTACACCTAGAGTTGATATGATAAGTAAAAGATGATATAAGAATTTAAACTATTTATTACTATATAAAAACTGATACTATGCTATGATACTCGTAAATGATTGATAGATGAGTGCGCGCCCGCCGCGATCGGTAAGGAAACGTGAACTGTTGCAATTTTGTAATTATGAACACAATTATGAAAAGTGATGACTTCGCAAGATGTACGCTTGAACCGTACATCCGGGATGGAATTTGATGCGCTTTGGCACAGATGATCGAGACTGTAATACCTTTCAAACAAATGTAGTTTAAGTCGTGCCGGACGTGGGTGCAGCGTCCATACATTTTTGCCCATTGTCCTTTGTGAGTTCAAGAGTTTGAAAAGAAAGATAATGTCAAACATTTTACGATGAATAGAAAGACTAAGTAGTTTATATCTGACCAAAGTTCCACTGTATGATTCATCTGTAACATTGTGCGAAAGTTAAGAGATTTAATAAAGAACAATGGGTAATGTTGTATGGAACCCGTACCCACCTTGTAGCATTATAGACTAGGTGTCATTTAAAAGACGCATAATTAACTAGTTCAATTATTAATGAACGAATGAATTAATTAATGACGGGCCGAAGATATGACTAATTCTTTATTACATTTTTAATAGCCAGGTGTCATAACAATTTGACTTTTTGAAGTAAAACTTCTTTAGGCACGCTTGACTTGGGGGTAAACTACGTTTAGCGTTACGATTAGTTTCATCGGTGACTCATAATGAACAATACCCGTCACAAAATACATGAATCTAGTGCGACCCAGTGCGGATTAGTGGATGATAAAGGACCCAGCGCGGATTGGTGGGTGATAACGGACCCAGTGCTGATTGGTGGGTAATAACGGACCCAGCGCGTATTGGTGGGTGATAACGGACCCGGTGCGGATTGGTGGGTGATAACGCACCCGGTGAGGATTGGTGGATGATAACGGGCCCAGCGCGGATCGGTGGGTGATAACGGACCCAGTGCGGATCGGTGGGTGATAACGGACCCAGTGCGGATCGGTGGGTGATAACGGACCCAGTGCGGATTGGTGGGTGATAACGGATCCACCCTGCTGTACTACTCACTCATCAATTGTGGCCGACCAGCGGCAACGGTTGCATACTGAAAGATAAATACTATTTACGACACACCAACCCAAGTGCATAATATAGTGCTAAGTACTTAAAGGATAAAATCTCAAAAACTTTGAATATGCGTAGGGAGATTTTATTAAGAATTTTCGGCATTTTCAACGACGAATATCTTTTATCTCTCGCGAGCTACTTATTTGCTCCCATACAATAAATTAATACACTTTGGAAGACCTTTCTAATGGTACCAATTTCAATGTGCTACATGGTGGGTACGTTTTGCTCTATGTTCTTTATTCTGCGCTCTTTCTATTCTTTGTATATGTCTTAGATAACATTAAAATGGGCTCCAAACCGTGCTGCAAAAATGTAAAAGAGACCTGTCGTAAGAAAAATATAATATTTTAAGGGTGAGAATTTCTTTGAAAGGGTTACATATTATGAGTATATATCCTAACCTACGAAATGCTAATTTTAATATGTGGTCTATGTGATTAAAAGATAGTTCCAAATGCATAATAAAACCAAGGTCTCTAATTTTAGTGACGCGCTTGATATTGTTGCCTTCAAATGTGTAGGTATTGAAAGTTGTCCCGTGGCAGTTTGGCTGGGTCTGCTATCGGGCGCGTCCTCCCGGGTGGCGGATGGGGGGTACCGGCTTCGGCCGGCGTGGACCATACCCAGCTGTGGAGACCTGGCTGGCGTCCTGGGTATCCCGGGTAGCGGTAGTCGGGTCAAGCTCGTAACCCTGCACATAGTGCGGAGCCGAGGGCCGTCGCCTGCAAAGGAACTGTTTCCTTTGGAGGCGGGGGCTGCGAGGAAGACAACCTCTCTAAAAAATTACCCGATGGTGGTCTCGGCTGGCGTCCTGGGTATCCCGGGTAGCGGCAGTCGGGTCAAGCTCGTAACCCTGCACATAGTGCGGGGCCGAGGGCCGCCGTCTGCAAAGGAACTGTTTCTTTTGGAGGCGGGGGCTGCGAGGAAGAAAACCTCTCTAAAAAATCACCCGAAGGGTCTCTCGGCCGGCGCCCTGGGTAGCCCGGGTAGCGGTGGTCGAGACTCTGTAGGTTGAGGCGGAAACGCCGTTGGTGAGGGCGGTTGCGGCGCGAACTCCGCGTCGCCTCCGGCCAACCCGTAACCCCGCACGTGGTGTGGGGCCGGGGGCCGCCGTCCTTCGGGGCGGGGGCTACAAGGAAGAAAACCTTTTCAAAAATCACCCTTGAAGAGGCCAGGTAGGGTTCCCTCGCCCGGAAGAGGGAAAAACTATGAGAAATGTCGAATTATGTTGTGAGTATGTCATGCGCTCCCGTTGACGCCGGGCGCTCTGGGGTAGCTGGGCCCCAGGGTAACTAGCGACCAATGCGCTCCGGCTGGCCACCGGCGCTGCGGGATTACCGGGTCCCGCAGTGGTAAATTAGTTACCGAGGCGATCGAGGGAGTAGGCATCCTGCGCCTTAGGGAGGATGGGGTGGGTTCAACATCATTGCCCCCCAAGTCGAGCACGACCCGTAAGGGGAAGGGTAAACGTAAAGCTTCCCCAGTTTCCCCTGCGGAGGACGAAAGCGATGATACCCTTACGGTTCCGGAGATCAGGTTCCAGGTTGAACAGCGTCTGAGATATCTCGACTCCGTGGTGGATGAATACCCGGTGAGCAAAAAGCACGCTGAGATGGCCTATCGGGCAACAAAGGAGATCAAGAAATTCCTGGAGATGGCCCTGCGGAGGTCCAAGGACACAGAAAGGATGGAGCAGATAGAGGAGGAGAACATCCGTCTCCAAAAGGAAAGCCAGAAGACAAAGGCTGAGATGGACAAATTGCGAGCGGAGTTGGGATCGCTGAGGAGAGCGATGGAGGAGAGAGCGCCTCTTCCAACCACACAATTGGTGCCACTGGAGGCCGTCGAGGAGCTGAAACGCTCCCTTATGATATCCATAGGGGAGTTGGTAAGCACTCGGCTGGCTTCCCTCGAGAAGAGGCTTCCGCCGCCGGAGCGGATCAGGCCGCCCCTTGCAGCGGACCGGCGTGGCGCGGAGACGGAAGGGAAGAAGGCCGCAGCGGTGGTGGAGACCTGGAGCACTGTGGCCAAAAAACCGGCGAAGAAGAAGGGTGCGGGCCCAGGAACGACCCAGATGCCGGAGGTGGCGAGGACGCGCGCGCCAGTGCCAAATAAAGCGCAGCGACCGGAGGGTGGGAGAGCAAAAATGAGGGTGCCAAACACCGCGGCTGTGTCCTTGACACTGACGCCGACCGCGAAGGATAAAGGGGTCACCTACACGAAGGTGCTGGAGATGGCCAGGGCGAAGGTGAGACTCCAGGAATTCGGCATAGACGGAGGTCTTCAGATCCGGGAAAGCCGGATGGGGACCAAACTCTTGGTGGTCCCGGGACCGGACAGTCCCGCAAAGGCCGATGCCCTCGCGAAGCGCATCGGCGAGGTGATGGCGGATTACGTGGAGGTCGGCAGACCGGAGAGGGTAGCCGACCTGCGGATCACCGGGCTGGATGAAACAGTGACGGCGGAGGAGCTGGTGCAGGCTGTGGCGGAAAAGGGAGGCTGCCGGGCCTGCAAGGTAGAGGTGGGGGAGATTCTCTCCGGATCGGGAGGCAACGGGTTCGCCAAGGTGAGGTGTCCCGTAGTGGAGGCCAAAAAGGTGACGGAGGGCGACAGGCTGAAGGTGGGCTGGAGTCTTGCTCGGGTGACGGCACTGGGCCCCCCACCTTCGCACTGCTATAGGTGCATGGGCAGGGGCCACGTCGCTAGTAGGTGCCCGTCCAGGGAAGACCGCAGTGGCCTGTGCTTCAGGTGTGAGACGACCGGACACAAGGCGGCCACATGCACCGCCCCGTCGCGATGCGCAGTGTGTGAGGAGAGTGGTCGACCGGCCGACCACGTTATGGGGAGGGGGAGTTGTGACCCGCCGGTCACGAAGGGGAAACCCCCCGAGAATGGCCCTCTGAGGCGTTGGCGCCTGTACGAGCGCCCTCGGAGGGGGGGATGTCCGAGTAGCCCTGGCCGCTCGGACCCCCCACGAATGCGGTCGCCGCGTTCCCCCCTCTTCTCCCAGGAGAAAGGACGGGGAGATGTGGGCGGCCGGGAGGGGGGAGAGGGACGGGAAGAACTACGCTTCCCCTCCCGCTTCCCCCTCCAAGGAACGGCGGCCCTCCTCATGTGGGTCTGTCTGCAAGGGGGGGGCGGCGGAGGGTTATAGCCCTCCGCAGCGGACGGGGGGCGGTACGGTGGGCACTAGGCCGCGTACCCAGCCCCCATGCGCGGGCCTACCTGCGCACGTCTGCGGGGTCCCCGCAGTACCTCGGGAGACCCCTGCCGTGGAGCCCTGGCGAGGCCGGGAAGCTGCTAGGTGCGGGGATGCGGAGAAATCCCACCAAGAGGATCCCGCAGCTCCGCATCAGGCAGTAGTAAAGGTATTCGCAGGACGTTTGATAACGTCACCCATGTCATTATTATACAAAGAAAAGAGAAATGGGCCTAAATGCGAACCTTGCGGTACACCTGAAGGCACAGGAAGGAATTGAGATGATTACCTTTGATACAAACCGCTTGAAATCTATTTTTAATATAAGATTCGATCCATCTCAGCAGGTTGCCGTGTATACCGGCCCTCATAATTTTAACAATAAGCATACAACTAATTTATCGAACACTTTGGAAAAGTCGGTATACACGACATCCACCTGGGAATTTTCACCAATTGCTTGAAGTAAGTAATCTGTAAATGTGATCAAATTTGTATCAACACTTCTATGCGTAAAAACCCATGTTGTTGGGGAGATATAAAGTTACGAACAGCTACTATGATTTGCGAAGTAATTATTTTCTTAAGAATCTTACCCAAAACACAAAGCTTGGAAATCGGTCTCTATTCTGTCAAAACATCCTTTTTATTATTTTTGGGAATAAGTGTGATGAGAGAATACTTGAATTGGTAAGCTTTGCCGAGAAAAACCCTAGCATCTAAAAGAGAACAGAGTACTCCGGGCGACAGTCAGTAAAGATCTCGTCACCATAATGTCTGCGCTAACTCTACTGGTTTCTAATCGCCTTTCTCTATTATTGATTGGCAAAGCAAAGAAGCCGAGGGCTTTAAAGAACGTAGCTAAGTTACCAGTGACCTATACTAATCAGAAGAGTGCATGGATGGACTGTAGTCTTTTTTGGCGTGGTATGAAAAAGGAAACAGGAAGACATGGAAAAGTTTTGCTTATTATTGACAATACACCAACGCATCCATCACTTGTGAATTTAAGTGTCTCTTTTTACCATCTAACGTCGCAAGTCTGCTGCAGCCCCATGGACCAGGGTGGTATTGAGTGCTCGAAACGACTTTACAGATAACAGTTGCTTCGTAAATTGCTTTTAGCTGAAGAGAGCGACGAAGAACGGGTTTTGGATTCGAACAAAAAAAATAAACTTGAAAGACTCCTGCAACATGGTTAAAAATGTTTCGGCACATCAACAAAAGAGCAACTCGAGTAAGAAAAATCAAGCGAAGGAACGAGAATCAACCGCTAAAGTTAATAAAGACGAACAGTTTGTAAACATGGCTAATGAAATCGCGGAATGTTCGGAGTGTGATGTCGTTGATATGGAAGAGTGGTTTCACTATGATAAGAACGATCAAGTGTTCCAGATACAGACAGACGATGAAATCGCAGCGAGTGCCATGGACGAACAGGATAATGAAAAGGACGACCATCAGACCGAAGGGGAAGAGGCACAAGACCAAAGTGTACTATCACACAGTTTATGTGCTTCGATAAAGCCCTCAAGTGAATGGAGCGAGAATCCGAATGCGACGGTGTACAACTTCTTGCCGTACGGGCGTGACCTACGTGACCTTGCCGCACGAAAACGAGCTTCAACATCGAGGCAACATAATAAAATAAAATAAATAAATATTTCCAACACTCACACCAATTAGCCTAGCCCCAAAGTAAGCACTTAAAGGCTTGTGTTATGGGATGCTAGAGTAATGGATAGAATACATATACTGTACATATAAAGTATATTTATATAGAAATACATATGAAACATCCATGACTGAAGTACAAATGTTGGTATTCATCACACAAACATCTGCCCCCACCCCGACCTGAGAGGTCCCGGGTTCGAATCCCGATTCGAACCCGGGACCTCTCAAGTCGGCGCCACCATAAAACCCGGCGTACAAACCGTTCGGCCACGGAGGTCGTCAAAAATTTAATAATCTGATCAAGATGTTCAAGTGAGTGCACTGGGTTTTGTATATTATCTGCCGCGGCGCGGAAATGCGACGGAAGTGTGTAGCAGCCTAACAGGAAGTCGCGAAAGCGCGAGCTATTTGATTTGATTTAAGAACATAATATTCAAACAGCTTTTTTTTTTGTTTACTAATACATAAGGTGAGGTTTTAAATGTTACACATCATATGCGACTACTGTAAGGCTCGCATGTTTTTTTTTTGCTACTATGTACCTCTATAATTGTATCTAGTATTGTAGAACTATGTTTGTTAAACTTAATAAAGTTTTAAAATATTCCTAATCCACTAACCTAGACAACAATTTCTACTAAAATCTACTGAGATGAAAAAAAACTACCGAGAAATTCCACCAACCTACATTTATGGGTACAATTCCCATTCACGCAATAGTTTTGTTAAAATTTATGTTTTATTTTAATTATGGTAGATGGAAGTACGTACTGCTTCCAATCTAACGGAATTATGTAAAAGAAACAGCATTCATTCACTCACAAAGATATTTCAGGAAATCCCCAACCCCATTTTGTTAATGTTGCCATGACAAGACAACCAAAGCTGAAAAGTGAATCTTAGAGTAAAATCTGATATCTGTATCGGTAGCTTAAAATTTGTATTAAAGATACAGATAAAGCTGTATAATGGAAACACACATCTCTTAATAAAGTTTTAAAATATTCCTAATCCACTAACCTAGACAACAATTTCTACTAAAATCTACTGAGATGAAAAAAAACTACCGAGAAATTCCACCAACCTACATTTATGGGTACAATTCCCATTCACGCAATAGTTTTGTTAAAATTTATGTTTTATTTTAATTATGGTAGATGGAAGTACGTACTGCTTCCAATCTAACGGAATTATGTAAAAGAAACAGCATTCATTCACTCACAAAGATATTTCAGGAAATCCCCAACCCCATTTTGTTAATGTTGCCATGACAAGACAACCAAAGCTGAAAAGTGAATCTTAGAGTAAAATCTGATATCTGTATCGGTAGCTTAAAATTTGTATTAAAGATACAGATAAAGCTGTATAATGGAAACACACATCTCTTAACAGATAACATTTATGCATCCATACTATAAGGCAATTTATGTATAGGGATATTACCCTTTAAACTAGTTTGAACAATACTCTGAATCGCAATTAAAATAATTATCAAAATATACTCTATTCTCTAAACATTAGAGGTCAATATTCCATGCTATAAACAGTACTAATATTAATGTTGCCAACATAAATAATAGGCTTGAACACAAGCCTTTTCAGCCTGGACTATTATTGCTTCAAATCCACTAGATGTTTGGAAATTACTGCATATCTATTCCATGGACAAATTTTCATTGATAATCTACTACTGCAGTATAAAATCTACTGTGAACGGTCACACTGGGTCAGTTTGTTTTCTTTTTAAGCAGTCTATGTACGTTTATCCGAATTTTAGATTATCTAAAGCGACCCTGGTCCCAATTAAATTGGGTAATAGGTATTCTACTGTATATAAGATGACAGAAATATTGCTTTACAAGATTATCATTTCATACAAATTATTAGTTTGTATTACTATAGAATAAATGCTATGTTAATTTAAATTTATTTACCTGTTTTGGCTTGTTTAGCCTTTTGAGCAATTGTAAGTAGTCCTTTGCATTTTTGAATTAATTCATCCCTGCTTAGGTTATCAAAAGGGCTTCTTTTAACTGTACCGTCTTGTGTCTAAAAGTAAATAAAGTATATGAAATAATTAAACAAGAATACAATTATTTACAAATACAAACACTCAAATAGTGAACCAGTAACTTATTATTTTTTCTGCTATATAATCTATTAAATGGATACAATATATTCTATTAAATTTAAACAGCATGTTTTTTCCAAGTTATTTTGTAAACCCTATCAACCCCTTAAATATGAAATATTTTTAAATACCGATTGACAATGATTGGCCCAGTTAATTACTTGTGTTGGTACACAAAGACTCGCAATTCAGCTTTAACTTCTGGAAACCTAATACTGTAGTAAATATTAGATTATAAAATATAGCACCTACTCATCATAGCACCTATCAAACAAATGCTGAAAACCTGACACATCGCTGATATGAAATTTTGTTCCTTCTTACCGTAGTTTCAGTATGAACTTCCATGATATAATTTTATTCTCTTTTTAATAAAACATATTTTTCTTTTGAAATAAAAGAGTTGTAGATTAAATTAAAAACAGCAAAACTTTATTTTAATCAACATCGACTGCATTCAATACAAATTACAAAGTAGTAGTAGTAGGGATGCGAAAGTAAAATAATCGGTACAAAGCAAAATATCGTTTCAAACAATGAGGGCTATCGCGTATGAATCCGCCGCTAGAGGCGCTAGTGTAGCGTGAGGTCTCCGAAATGTCAAATGTTATTGCTTGTTGGTTGACTACGCGGGTTTATTTCTAATTAAAATAATGTTGTGAATAATTGGTAACAATTCGGCTTAATTATGCCAAATATGAGTACTGTGGCAATGAATGTCAGTTATTAAAAATTTGAGCTTAGAAAAATGATTATGTTCCTATTTTTTCTGAATAAAACGGAACTGCGCGTCACTGTGGCATGGCCTATTATGTTTAGGATATGGTTCTTTTGTGTTAAAATACGATCTAAATGTAACCTTTGATTTCATGTGCGTATTAATAAACTTTAAAAGTTACAATTTAGGACCTCACTCAACAGTGGCGCCATCTGGTGAGGCAGAAAACGGTAGCCCTCATTGATATTGGTGTTGACTCTGGCATGATTATCTTAAAACTAACTTTAACATCAGTCAATCGTTTTATTCTGTATAGAGAATGATAAGTGTAATGCACTGTTGTCAAACTAAAGTTTATGTTCAGACAATCATGCCCGAATCGACACCATTTCATCGTTAAAAATCAAGATCCCATTTTATTAATTACTAGCGGCGCCCGCGGTGTTGTACGCTTTAACTTTAGTTTTTGAAAATTCCTCAAGTACCTAATACTTTTCCGGGATAAAAGAGATCTTATATTTCAATTCAGGTCATAAACTATATGCGTACCAAATTTCATCAGAAATCTGTTCAGTGGTTTAGGAGTGAAAGCGTAACAACCAAACAAATGCACTTTAGCATTTATAATAAAAACTTTATATTGTCGGGACAGGGGGTCGACCCGACAATATAAAGTTTTTATATAGGAACCCCTCGCCCCACACATACCATGGAACGTTGCATTAACGTGACATGACGTCACAAAACACGACTCTCTGCGCTAATACAGAGATTTCATTTTGAAATGTCCGAATTCCGGCGAATTAAAACAGTAGAAGTAATTCGCATAAGAGAATCATACGAGTTTAAGGTTCCATTTACAATATTTTTTGTACTAGCCCTTTAAATCCTTTCATTTTGAAAATCCAGTTGATAGATTTAAAGTAAAAAATATTTTTGGAGACATAATAGTTTTAATATACTCAATGGTGTCGATTCTGGCACGATTCTCTAAATCTAAGCTTAAATATGATTACAGTGGTGTCGATTCTGGCGTGATTCTCTAAACTTAAAACTAAAAACATCAGTCTCTCCTTGTCATTCTCTATACAGAATGAAAAGGAGGGACTGATGTTAAATTTAGTTTTAAATTTAGAGAATTACGCCAGAATCGACACCAGTGTCACTCTCACGGTCAAGACGAATCTGACGACATCTTTACTCAATTTATTTAGCTATATATTATATATAGCTAAAAATTGGTTTTAAAATCATTTCCTTTATTGTGATGTATGGTTGTATCAAAAATCACGTGATTTCCGTATTTATTTAAATCTTCGGCATTAATTTAAATGTGTGAACATAATATTTATGTGGTACAAGTGGATAATAATCTCCATTTACTCAATTTAATTGTTTGGTGAATTTGTGGTGAAATACATGACAAAATCGGGCAGAGTTGTATGAACAAAAGAATGAATCATTTTTTAATTTTGAATCGATTTTGGAGTTTCGGCATCCCTACGAAATTGTCAGCAAATTTTTGACGTTTTGTTTTTTTTAATATCCTCTCTATTCTGTGAACGCTTAAGAAACAAAATGTATACATGTTTTTTGTATTATTAATAATCTCTCTTTATTCAAAGGATACTAAGCTCATAAAACTCATAATCATCTAATCTTTGATTATCTGATTTATCTTATGTTTTTTAATGTATCGCAGGCTGCAAAGACGAAAGGGTAATAATCGTACACCTGAAAGTCTTTGAAAGAAGTTTGTAACAAATCTGCAAATGAATCAATTTCAGTCATCAGTATTTAATCAGTGATATCTCAATTTTAGTGAAATTGGGCCCAATTCTGGCGTGCCAACTTATATCTAAAACTAACTAAAATTAGATATAGAGTTGTCAAATTCAATTTGGTATTCTGTAATGACACTCTATCTCTAAATTTAAAATTGACGTTGCTAAGTTATTCAACTTAGATTTAGATGATTAAATGGTATTCTGAAACGCGTTCTAAATGTCATATTTTCTCTAAAATTAGAAATGTCACACTAAATTTAAGAAGGACCTACGGAGGTCCTCTCTAAATTTAAATGTGAATAATTGGGGCCAAATATCACGTAAATGATTGCTGTACTTAAGTTTTGAGCTTGTTGTTAAGGTTGGATATGGGTTTATTTCGTTAAAAAAAAGACATAAATTTTATACAATAATGAACAACGACGGTGATAATAATATATTAGCTAGATCTTTTATTTTTTTTAAAAAGGTAGATGGGTCTATGTTACGATGCGGATTTATTATAAGCCTATTAATGTGTCATGCTTATAATAAATCCGAGCTGCAGCGAGCAGCAACATAGGAACTCGATTTAATACATTTTGGGTTGGTCACCCATCCTAAGATCGGCCATTGTGAAAATTGCTTAACATTCACGATCGCAGAACGAAAGCGTTATACTTGCGCTATTGTGGTCTTTCGTAGGTAATTTACACGTATATCTTGTATAAAATACTAAATAATTTAAGGTAAAATCTTATATAACATAAATAAAAATCCACTTCATATAAAAACAACCTAAAAAGGTAAAAAATCTATGTACTAATTCTATAAGTAATACTTACAGATCCTACTTACATCTAAAGTACACTCAGACCAAATAAAAAGTAAAGACGGAGTCTGCCGAACCAAAAAGTGAAGCCGGTTTTTTATGTATGTAGTGCATTAGCCAGTGTTACCATAGTCATATAAAACACCCCAATATTAGAAAAATGTAATAACGTTATTTCATAACGTTATTACATTTTTAATAACGTTATAAAATATTAGAAAAAAATATCGTAAGCTTATTCTCTAAACCTCTCGTGAGCCAAAGGTCATGCGCCGTTCTCACCTACAAGTGCCGGACTTCTTTATGGACCGCCCACCCGCTGGGTGGGAACGATGGCATTGTTCTGCCGATTTCTCTGCTATTTTGTAAAAATACCCTTCACAAACGTATATTTGGATTCTCCATAAAATTTTCAATAAAACAGTGTGTACACAATGCGTCATGTCTATAATTTATTTTATTTACATTATGGTAAACTCAGGAAAGATAAAAAAAGTCATTTAAATAGGTAAAATGAGGTGTATTTTCAAAATTTGTAAATTATAAATCCAGGTTTTTGTACATATAGAATGTACTATATATGAATGAATGTATATAATAACTTACCAAATACAATTATAAAATATAACACGCAACAGAAAAAAAAGGGTCGTGTTGCAAGTGTTGATAAAAACAATTGCGAGATCCAAGTGCCTTGATTTATGTGTTGACGTTTAATTATGTTGGATTGATTATTTTACTTTAGTTACAAGTCTCGGATGGAATAGGTTTGTTCATTTTATTGTTTCAAGCACTCGCAACAAGGCACTTGAAATCGCTTACAAATCAGTCATCTCAACTTTATGTCGATAAAACGAAAAGCATATACAAATGTTTTTATTAAAATGTACATGAAATTTTCTATAGAATACACAAAATATAATCACTAGTTCCTATACAAGAACATAATAAAATAAATCCACAAACATCGCGAATTTTGGGTCTAAAAGGAAATTAAAAAGTACAATACAAATAAAATTACAAATATATTATTATTTTACAAATCGTCGGTCTGAAAATGAGTCGAACAAACCACGCTGCGGGAAGCTGGTTGCCACAATGGTGCATTTCTACTCTTACGAATGACTGCAATCCACTTCTCTTTTAGATCTTGATCTCGATTAGGAAATCTTAAAAAAAACGTATATTAAATAATGTGTATTACATCCCAAAAAATTTATACGAATACATAAAGAAAAAAGATGTTTCGTGTAATTGTTTATCCATGCATTACAATATTCGAATAATATAAAAGTATGCCACACAATGTATATAATAAAATAACGTTACGTTATATTTCACGCTACCCAACAAAAGGGTAAAACTGTAACGAATAATCATGGCAACATTTCGTTCAGGTTTTGTTTACAAAGCGACAACCTCAAATTTGATTTTGATTAATTGAAAATAGCAGTTTATAACTTTACTTACGTATGAAATGTGATTCCATCATGTTTTTTATTCTTGGAAGATTGGTTTTTACACGTTTTCACTACACAATTCGGCATTTTCTCTAATAAATATTGTTATTTACTATTACGTCACACTCCGCGCGTCGGGATAGCTCGACTGAGAAGCCAAGGCGTAGTTTCGTTGCATGTGTGTGCGTGTAACTGTGTATGTACACGGCGAGGCGTAGTTTTATCGGCTTCACTTTTTGGTTCGGCAGACTCCGTCTATACTTTTTATTTGGTCTGAGAAAGTACATAGTCAAATAATTAACAAGATAATAGAGGTATGGTGTCAGTGATTTGCATTCCAATCACCAATTGCAATCCAAATGTTGTTTTGACTTTAAATGTAGGTACTTTAGACTTTAATGTATTATTTGTTCCTTTGTTTTATGTGGTTTTGTTTCTATGAAGCAGTTTTAATACCTATTAGTTAGAAATGTTTTTATTTCCAACTTTTTATAAGCTAATCATATTTCTTAAAATAACCAAACACGAAATAAGTACCTACTGTTTGTAATTGAAAAGTTTGTTTTTATATATCCTAAACTGGGCATTTTCACCAGATGAATAATTGGGATGATCTCGCCAAAAACTGATAGAAACAAAAAAGATAAAAATAGGTTACGCATCTCGGATTATACAATAAATGAGAATAAAATCTTCACAAAACAGCCGAAGGGATAATTTTACAACCTCTTACCGAAACCGAAATTATAGGTATTAGATAGATACGCTGGATTGGGAATTTACGATGCGAGAAATTTTCAAGGATGGTTCACGTTAGACCCTGTCGGCCGTAGCAGAGTTAACTAATCATCATCATCATCATCATCATCAGCCTATTAATGTCCCCATTGCTGGGGCACAGGCCCTCCCTATGGATGAAATAGAGAGATTAGGCCATGACCCACCACGCAGGCCCAGTGCGGATTGGCGGGTGCTAACGACCGCAGATGCAGCCGGGAGAACGAGGAACTCGACATAGAACATGTTTGGTCACCCATCCAATGACCGACCACTGCGAAAGTTGCTTAACTTCAACGATCGCAGCCGAACGAGCTAATCGTCTGCGCCATCGAACTTCTCTAGTTAACGAATATTAAATAATTTATTTTACATGGATTATGGACATAATCCATGTAAATATAACATTCACGCTATTTATACGCTATATGCTCGGTTGTCATGCAGTAACCGACTGACAACCAAGCAACAAATGAAACAACGCTCGGAAAAAACTTGGTCCCGCCTCGGCTCGGCCACGGCCCGTTGCATGAATACAGCGCCGGCGCGGTGCCGCCGGGCAATCGTAGTGATACATCAGACAAAACAATAAACGTTTTTGCTCGGACGAGTACACTTACCCTATTTACTTCATCTGAATGATTAGACTGCATCACGGCGCAATGGTACCTACCTAATTGCTCGTTCGATGCACTATGCGCTAGCATCACTATATAGTTTGTGGATGCACTTCTTTGTAATTTTTTTTCGTCACATCGTTTAGCCCAAGTAAATACATGGCTTTTTCAAAGAAAAAATATGATTCCTTAAGTTCTCCCCGCAGATTACATTTCTCCAAGTTCTTATTTTTCCCCAAAATAAGGATAAACACTCCCAATCTAGAAACCCTAAGTACCACAGAGTAGGCAAGTATTCACTCTTTAATATTATTGATTCATAATTTCTCATACAGTAAAATAACAAAGTTATGTTAAGTTTTCATATTTCAAAGATGATGAAGAGCAACTTAGATTTACTTAAATAAAATAAAAAAATAAGTCAAAATCACTGAATAATAAGTAATTATTGCTAATTTGAGTAAACCGATAATTACCGGTTCAATGCTTTTACATAATCTGTGAATTCAATTTAGATGCTAGTTTACAGCTGTCAACTGCTCTCTTAATTTAGTTAGTTAGCAATTTCAGAATACCAATTCTCTAACCCTAAACTAAAATTAGCACTTTAATTTTAAGTTTAGGTTTAGAGAATGTAACCCCAGAATTGGTCCCATTATTTTATTTATTTCATGTACAGTTGCATTTATAAAAGCTGTGATGCATTTGTATTAATGTAGTGTCAATTTCCTTTCCTTAGAATAATTATATTATAGTCAATTATTTTATATTGTTTTTTTTTCACTTACTTTTTTATATCTACAAATATTTTATTATTTTATTTATGGGAATTATGCGACCGCCACATATCTTCCCAATCGGCTTATCTTGCCTGGGTCACAAAACACTTAAGTAAGGTAAAAGATTAAAATTTTGAAATGAAATTCATTTATATTTACAAAAAATCGCTAAACTTAAAAACTTTGTGTCTTTTGCTTTCGAATCATAAAATAAATAAAAAAAAACAAAAGAAATCAGTGTGACCAGAGCCAAAATTGCTTACTTTTTTAGTTAATTTTAGCGATTTTCTCGACCAGTTTTTTAAACGTATATTTCAGGAAATTTTTTTTAGGTATATTTCAGATATTTTATTAAACCGGTCTGCCTAAGCGGACGTCTTCTTGAAGCACGCGAATATTGTTGTTCTGCCTAGAAAATTACCCCAGCCCACCATCCAACTGGTTTGGCTTATTTGATGTGCATCGTCTATAAAATCTTGCTGTGAAAATTCAGTATATTTTTTTGCCCTGGCTTGATAACTGTGATGCGATGACGGTATATTTAATTTTTTTGAGGTGCCTCGGTCCGTGTCAGTATTTTCGTAAAATTTAATATGGTCACATTGAAAGTAATGGCGGCTTTCATCGGTGCTTGTGTGTGAAATATTATTTTTTTGTAAAATTTCAGTGATTTTTGCTTTACAAGAATTGAAATGTAACATCGACTTAACCGTTATTGTTTATTTATTACATAGAAGACCTTACATTGCCAGTAAGTAAAGTAACATGAACTCATTGTGTACCTACATTAATTTTATTCTTGTCGTATCGCAAACCTTTGCAGGGCGCGTCCATGAGTAATGTTGTCATTTACTTAATGATCAGTTATTCAAAATGTTGCATAGTTTGATAATATGTACGCCGTGTATTATTTTACTATTCGAAGGCTTAAGAATTTTAATAAGACCAGTCGTTGTGCTCTTTTGCCTGACATGTTAGCAAATAACTTGAAAAATTTTACGAATAATATGAACAATAATTGGTTGAACATAATTGATTTGATATAATATATATGTTTTCAGGGCTTTCATAAACTGGCATAATGTCTAGTGATGAAGACAAGCCCCCTGCGCCGCCAGTGCGGCTCACGAGCAACCGGGCCACAGACCGTGGGGATTCGGTTGCTTCAGTCGACATGAGGCCTCTGCCTAAAGGTATGTTACATAGAAGGTATCAATATGTAATTAAAATTCATGTAAGTATCCCTACTTGCCATGAATATTTCATAAGAAAGACAATGGGAGAGATTATCATATTACTTCATCATCACTATATTAGTCTATGATTATGCCTGATCAGTGATATAAATCATTTTTCTAATTTTGACTCTTTTTAGAACCTGATGATGGAGGCGACAGGAAGAAAAAGACTCTAAAGGCTAAAATAAAAGGTTCTAAAAGCACTGCTCACAATGATAATAAACCAAATATTAGTTATCCAACTAATTTCGAACACACAGTCCATGTGGGTTATGACACTGTTACAGGAGAGTTCACAGTAAGTATCAAGTTTATTTTATAATATTGAATTGAATATAAATATTGTATTTCAAATCACATTGTTCACATCAATGTTGTAAAAGTGTGGGAAAACCCATGACACATTCCAAGCTTTACCCTTAATAATTTGAGATATTATTTCTCCTAGATATTGATTTAAACACATTTGAGGTATAAATAAATAAGTTAACAATATCTTGAAAATATTCTACACTAACTATTATTTATTTTCTTTTGAGTTATTTTATTCACACAGGCATATTATTATTAACTGATATTAATATAATTATATTTAGTTAATTTTTTTATGTCATTTAGAACTACAAAAAAAAAGTTTTAATGATTTACCTTAACTCATTTTAAGAGTTCCCAATCCTATATAAATGTGATGCATAATTATGATTTTCACTTTATAATCTATATTAAATGATAAGCTTTTTGCTAAAACACAATGCCTTAAATAGCTTTCAAGCTTCGCTTTTGTTATTTTTTTTAATTATTGTTTTAACTCTAAATAATAAAGTGATTTACAATTGAAGTAATAGATATTTATTAACATGTTCTTTTTCCCACTAAAGAAATTGTGGGTGTCATCCATCTCACTTGTCATAAATTTAGATTACTTACGAAACCAAAAGAAGCATGTCTAAATTCTTAGAATGTTAATCTAGAATAGACATGTTATATATGTATTGAAGATTTCAACTTTAAGGAATGCAAATTAGAACCACAACCCTTTGCCATCAATAAGTATGTAAAACAAGGATGGCATGTATTTTAGAAGTAGAATTTTATATTCAATGTTTTGACATGAACAGTATCATGACTTAGATGAGTATGTATAACTTGAAATCATGTAATTGAGTTCCATATGTTACCGCTTTTGTTTCAAGCTGCCTATGACAGTAAGTAATAGCTTATATAATTGTTTTGTGTGCCTTTATGTAAAATTTCTATGTGAAGGCACTAATTTTAATATTACATATTTTTTTATAATTGATGTTCAAGTTTATTAGAACTTTATTGATCTATGTTTTTGCTATACATTGGTAAGGACCTTGCATTCACGATAGCACCTCTTGCATGACATATTTCCATGCTAGTTGTACTCTACTGACTTAAATATAAATAAAAAGATTATATTATAATACTTTTTATTTGAAAATATTTAAACATAGGTGTTGTTTAAGTCTACATTCTTAATATCAGTTAAACATGTGGTAACTGACATTATGAATCCCAATAGAACAAACACAGACTTTTTAGTTAAGTTTTAGTTCAAATTTCTCTTTAACTATAAAATATTTATTTAAATGGTTATAAACATTCATGTGAAAATAGCTAAATCTGTGCTACTGTGCTGTTAACAACAGACTAAAGGGAATTTAAATTCCAAAGTGTATTAGTATCTCAAATCTTATAAATAATATTATGAGATCCTTTAATGTTCATAAACATTTGGTTATGATAAAATGTTAATACAGTATTAGTTAGTTAAAGTATAAACTTAATTGTCTAAGCAGTATTCAATATTTGGTGGCTTAAATATCCTAAAATATTTTCTTTGATAATGTTATGCTGGATTGTTTTGATATTTGTTTATTTACTTTAAATATACAATTTTATATTCCTTCCTATTTTCATTTACTCATAGCAAGCATGTGTTAATTATCATAGGATTAAAATAACTTACAATTTGCAACATAGTTTTGATAATAAGTTTTGGAATGTATATTGATTATTGGAATAGTAGTAGACTAGAATTGGTTTTATATTAATACATTATATATTATTTTTAACTTTTTAGGGCATGCCGGAAGCTTGGGCGCGGCTGTTGATGGCCTCAAATATCAGCAAGCAGGAGCAGAAGAGTAACCCTCAAGCCGTCCTAGATGTATTAAAATGGTATGATGCATCTGCAACGCAGCCTCCACCTTCTAAATACATGACGTCTGCACAGATGCACACTACTCATTCAGGTCTGTTTTTTTATTATTATTAATATCTTTAAACAAGCTTAACTGAATTAATATTTTTTGGTTAATTGGAATAGAAATACTGTATCAAAACATATTTTTCTGCTACACCAACTATCTTTATACTGTAATTGGATACTTAATAGCTTACGGATATGGTATATATGGGTGGAGTAATAGTTGTTTGTATTTTGTGGAGCCGAGCAGGAGAGTGTGCGAGGCCTTCTATAAAAGATCTAATGAGTAACAAACTAGTTCAACAATAATCACAATCAGTTTGTGTTATAAATTATCCTTTTTTATTATAATTATATATATTTTAACTGAATTATGTTAATCTAGTACTACCTATATTAGATGTAAACAGATACCTCAAACACTATTTTTACATAATGAAATGTGTAAAATTTATTTAATACTAGTGGCCCGCCCTCGCTTCGCTTCGGTGTAGAGCTGTAGTGTAAACTATACTTTTTGTTCTCAGGCTTGTGCTATAAAGAATGACTTTATTTATATAATTACACGTGTTATTGTGAGTCAACCATAAAAGATAGACATATGCTGTTGCGGGATATTTTTTAGACAATTTTATCCTTACACGCCTGAATAGCTCGCAGATTGCAGAATTTTTTCAGACTTAAATGACATTTATCGTTATATTTTGGACAATTCACACAATATCTTTATAAATTATAGCCTATGTGTTATTCTGATCTATAAGCTACATTACTGTAAAGTTTCATTAAAATCCGTTTAGTAGTTTTTGCGTGAAAGAGGAACAAACATCCATCCATACATCCATCCAAACAAACTTTCGCCTTTATAATATTAGTAAGGATAAGTTGAAACAGGTTTCTTATTGGGAACCTAAATTGCTGTGATGTTTAGATTATTTGCCATTAATTCTGATAGTCGAAACAAATAAAATTGACAATTAAAATTACTGCAGAGTATATTTTGCTTAAATAAAACGATTTTTATGGGTTATATATGCACTGAATTTATTTATCTGACGTTTCGCAGCCTTTGCAGATTCGTAGAATGATACGCGAAACTATTGAGATTAAGAAATATACAACCCATTAAACAACAGATAAAATCCCAATCCCGATTGCACACACTGCAAGACCAATAGATACTGTTAGTTCTTTTTATTTGCACAATTTAACATAAGAGGGAGATAGAAAGCCTCTCTTAAGTTTTTTTCGCCGGTACTCTTAGAAAAGTCTCCTAATTTTGGAACCGATGGTAGTTTACGGTAGTTAGGGTCAAATAAATAAACTCAAAATTATAAAAAAGAATTAAATAAATTACTTTATTAATTAAATTACCTAATAAATTCAAGCATAGACAATAAAGTTTTATAAATCTTCCAATGAAATATCCGAACGCTCAATAAGTCTTTCGAAGGTAGCTCAACAAAGTAAATAAAAAATCATTATTTCTGATTTCGCAGTCCTGCAAATGCAGCGAAACGTCAGATAAATAAATTCAGTGCATATAACTGTATGCATCCAAATGCGTATTGTGTATGCATTTGCTTCTAGTTGGCCGCTCCCACCCTCCCTGCCTCACAGCAACGCACTCCTAGACAGACCCTATTAGGTACCAGTCAATGTGCCTGTGATTGGCCTGTGACACATTTTGTAATGGTCATCAAAGGCCAACTCGAAGTGAACAACTAGTATATAAAATGCAACAGCCATTTAATATAAATGTTTTATTGACAGGTTCTTCAGTATCAAGGGTGTCATCCAGCAGCCCTTCATCGTCCACACCCACGGATACGGAGCACCCTGAACCACCTCCCCCGCCCCCCTCGAGACCGGATCGAACTAAGAGTATTGTGAGTTTGCATTTTTATTTACAAAATAAGCTGTTCGTAATGTCGACATATTCTGCCTTATTACAAAACAGTCTTAAGTTAAACCTACACTTAAACTGATGCTGTCACTTTTGTTTACTAAAAAAAAAAGATAGAGACAACATTAGGTTTAAACCAAAACTAACTTTAGTCCACGTTTTGGAATAATGTGCTTCGGAAAATTATCAAGATGATGGTTTACCAACTTCTCTGCAGTTTCCAGATGATAACTTCATATTTGAAACAAGCCATCCTTGTGTGTTATCTTATCACTATTCTGATAAAAACGAGATGCATTTAACGATCTTATTGTGAAATTTTTTTTTAAAGAAACCTAACGAAGACCAACCAGTAAGCAAAATGGCTGCATAAGAAGTTAATTGACTTTAAAGTTGGACTAAAGTGGATGCTGTATTTTTTTGTGATAACAATAGAATGAAACATGGTTTAGAAAGCATTGAATTGATTTGACGTTTTATAAGTATGGCTGTAAAGCTCAAAACACACAATGTAATTGTTAATGGTTTCTGTCTACCCTTTTGGCCTATGACGTCTTATCGATGATGACGTTGAGTTCTCGTTGCGAAATAACTCACGTGTGCGCGACAGACACAGCTCTTTCTACTCAGCAGAGAGAGCAGTCTGTTTGCTTGCACAAATAATTTTTTATATGTTTCGATATCCTTGGTCTACCCCACAGACAGAGAATGGAGTGTGCGTTTTCAAAAAAAATACTATAAAACTGAGCAGATAAAAAAAAATGACAATTTATAGTTAACGCTCTGTCCACTCTCCATATCTATTTTCCATTATTATTCTTGCGACCATAGAAAGGGAAGCCTGCACAGTGGCAATTTTACATACAGGGACGCCTACTGCGCAAGTTTATTGGTCTCCGGTTTTGATTCGCTAAAGAAGTTTGCCGTTACCTAAGTATAATATCAAGTACAAATGCCAATAAATGGTTTCAGTACACTAAGCCTATAGAAGAGGAGGAAGCGCCACCGCCGCGGCCGGCGCCCGCGCCCGCGTCTCCGCCCCACGTGCCTCACCCCGCCCTCACCACACTCTCCGTAAGTAATCTATACAATTATATTATACTAGCTGGGCCCCACGGTGTTACCCGCGGTTTATTAGGGATATTTTCCGGCAGTAAAACGTAGCCTATGTGTTAATCCAGGGTGTCAGCTAACTCTATACCAAACTTTAATAAAATCACTCCAAGAAGAAGACGTAACAAACATGCACACTCACAAACTTTCTTTATAATATTAGTGTGACGAAGAGGTAAAGTTTGTGAATTGCGACGTTTTTAGTGGGTAATCTCTGGATTAACTGAACCGAGTTTTTGAAAATTCCATTAGCAGTAGACACTCAAAAATGACTGTTTGTTCTAATAAGAACAAAAACTATTGTCTTCACCTAAGAGAAGCTAGGGCGGGCCGCTAGCCACATACATTAACTTATTATTCGCAGATCAGGTTTCATTTAAGTAAAGATTACTACTACATTACTAGTTGCCTTTCATACTAACCAATGTATATAAAATTTTATTTATCAAGCGACAACTGTACACAAGTCAATAATGTTATCCGAGCATGCTTCCTGACAGAACTCTTTGTAACATTGTTTTCTTTTCCCAGATATGTTCCCGATCGGAGCCAAGCGCCGGAGCGGGCGGCGCGCCTCCTTTGGATAGGAACCGGAACCCAGCGGGTGCGGGCGCGGGTACGCCGCCGCCGCATCAGCCGGCCCCGCCTCACGCTACTCACGCGCCCGCGCCGCCTGCCAACGGCGCGCCGCTCACCGCTGACACTGGGTATAGTGCCATTTGAACTTATACCTTACTAGGGGACCCTTACAATCGCGACCAAGCAGGCGCGCACCCTCCGCCGCTGGACCAGCCGGTACCCGCACGTCACGCACGCGCCCTCGCCGCCTGCCAACGGCGCGCCGCTCACCGCTGACACTGGGTATAGTGCCATTCGAACTTATACCTTACTAGAGGGCTCTTACAATCGGAACCAAGCAGGAGCGCACCCTCCGCCGCTGGACCAGCCGGCCCCCGCACGTCAAACAGGCGCCCGCGCAGCCTGCCAACGGCGCGCCGCTCACCGCTGACACCGGGTATAGTGCTATTCGAACTTATACCTTAGTAGGTGATCCTTACAACCGAGACCAAGTAAAAAATTTCAAAAATGGCATCCATTTTATCAGTAACAGAGCAACCAGAATGTTGTGCATCTGTGACATCAAAATTGCCGGTTAGAGAACGCTTAAACCAAATTTGTGCTACTCTAACAGACACTGCACCATATCCATAAACATCACAAATTTTTTCGCGGCTTGCGTTGCATTTTTGTCTTTTTTTGTAGTAAAATTTTAAAATGAATTGGATATCTTCATTATATTCAATCATCTTGACAGTAAGAAAAACAAATAAAAATCACATATTTTCCTAATTTGAATTTGGAATTAAGATAATAAAAGTTTAAAATTTAAACTGTTTAATGATACCAAAACCTGCCGGATACAAATGGTATAAGTCCAAGATTTTTAGATGTCCGCTCTGCATAAAATCCTTCTACGTTATTTTTCGATTGGATTATGTCTGAGGGTGCCCCCCAAGTATAAAACCGAGTTTCTGTCGCCCGAAACTGCGAGCGTTAGCCGCCATCTTGGAAACCGTTTTTTTGCATATATCTCGGAAACGGTAAGTTTTACGTTAAAAACCGAAGAGATCTTTTTTGTAGAGAACAAATTTTCCCATCTTTTTTATACCAATTTTTTCTTGATTTTCCTATTTCAAATCAAAACAAATTTTCCTATTGTTGATATTTTCCGATATATTGAAGTAAAAAAACCAAATTTTTTGTTTTTGTAAAGTAACTCAATATTTTTTGGAGATACGAAAAAAATGTTTGAATTAAAGTTGGAGAGCATGAAATTTTCTACAAATTTTGTATAAAACTTTTTCTTGCAAAATGATTAGTTGCTGAGTTCTAGCGCAATAAAAGATCATGAAAATCAGCGGTAAGTGGCAATACGTTACTCTCGCATGCAAACAAAAAGTATAAGTAAATTCGATGTCTCCGCGTAAAGTATTGTTATTAAAGTATTTAAGTCTGAACGCCGTTAAAATGAGTACGTGTTTTATATGTGAGAAATTGATAAGTGATAAAGACGTACAAGTGGTGAAAGAAAAAGGTGTACAAAGACTGATACAATCAAGCATATTGAAGAATTTAAAAAGTATAAGCGTGCACAAATTGTGTTACACGAATTATACGGATGAGAGGAGAATAACAGCGTTCATACGGAGAAGATTGTCAGACCCATCATCGTCGGAACCACCGTCGCAATCGTCTACGCTACCGCCTACGCCTTCGTCATTACGTTCACCAACGGAGCCACCTCAGGTTGGGACATTCGATTTTGCGAACAAATGCTTTCTCTGTACTGAATTAATACCGGCTGATTTTGAAGCACAGAATCGAAAAAAGCCTGCACACTTGCGAATACGCATTCGCAACGTGAAAGACTTTTCCGTTATTCAAAAAACCGTGTCTAAGTATCTAGAAAATCAAGAAGACGCAAATTCACGGACATTACGTGAACGCATTTGCAATGTTCCCGACACTGAAGGTGCCCATTCGAGATACCACGACCTGTGTATGTCGCGCCTTAAAACTCCTCTTAATATAACTGGAACAAAAAAAAAATACAAAAAAAAAACTGTTTTATACAAAATTTCATGCTCTCCAACTTTAATTCAAACATTTTTTTCGTAACTCTGAAAATTATTGAGATACTTTACAAAAACAAAAAATTTGGTTTTTTTACTTCAATATATCGGAAAATATCAACAATAGGAGGAAAAGTTTGGTATAAAAAAGATGGGAAATTTTGTTCTCTACAAAAAAGATCTCTTCGGTTTTTAACGTAAAACTTACCGTTTCCGAGATATATGCAAAAAAACGGTATCCAAGATGGCGGCTAACGCTCGCGGTTTCGGGCGACAGAAACTCGGTTTTATACTTAGGGGGCACCCTCTGATATAATCCAATCAAAAAATCACGTAGAAGGATTTTATGCAGAGCGGACCGATTTTTGGTGCTAAAATTCCTGGACTAATAGCCAAAAAGATTTTGTAAAATGTTCATACATACTATAATGCGAAAAGACTCTTTCCTCAACCTATTATATATATATGCCAATGACTGAGTAGCTTAGCTGAGCATGAGCTCGTTTCCATGAATAGAGTAAAGCAGCAAGATTATAAATGAATGTTTTATTTTCAGAAGAGCAACAGGACAGCAGCAGAGGAAAAAGAAAATGACAGATGAAGAAATTTTAGAAAAATTACGAACAATTGTTAGTGTCGGCGACCCCAATAGAAAATATACCAAAATGGAAAAAATTGGTCAAGGGTATGTTATATTATTTTTTTTCAATTTGCATAACAAGAGTCTACCTACACAACTACTTTTTAAGGTTTCTTATGCGTTAATAGTTTTTCGAAACTGACTTTTAATTTAGATTGTTTGACTTAACATTAACATGTGCTTGTGAAAAGATATCTTTTTTATATGTTCTGGTACCTAACCGGATATGTTGGCGATTGATGATAAGACTGTTTATCCCTTGCAAGATAAATAAACTGTTAGTCTATGGTTTCCTTACCAATATTATTAATGCGAAAGTGAGTTTGTTTGTTTCTTAGTGATACTATTCACGTCTAAACTACTGAAGCGATTATGCTGAAGTTTGTTATAGAGACAGACGGGACCTTTTTCATAAAAATAAAATTTGAAGTTCCACAGTCAAGTTTAATGAGGGATGAAATGTTGTATAGGAAATAATTAAACCACGCGGACGAAGTTGCAGGCACCCACTTGTAAAACTATGAAGTCTCATACAAAGTGTGTCATTCGCAGAGCATCTGGTACAGTATACACTGCGATCGAGACATCAACGGGCATGGAAGTGGCCATCAAACAGATGAACCTCAGCCAGCAGCCCAAGAAGGAGCTCATCATCAACGAGATCCTCGTCATGCGGGAGAACAAGCATAACAACGTCGTCAACTACTTGGATAGCTATCTGGTTAATGAGGTTAGTGGCACAGGACGTTGCGTCTTCTGCAATGTAAGAATATATCTGATGCTAAACTTCTTTCAAGAATCACTAAAAAATATTGTATATCTACATAATATAATGTATCAGCAGTGTGTTTATAAGAGAGATTTTAAAAGAAGCTCAACAGTAAATGGAACAATAAAAATGCATTCCAATCTGATTTCCATCCCGGCCATAGTACTACGACTACCTTGCTGAAAGTGACAGATGATTATATACGACTTGGGATGGATAATGGTCACCTCACGGTATTAACATTGTTGGACTGCAGCAATGCTTTTAACACCGTTAATTTTGACGTACTTTTGGCATTGCTGCGCTCACTTAACGTATCTCCATCAGTGATCGAGTGGTTGCACAGTTATCTGTATGGGCGCAGGCAGCGCGTTTGCTATGAGGGGAAATTTTCTTCTTGGAACGACGCGACTGTTGGCGTTCCGCAAGGCGTCGTCTTATCTCCTCTTCTTTTCGCTGTTTTAATCAAATCCGTTTTAAATAATATTTCTTCTTACCACCTATATTCAGATGACCTCCAAATCTATCGTCAAGCATCACTTGGTCAACTTAGAGATGCGGTGCGAGCCACTAATAGCGATTTCATATTATATCATAGTAGAGTTAATCCTTTGGATTGCAATTTAATCCCTCAAAACTACTAGCTTAATAGTGGCTAGTTCTAGGTTGATAGATAGAGTAGAATTGGCAGTCACTACCCAATATCCAACTGCCTGGTAATAATGTTCCTTTTAGCGCGTCGGTAAATAACTTTGGTTAATATTCTTTGTCAACAACTACCACTTTGCTGGCGTCTTTGCAGTCTCAAAGCAAAACCGGGTACGGATGACAGACGGACATGACGAAACTATAAAGGTTTGCAATTGTCTGTAGGATATCTTTTTAATGTGGCAGTATTTCTATTACAGATATTATAAATAACTAAGCAGTCCTTTTTCTGAATGGTTCAAAAATACGCTTTTAAAGCATAAAGTAGCATCTCAGTCGCGCATCATACTATTATATGCATACCACAGTGAAATCTTTTGGTGGTGTGTAAGGTTCCAGGTCGGGGTAGGAGATGGGGTATATGCTACGGCGCAAATGATATTTTGATTTCGCTAGCGTCTAAGTGGCCGCTTACCATTAAGCTTGCCAGGTGCATATTTATTTACCACCCGTTTTAATTAAATAAAACGAGCGAGCCTTACAGCAGTCGCGTATGATGTGTAAGATTTGAAAGCTCACCTTTTAATAGTAAAAAAAAAAAATAGAACCTACTACAAAAGGAATAAGCAATTTGAACATGATGTTCTAAAATGAAATAGCATGCGCTTTTGGGACTTCCCGTTACACTCTTCCGTCCCATTTCACGTAATCACTCCCACAAATTGCACGACAGCGAGAGGAAAGATGTTACACATCAATATTTTTTGCGCAGGAATTATGGGTAGTGATGGAGTACCTAGCGGGCGGGTCCCTAACGGATGTCGTAACGGAAACGTGCATGGACGAGGGGCAGATAGCGGCCGTGTGCCGCGAGGTGTTGCAAGCGCTGCACTTCCTGCACACCAACCACGTCATACACAGGGACATCAAGTCCGACAACATCCTGCTGGGGCTCGACGGACAGGTCAAACTTAGTATGTATAAAACCTTAGATTTTTATTTACTGGCTTCTTTTTCGACGACCTCCGTGGCCGAGTGGTTTGTACGCCGGGTTTTAATGGTGTCACCGACTCGAGAGGTCCCGAGTTCGAATCCCGGTGGGGGCAGATGTTTGTGTGATGAACACATGATGAGTGCATTTGTACTCCAATCATGAATGTTTAATATGTATTTCTATATAAATATATATGTACAGTATTCTATCCGTTACCCCAGTATCCCATAACACAAGCCTACAGTGCTTACTTTGGGGCTAGGCTGTGTGAGTGTTGGAAATATTAATTAATTTATTATTATTATTATTTATTTGTTTCATGATAAACAAAAACTTATAAATCTTGTTTTTGGGCTGGGAGCGCTTAAGTACGGTTTCCTCCTTTAAAAAAAACTAAACGTCTACACCAGACTCACGATATTCCGAATATGAATTCCTGATCAGGAAACCGTACATATGCGCCTAGCCTTATGCTGCAATTACATTTGGTCCTTAGCCCGTATTCGGATGTACGAAAGACATTACTTTAATTTGGACACCCGATGCAATATTTACTCTGAAATACGAGCTGGAAGACGGTGTCGGGTAAACAAAAGGTAATCTACCCGAATACGGCCGTACTCGACTCCTTTCATTTACACTTAGTCGTAGCCCGAATACGACTCAGCAAATGGAATTCCGGTAAACGACTAAGGAATATTAACCTATAAGATTGCACAACATCTCCGCTCCTCTTCAGTGGACAGATTTAGTGCAAATCTTTGGTTGATATTTCACCGTTCCGCAGCCTCGCTCCGCTCCAATGCGGACAGGCAGCCTTATAGTGCGATTCAATCTACCTATGTGGCAGTTGTTAAGTTAGTAGCGAGCGCAGCAATGCACGGGTTTTAGTGACATCCTGCATCGTAGTTTGAATCGCAATCTACCCACTTATCGAATCATTAGGTCGCTCGGTTGCCAATTGATTTATTTAAGAGCCCTTTAACAAAATTCCGCTCATCTTACTTCTCCTATTATATATGACTCTATTTTTATAAGTCACATTCATGTTTTAAGTACTTAAAATGTTTTGCATAAAGATGTCCCCAAAATGTAAACTTCAATAAATAAAAACTCATCCGAAGAATTGCCCAACGCTACCAAAGAAGATTTTCTCATAAAACAAATTTAGGTAAGTCTAAACAAAAATAAATAAATAAAAAACGAAAATTGCATAATTATTTGCCTGTCAGGTTCTATCTCAAGACCTCATGCAATCGAAAGAGCGCTCGTTGTATTAGATCAAGATTGCGATCACGGTGTCGGAAGTTGGTTGGTATTTTCCAACTCACCAAAATGCCCAACGCGCCTAAAGAAGTTTTCACTTTAAAAGTAATGTTATTTTTATTAGTTATAGTTAGATAACATTTCGATAGTAAAGTAGTATAGAGCAGACTCTACTCCGCCGGAATTAGTTGAAGTATTTATAATTACTAACACATCCAATAATAAACCGACAATGTAATATACAGTTAATAAAAGTTACTACTACTACTTAGTTATACATAAAATCAACGATCAAACTTTTGCGGTCGTAGTATATCCAGCCGGTTTACGATAAATGCACTCTGAGAATTGCTCGGGATGCGAGCGGTAAAAAATGACATAGATCCTACCTCGAAGGGCGCAGGCGCCGTACTGATCGGCGAGTAGTTGATCACTAGTATATATTGCATTTTATGGGTGATGTTTTGGATCATATCGAAAATATTTCTATTTCAGTTCTTTGATGGTTGTAGATATGGTTCATATATATATTTAATAGTTATTGTATTTTGTTTAATATCAAAACACGAAGTAAACCTGCGTCATTATTAGGTAAAACTCAAAGAGGTTCGATTATGTTACAACAAGAACATATTTCTGATAATGTAACAATTAATTTAAACTAGTTCATTCAATATAATTTATAGATCTAGGTGTTTAAAGATGTGCATTTTATCGTTTTTTCCGTAAACAAGTTGCGGTAGAACGATCAGTACAAAAACGGATAATAATATTTGCAAATATTCTACATTAACTTAGAAAAAGAAAGGTAAATCTACTTATTACTTGTTTCAAAAATAGTCAAAATCATTTCTTAGAGGGTAAAGGATGCGCTCAAAAATTACGATTTCTTGCAAAAAATGTAAAAGGGAGTTAAATGCAATAATATCAACATCTAAATTACCTATTTGCCTTATTTAGAATTACTACAAGTATACGGATTATACTGATAGCAGTGCTTCCCATGCCTATTCCTGTTTGCTATTTGTCATTTTGAAAGCTGTACCCCTAGCACAAACCATTATAGAATTCGAATAGTTTGCGAGTACTAAATGTCAATGTAAAATTTTGTATGGAAACTTAAACAGCAGCGCCACAAAGTATGTAACGAGAACTAAAAATCAGTAGGTACACACTTGACAATGACATTTAGGACTCGCAAACGTTACGAATACGATATTGGTTCATGCTAAGGGTACTGGTTGTCCTTATTAAACTCTATAGGGTGTAAAAAGTAGAGACTGTTGTCAAGTTTATAAGTGCCAGCATAAGAAAAAATACCAGGACCAGTCCATTTAAATTTTATACACAATGTCATATGATAAATCAAATCTCTAAATTGTAAATTATTTCATTCTCAACGTTGTTTTTCAGCTGATTTCGGGTTCTGTGCGCAAATATCACCTGAACAAAATAAACGAACAACAATGGTCGGAACACCTTACTGGATGGCGCCGGAAGTAGTAACGAGAAAGCAGTACGGTCCGAAGGTGAGTTTACCACGGATTTAATTTAATGCTTTTTGAAAAGAAATATACACTGAAATACTAATACTTAATTATCATGGATTTATTTATACACCTAGACAGTGCTAAGCTGTCGGAATATGATTCCCTGAAATTGATTTGTTTGAAATAAGTTTTTCAATGCTAAGTTACTGTTTTTTTACATATACTGTACTAAATCTGAGTGCTTATTTATATAAGTATAGATTATTTAGAAAAGCATCAAAATTGAATAACTAAAGTAAACTTATAAATGATACTTTAAATTTTAATATCGTACCCTTCACTGTGGTTGGGAATTCCTGCTGCAGATGCAGTCATTAGCACCTATTAATACTGAAGTCACATAGTGGGGTATGAATGGCCCTTTATTCCGCGTTGATTACGTTCGTGATGAAAGCCTGTGCTATGTCAGCATAATTTTTCAATAGCTAAGCGACTAAAGTTTCATGTGATTATTCTCATGAAAATGAGAAGTCTCTACAAAAAGGGTGGAATCAACTAATACTTATGGATCGCCCGGTTGCTTCATCTCTCATATTTACTTTGTTTAATTTAACAATGTCAATGAAATTTTCTTATCAATCCTTATGAATGTGATGTTTCTAATAGATCTTCTTTCCCGTTGTAACGTCAGGTGGACGTATGGTCGTTGGGCATAATGGCGATAGAAATGATCGAGGGCGAGCCGCCGTACCTCAACGAGAACCCATTGAGGGCGCTGTACCTGATCGCGACCAACGGCAAGCCCGACATTAAGGACAAGGAGAAGCTCAGCACCGTCTTCCAGGACTTCCTCGACCAGTGCCTAGAGGTGGACGTCGACCGGCGAGCCACTGCCCTCGATCTACTCAAGGTGAATGCTTATTTATGTCCCACTTTTATAGCGAGCAACGAGCCTAACATCAAGGACAAGGAAAAACTCAGCACCGTCTTCCAGGACTTCCTCGACCAGTGCCTAGACGTGGACGTCGACCGGCGTGCCACTGCCCTCGATCTACTCAAGGTGAATGACCTATCTCACTTTTGTAGCGACAAATGAGCCCAAAATCAAGGACGCGAAAGAACCGTCTTCTAAGACTTCCTCGACCAGTGCCGAGAGGTCGATGTCGACCGGCGAGCCACTGCTCTCGATCTACTCAAGGTGAATGAAATGCCTCACTTTTATGGCGACCAACGAGCCTGGCATCAAGGACAAGGAGGAGCTCAGCACTGTCTTCCAGGACTTCCTCGACCAGTGCCTAGAGGTGGACGTCGACCGGCGAGCCACTGCCCTAGATCTAGTCAAGGTGAATCGCCGTTCTTCCTCTTGTGTTGTGTATATGAACTAGAAGGCGCCTGCAACTTCGTCCATTTTTAAAAAAAAAATTTTAGTGCCTGTCTACATTTCCCACCACAACACGACTCTTAATATCGTCTTAGTGGAACGGTGCGGTACTGTTGCACGGTGCGTTGATATAACGTGCAAAACTGGTCGCAAATTTGTATGTTATGTGCCGCGATACCGCATCGTTACACGTTGATGACGTCGTGACGTGAAGATGTGCACAGGAACTTAGCCCTTCACAGGGTAATTTCGGTAAAAATCTTTCTTCAACGCGTCCACATCATAATAGCTGTGCATGGATAGGTCAGCCAGTTGGTTTCCTGGATACATACATAGGATACCTGGATACAGATAAAGTCTATCCATAACATCCCAGATGAACTTACGTCCATTTGCCCAGCCGTTTGTTTTCTTATAGTTTAAGCTTACGGTTACGGCATGGACACAGTATAATTTTTTTAAACGTTTTTTGTTTTAAACCTAATGTTGATGACAACGCAACGTAATCTCAGCAGAATATTTGCTTCCATAACGTGCTTTTCTCTAAAATTCTGGGTAACAATTAATGACCGCACACCGTTTTTAACGATTTCTCGTCTGTGTAGGCTATAAACGTAGTCGATTGAAGGTACCCCAGATAGCCGCTCCAGTTACGTGTCTACCCAACTTCTAAGTTTAATTTCCAGGCTCCTTCCTTTAAATTCCTTGCTTGCTTGCTCAACACGTAACTTCAACGAAGCTTTACTTTAAATAAATTGATTTCACTGCTCATGGGCGCAAGGGTTCTGTTAAACGTACAAACAAGTAAGACACTGTTTTATTTATTTATTTATTTATTTATTTATACTTTATTGTACACCAACAAACAATAAAATCACCGCCGTTTTACGCCATGTTTACGCAGCTTTTGCAAGACATTGGTGTCGATTCTAACATGATTCTCTAAACTTAAAACTAAATTTATCAGTAGTGTATTCTTGTCACTCTCTTTACTGATTGAAAAAGAGAGACTGATGTGAAATTTAGTTTTAAGGTAAGACAATCTCTTCTAAATTTCATGTTGAATGCCTGTCTAACTTTTAGTAATAAGGCGGTAAGATTAACGTGTACTTTCTTCCGCATCATCCGTTCTGGCCCGTCCGCTGGCGTAGCTGACGTTGCTCATCAACTTACTTAAATTGTCTTATCAAAAGCTCTTTTGATTTGTCCATATTTTTTTCCTACCTTGTAATAAAGCCACGGAGCACCCCCACTAGAGTCCGCATACAAGGGCAAGCGCTTACGCCAAGCTTAAGTAGTATTTTACCTATGCGTGAGGCACGCCTACAGACGTCGCGATACATCGTTTCATTCGGTAACCGAGCGTTGGTCGAACTGCTTCTCTCGTTTTCGTGTTAAAAACTGTAAAAAATGCCGTACTGTGCAATTAAATTGTGTGGAAAGTCGAGTACAACTTCTAATCTTCAAAAAAATGGTATTACTTTTCACTGGTTAGTTTAAATGCATTACAAAAAGACAAAAATACTGTTATATTAAATTGCTGGTAATTGTATTTATTTTTTGGTGAACGCGTTGATGTCTTTTTACCCTATCCCTTTCTCGCATGGGCTACATCATATATGCTATCTCGCTCTCACACCGGCACGTGTATTGCTAGTGACTCAGACGCAGCTCATGTCTCAACGCGTAAGTTTATCGATAAGTTTGTCAGCTATGGAAATGGAAAAAATAAATAAAAACTATTTATTTCATCGTATACAATAATAGATGTCATAAGTATACAACCAACAGTTTTTATTTGACTTCAAACATATCCTAATAAAATTGAAAAAACGCGAAAATTTGTATGCATATTTGTTACTCTTTCACGCTAAAACGGTTAAACGGATTTGTATGAAATTAAGTGCGCATAGTTTATGACCTAGATAAAGACATAGAATTAACGATATTAAATACCCTAGATACACCACGAGCGCTCAAAATGTGTCCCAATCAAGAAGTGCTTGAACTCCACTCAAGCACTTCTTAGTACACAGTCACACGCGGACCGTTGAAAAGTCAAGATGCCAAAGAGTTCCGTGAAAAATGCAGAAAAATACTAATAGTACGTAAAGTGTCGTTTTTTCGACGGGTATCTAATTAATGTTTTTTAATTAACGCCTTTAAAGCCAATTTTATTGTTGTAATACTTACTATAAACTAATTTAATTTAAAATATTTGTGATATTCAAATGCATGGTCGGTTATACGTTGCCCTTAGCCATCTCTTTTCTTCGCAGTCTGTACCTGCTATATTGCTAACAGCGCATTCAGAATTGCGCGTGAAAAGTAAAAAAAAAATAAGGTCTATATTCTTTCACATATAACAATAAATCGTAAAATTTTACGAACTTCACGCATGCATTTTAATTAAGACCTTATGCCGTATGCATTAAAGGTGACTTTCAATGTTTAAATAAGGCATTATATTGTTTTTGACCACGTGATCATCTTACGGACCTCCGTGGATCGTCCAATGTACCTTTTGGACACGTTTCGGCCACGATTTTGTTCGTGTTGTTGTATCTAGGGTAGTTAATATCGTTGCATTAATACTTCTTGTCCTGGACGTGATTTTTTTTGTGTTGCTTATATATAATTTAGTATGTAGTTACTAGTCGCGTCATGTAATTAGAACGCTGGAAGAAAGTGGAGAGGGTATGATTACGCATTTGCGCACCAAAGTATTAGGCCTCTATTCTAAATTGTTTATCGATAGAAAATATCGATATTTTCTAAAATCGATCTTACCCTCATCACTTCGCTGCACTGAGTATATGATCTGACCTTGACGTGTCCAATCACAGCGGGGCTGACCTCCCTGCACCCCACCGACTTTGGCGATTTTGATTCCAAACAAAATTTGTGTGATGCGGACTCTAGTGGGGGTGCTCCATGAATAAAGCGGTTAGATTGACGTGTCGTTTTGTTCGTAGCATCCGTTCCTAAAGCTGGCCCGTCCGCTGGCGTCGCTGACGCCGCTCATCATGGCGGCGAAAGAGGCGGCCAAGGGGCATTAGCGCCGGCCGCCGGCGCCGCCCGCGCCCCCTAGCCCCTAGTGCCTGCGCCTAGCCGCGTGCGTACCCTAACCTGACCTTTTCTTTCTAACAACACAGCACTAAAGTCATTCGGATAATAGAACGCATATTGCTGAGTGATCTCCGCACTGATGACTGAGCTGCCTACAGCCAGCGACTGCCACTAAAATCGATGATCGTCGCAGCGGGCGTGACCACTGAGCGTCGCGTCTTCCTCTACGCGGTCGCGATCCCTGCGTGGCGTAAAGGTCGCATTCGCACTATAAATAGTGCGTATCAAATTAAATGGCGGCTGTGAAGTAAGCGAAAACCGCGGCGTAGTAAACTTAATGTAGAGTGATGTAGCTTGCGCGGGATGACACTGAACTGGAAACGGCTTACTTCATAGCCGACATTCGGTTTGCATCGCACTATAATAGTCGCGGTGCAGTAAACGAAATTTAGGTGTGCGTAACTAACTTCACACTCACAGCCACCATATAAAGTTCGGTGCAGTAAACTAGGTAGATTTCGGTGAGTGCGGGTTGGTCACTATTCTTGTGGGTAATTGCGTTCGTTGCTAACTTCACAGCCACCATAAAGTTAGAATCGCATCAAGAGTCTCACAGACAGAGACCAGCCCTGATTGGGCGCTCGTATTTGAACACTCGCTAACATTGCAAGCGAATACAACTGGCCGACACCTCCTTGTCTATCTGTAAAATACATTTAAACTTAAAACCGGCCTTCGGATGCATCTTTGTGCGAACTTTTATCATCTGTGACGGGATTAGTACGTTCAGTAACGTGCAGGCAACACGTTTCGCAAATAATAAACAATTTGTGGCAGCTATCGAACGATTTGTTTGCAAGGTATCAAAGGACCACTGGTGGCTGTGGTTTGAAGCACGTTAGTTTTTATCACCGCTGCCGAAACTCGAAATAGACGAATGCAACTTTAAGCTCTTTACTAAAAAATTGTCACTTTTTAACAGAAATCTACATTGCAAGCAAGTAGATGCAGTGTAGATGGCCCTTTATTATTTTTCGGCACATTCAGTTAATGTGACAGACTGACTTAACGACTATTTCTTATTTCTTTATTAAAATAAAATAACTGTCTAGCGAGTTTCGGTGTAAGCTGGCGTTATGGTGTATTACGAATACCGAAAATTATAATAGAATTATGTAGGTAAACATATTTTTACACAAAAGAAATAACAGTCCGGTTATTATAGGGACGCAATGTCGGTCAATGGCGTTATTATAGTTAGTGACGTGATCTCCTATTGACGTGTTTCGCTCAACTGTTCTATAGGCGAGAAGTTGAATAGGATGTAGATATTAGTTGTTTAGATACGAATTTGTGAAAACACTAAGAAATATTGTAGCTGCAAACGAAGACTGGCAGTTAATGTTTAGGTGAACCTGTAAAATATAGTAGATAACTATAGGTCCGTTACGTTAGTACCGATTCAGCTTTCACTGTGATGGTAGTTAACAGAATGAGCTGAAACACATCAATACAGAGGTAAGAAACGAGCAGTGATGAAAGTGGACTGAGTTGACGTAACAGTTAATTCTTGTCATTTGCATTGTATATCTTAATACATCATTATGTTAAGTGTGTACTCATATTATTTGAAATTACGTAAATATGTGTATGAAACTTATATGTATTTTGTATTAATAAGCAACTGTGCTATTAGGCTCGACTTGAATTGGCTAAAGTTATTGGGTATTTAATAATATGACACTCTTGTAATGTGCGTTTATTTTCGACCTTATTGAACGCATTACACACTTTCTGATGCATCTATAATCTTTGATTGCGGGGGACTCTCTACTAGAGATGCAAATATCGCGTACTCTATCCCTTATATAAAGAGCACTCTATTGCTTGCTTACAACTCTATTAGATAAAAGTATCTCTAAAACTGCCTCTCAGTAGTTTGAAACAGGGAGCAATAGCTCAGTTACCGTTTAATGATTGATCAAACACAACTTTGTGTTCGATGTACCTCTTATTAAATATGCAGTTCGTCGAATATTAAATGCATATTTATTTTGTGTCTTAACTAACCCCTTGCAGCCTGTGTTTTTTTTAAAGAAAAGAAATTATTACACTGTATTTGTAAACGTTTTGAGAGTTAAACGAAATTGAGCCCTGTATTTGTATTGTTTTAATGTTTGTATTGATAATTGTAACTATTGGCTTATTGATTTATGCTTTTTATAATTACTAGATGTACAACTTATATACAATTAAATTATTAACCCTTTTTATTGTCAACTATTTTATTTTAATTATGAGATTATTATTGAATTGATTTATTATGTTTTTGAAAATAACAGTTTAGTTTTATGGCACAGGAGTGTCACACATTTTATTTGGATAAAGTTTCAAATTAATACGACTGATATTGTTGATTGAGTGATCATTGCATTATAATAATTTATCTAATCTATTCATTTATTGTTAGTGATGATGAACATAGAAAGCATTTACATAGTATTAAGTTTATAAAGTTTATAACATTGATTGTGAATCGTAATTATTTTACCATTGTGGCACAAAATTCCTAGAATTTGACATTGATTTCATAGTGTCAGTCATGAATGCAATGGCATAAATAATCCATATTAATGTTTATTTTCCATTAACATTCACGTCATCTTACGACAATGGTAAGTGTCATTAGTATCTAATGATATTAATTTTATTCCTATACTTATACAAATAAAGTATTTTATGTGTTAAGATTTTTTAGTCTCTCTGCTTTTATTATTTAGGTTGTGCCGAAAGACGCTGTTAACTTCGTTTTATTTTGAAGTGAATCCGCTTATGGTGGTTGAATAATGATGTATTAGTCGAGTGATATGTGCGTGAAGTTTAAAGAGGGGATGTAGATGCTCGTAAAATGTAAATTGTACAGACACACATTAGAAACGAGTAGTACTGATTGACAATATGAAGTGACCAATTAACGCTATTTAGTCTCTGAGCAGTCAATATAGGTTGGTGCAAATGTCGATTTCGTTTATAATTATATCTTCATTGCTTACATTCTATCGTGTTAGAAAGCTAGACATAACTGTTTCGAGTTACAAAAGTTTGTGTAAGTTGCTATTGTTATATTATGTTGCGGCCTAAAAATATATTTACAATAATGTCGTAATACACTATGGCCTATCACGAGTGCACTATACAATCACAACAACTGTAATAAAAGAAGTAACTTATTATAAATGCACCAACCATAGCAAAAATATTGTGCAATAATGTAGAAATGTAAAATAGCCAAATCTTCAAGAGAACTTGAACAAATTTATTCAGTATCTTAAAACTGTAATATTCTAAGAAGTGTATTAAACCATGTGATCATGAAAATGAATTTGAGTATGCATTAGAATTAATAATAAGTTGAAAAGTAACTGTAATTATTATGAATATAGTATAAGACGAAAACGTATTAATACATGTAATAGGATACTGTACATGACATTGAATGCGAAAAGAAACGTTTTTCATGATTTTATGTCAGTTGTAAAACACCAGTGCCATGTATGAGCAACTTGTGCATATAAATTACAACCATACTATAATAAAAGACTCACCATGAACAGTTCTCGTTTTATTTATTGACCGGGATTGTTGTCCAAATTATTAAGTTACTTTAGGATAAAGTCACAACCTTTCACTAAAGTGAAAACCAAATTTCTACTAGTCTTCATATAACAATATGTCAAATGTTATGGTTTAACGTATGTGCGTGTTATTATAGTATTGTGGTCTTCGCAAATTTAAATATTTAGATGGTGAAGTATTTTTTATATGCAAAAAAATACGTAACGTCAGGAATCTCAATTTTCTCAAAAAAAATATGCTGTCTAGTATACCTATATTAAGGTCCACTTGCGGCAAAAGTGACGTCACGGATGGCATTACGCGGTGTTACGGTGTTGATTTATAAATTTAATACATGTTATTTACTTGTCCTATCAGTCTGCTAATGCTCGCTTTTTTATCCTTTAAGAGTCAGTGCTTCTGTGGTAGTGTGGGTTCAATGATTTGCTGTTTTTGATATTCTTAAAATAATATCAGAGATTAAAATCTGTTTATTTTCGTGGCTGGTATCTGAGTATAATTTCGTGCCGTCAATCATCGGCTCGTACATTATCTATAAATAAATAGAAGCAATTGTTTACATACATAAATATATGTATAGTAGCTCTATGCTCTATGTATTGTAAAACTTTTTATTTTAATAACTGCTACAATACCTTCTACTTTCAACAGTCGAATTTGGTACCCAAGACTTGCGATTGTGTCGCCAATACGCTAGGATATGCGTTCATTGTTTATCTCCTGTTTACATAACGTACTGCTGAGAGTGCGGTAAGGATGGTGAACTGCGGAGGCTGTGGGAAGATCCTACCGGTGGTAGGTGGCGTCGCTTGCTCTTTGTGCCCACCACACAGGTCCACAAAGCCTGTTTAAATATTCCAGTTAAGGCACTTAAGTAAAGAGTGGCCCTGTCCGAACTGTAAAAAAAAATAATCGCAGGGGTGATAAGGCTCTCGTTAAAGGCATTTGTGGCTCCCCACCGAAGGAGATTGTGTGAAATATGCCACTCGGAAGCTGCAGCACATTATGATGCGTCAGTAAGCAGTGAGGCCGCCTCGAACTTGCTACATTTATGGCGGAGATGCGCGAGTTTCGGAGAGAGATAAATGAGCTCCGTGTGTCCTTGTCATTGCGCATTAACAGCATTGAGTGAGGCTGGAAGCGCTGGAGCGCCGCGAGCCGGACGCTGGGACTGCCGAGTTCGAAGAACTATCAAGAAGTTGAAGTGAGAGCTCAATGACCGCGATCAAGAGGCGCTTCTGTCGGACCTCGAGATCGGTCAGTTACCGGATTTGAGGGGTGTTAGCGTCGTGCAGTCTGTCACCGTCCTGGCTGCTAACGTTAACTCGGAGTAACGTTAGAGCTGAGAGACGTTGTGTTCACGGAGCGCGTGGGCGCGCCGATACCTGCGGGACGAGCTGCTCAAGGCCGTGCGTGTGCGCCGCAGCGTTGTGGCGCCTGCGATCGCGCCCGGCGACGGAGAGAGCACCACTATCCCGCTACCCCCGCGACCACTCCTACCGATCGCCGGGTCTACCTCAATGAACGATTGACTCGCTCGAATCAGAATCAGGAGTATGGGCTCTCGTAGCATTTTACCACACTTTTGTTTAATATAGTACACACTCGGGTGCCGGAGTATCTGTATTTATCGAGATTGACTGGGCCAGAGATAAAATGTTTTGTTCGAGAGCAGCCTTACATGATACTGACTTCCGCATACAGAACTGCTGCTTTTCGTGGCTCATTAAAGAACTCCGCTTCGAAGTGTTCTAAGAAATTGCCACCCCCAATACGTTCACAGGAAACACATGGCACATTAAAAAACATTTCAAGCAGTTTTTGTTACAGACACAGGTGCAGACCGTTTAAATATCTGTTTTCCCTTTTAATTAATTTTCACAAATTATATTGCTGTCTTTTGTAACAGCCGAATCTTTTCTAATTTAAGTATCATGGTGCCTTACAGATACTTTATTTTTTGTATTTTATACGTGTCACTACAAATAAAGGGTCTAAGTCCATCTTTTTTTTTTGTAAACAACCACAGATTACCTCTGTAAGCATAGATAATTTCTGCCACAGATATTGGGATGTGTTCTGTCCTACACTCTGATTTCTTTTTGTAATTAGGATGTAATTAATTTGCATTTCTTTCTGTTTTCTGTGATGTCACTGCTCTGGGTATGGCAGAATACCAGTGCAGCAGAAATCTTACCTGCTGTGTATGCTAAGCCATATTCAGTGTTGGCATCATATAAAATACACATTTATTCTCTGTAGCTGGGGTGTTGTTAATTTTACTTGTACGTTTTGTTTTACTTTATGTTTAATGTATTTTTGCATTTGAGTCGTATAGTATCAAAGGCGGCAAAGTAGGGCGAACCAAATATTTGGCAAATCAAAAAAACTGTTTAGTCTCGTCTTTAAAGGAGGATTTTTATAATTGACATTCATCATAACTACAAATCGTAGTGAAATGTTAATATTTTATCCTCCCTTAAAGACGAGACTAAACAGTTATTTTTGATTTGCCAAAATTTGGTTCGCCCTACTTTGCCGCTTTGATACTATACGACTCATTTTATGTGTATGTTATGTGCTGTCAAGAACAAAAATATTTACATTCTTTTAAATTTGCTAAATCTCAATTTAACTAAAAACAAAGGAGATTGCTCAGCTTCCATACATGTTTGGCCTAAAGACCAATAATCATGAAAAATTGTTTCCTAGATTCGAAATTATATATAAATTACTGTAGAAACGAATATTATTGACGGACACCCCTGAGAACTTCTATAAACCATATACACTGAACATATAAAAATAATAAATAACAAATAAGTTATATAGTAAACTAGAGAAATCAAGCCAAGTACCGAAATTATCGATTAGATTCAGGTATATAGAGCATGTAGATTAAGAGATAGTTGCCTGTTTTTAAAGTTAATGCATAAGAGTAACTTATAAAATCAGGTGTCATCTATGCATTTCCGGTTATAATAGGGTACTCTGTGACAGAAACTGTGTGATGATCAAGAAGCTTATATACAACACTGGAGATTGCATGTAGAACTTCTGTATGAAGATGAGTTCATTAACCCCATGATATGTTTTTTATCTCTCTCACACACTATCTGAAATTACCATGTTAAATACAAGAAATTCCAATCAGAAAGTGAAAATAAACAGAACTATGCAAGATATCAATCAGTTTTACAAATCTCCAGAAGTCCTACTCTTGTATTACTATTATTATAAGATGAGTGTGACAAATTCTAACCAACTACTTTGAAATCAATATTTAAAACTAAAGTATAAATTCGCTCTTTATTTCCCTGTTTGCTGGTTGCTACCATTTTGTTATAATAGCAACACTAATTAAAAAATCAACTGAAGAATATCTCCGATCTGTCAAAAAAAATCTACCGCTTCGAATGTTTAGATTTTTATTATAAAGTGTTAAATTGTTCAATTTGCTATTTATAATATGTATTGTGTTGTGCGAGATTGCAGAAGTATTTGGGAACCAAATTCCAGCACTAAATTTCACAGGTAAGTCTATTACATTACGCCAATACCGAAATAAACATATTCCTATATTTTTATGTTGTAATCATAATAAAACGTTAGTATTTATAAATCATAGTGTCCTGAGGCTATAAATTAACGTTATTCTTGTTTTATTCACTACATTTCGTACAATATTCAACAGTTTATTAAATTAAAATAATATAAATTTTGGACCCTACATGGTCACTACTCTTGAGATATTTTGAGAAAGTTAAAATAATTGTAAATATTAATTACAAAGTTCAAAATATGAAAATAAGTTTATAATAAATACTGTAGTAGATCATGTTAATAAGATGTAGAAAACCTATTTAATAACAGCTATCTAGCAGCGGTCTTATACCTGTGTTTATGTTTCAGCTTCCCGAAAGATGTCATTAAAAGAAACTCTTGGTTGTCCATTATACTGTCACAAACGCTCTCGAAACGGAACCGCGAATGTGCTAGAGATCGAATTTGCCAGAGCACCGCGGGTCAGTGTTGCCAACTCGGATTTTGAAAAAGGCGTAGGCCCGATGAGAAAATTACGTAGATTTAGTAATTTTTGCATATGAAAAGTACGTAGATCTACGTACTTTTTTCTGAGTGAAATTAAGAAGTCAGGTGAAACCGAATGAAACGAGTATTTTGTTATACAATTTCTTTAAAAACGGGAGATAAAACAAAGAGTTCTTGGAGAAATCGCTGCATTGGAAGCATTTACCACGCTGCGGTAAACCATGACCATGTCGTATTATAAAACCATGATTTCTAATAGATGACATGAAAAATAGAGTTAGTTATAATAATACACTTGGTAAAAGAGTCTAGAAAGTTGTGGTTAAAATTGCCAAGAGAAATAATGCATACACTTATACATGAACACATGTTAAAAACTTACTAATTCCTGTAACTTTATCGACTGAAAGTCATTTCTTTTTGCAAACATCAATTCGATGTAAGTACTCATTGAATAATATTTAAAGTTTAAAAAAACAATTTTTAAGGTTACGAATGTACCTACTAAGTCAAAGAGTTTTGTCGTTTCTCCTTTCACAAATCCTGCGTCCAGCATTAATTTAGTCAACAAAACCAATGACGGGAACCTTTTCTACAAGATACAAGAGTTTTAAGATACATCTTTATAATAAATAAACATTTTTATAGTTTTTAAGAAAAGTAACGGAAAATATTCTTCTTTATTCTAGTGAATTAAGTTATTTTACAAATTTGAAAAAATTAAAGAAAATACGTAGATTCTGGGACTAAAGTTAGTAGGTTTGCAGAAAAGGCCTAAAATACGTAGATCTACGTAAAAAGACGTAGAGTTGGCAACACTGCCGCGGGTCGCGATAGAAGTCGAGTAAGGCGGCTCATTCTAAAATGAGCCTTATGCAGTTCGACATAAAGTAGAAAGTGCAACGATATCTGCACTTGTTTACAAGTTATGCGTGTTACTTGCGTAGGTATAAGTAGGTATTTCGTACTCGCGGGTGCTAGGTAATTCTCAATTTAACAGGTACTTTCTAGAATGCATCGATCGGCGTATATAAGGGCGATTGGCGCCGCGCAGAGACAGTTGAGTTTCAACAGCGATTTCGGAGCGAATCCAAAGGCGATCAAAGTGCATCAAAAGTGTTCAAGTGAGATTGTTTACAGACTTGTATAGTGAAATACAGTGTTTAGTGAGTGTTTTGTAATTAACATTGTGTGTTAATTGTGTGAACTGTGTGGTGAAGAAAGAACTGTCAATCGTGAACTGGCATATAATTTCGAACCCCATCCCGACACGTAACAATACCATTAAAAGGTTTCTAGTCCGTTCTTAGTAAAAGGCATTTCTGGCGATTTTAAAAAGGGTTTGCATATTCTTGTTCATTTTTTATAAACGTTTTTGACATTGCATAAGATGCATCTAATATGAATAAAATGATTTTTGTACTTGTGAATTTTATTACTATTAAATAATGTGTTCCCAAGTTCCTATCAACTAAAACGCTTTGATTTATAAATTGTTTAAAGACGATACCGATAGTAAGTATGTATCCTAAACGTATATTCCAACATGGTCACCCTTAGAAAGAGATAACAAACATATGTGACGTCATTCAAGGCCACATTTTTTCACTTCAAGGTATTGTTTGCACTGCAATCTCCATTTTGTATATAAGCTTCTTGGTGATGATTGTGAATGAGCCACAGATTAGAGAGAATTTTTAAACTCTCGTTAACCAAAGAAAGCTGTGTTTTTAATATAACCATATTTTAGATTTTTAGTGTATCACACCTTATAAATTTATTAATTTATAGTCAGGCAACGTAGGCCCATAGATAGATACCTTAAAATCTAACATATATACAGACAGATTATAATGTGTTTATGGAGGTGTTTGGCGAAAAATGTATTGCAATAGACTTTATGATGTCGCCTACCATCTATAATAATTGTCTGAGCACATGTGCATGTAGTGAAAATGATAATATAGTTGTGGATATTAATACCATAGTGTAATAAAAGAAATGATTTATTTTATCGATCTTTACAAAATAGATTTGTTTTAATGTTATATAAACAATTTCGATCAGTCTTTGGCTGAATGTTACTACACCCATAGCCATTAAAAATGGTTCGTATGTTTTCCAAACCGGTAAAATTAAAAGTCCTTTTTAAAGTAAATATATTATACAAAGGTGTCCGTTGAAATCTAATGACTGTAAATTAAATTATAAATTACGCCAAGAATTACCGTGTATGTCAATATTTTTTGTGCGTTTGGGCCAATTTGAGCAATCTCCTTTAGACCATAGAATAATGTCAAATTGACTTTGACCTTTTCTGGGATAAATCTAGTTTTAGTTTAATCAAGATTAGCAAATTTGCTTCTAATGTGGGCCTAAGTAACAGTCGTGAAGTACGGGCGATCTCCAACTGTCCCGTGGCGTGATCGTGTGCTGTCCACAGTTGCTCAGCAATGAAACGCTTATCCCGTGTTCATATCTAGTCTTAAAAGAAAGTGAACCGTAGACTCATGCTAACCCCAAATCCGTAAGCGACATAATGGATTAATCAAATGAAACACTGTCGTAAATAAATATATTTATTGCTTATATTAATTTACATCCACTCCAAAACAGAGGATTGCATTTAAAAGCAAAATAAAATTCTAATGGTAACGATTTCGCTTCTTAATGTACTAAGTAACAGGGGCCGTGCTATTGAATTCTTAAAGCGATCCAAATATTGTTGTAGCGGCTCTACGCTTAGTAGATAACCCTTATTAACACAAAAGTTAAGGCATGAGTTGAATACAATCAAACATAATTTTAACACAGCACGTCTAAATGTCTAACTTTCTAATAGTTACAATCCAGCATGTTTAACAATAACACGTGATGCATTCAGTACAGAGGCGGTTTTATGAACTCATATCGCCAGTCAAGTTCTGTTGTTAGAGCGAGACATTATCATATATGCACAGTAGAGTGGCGTCCCGCTTCAACCGCTGGTTTTGCCTGGCGTTGCAAGTTCATACTGCGGCCTCAGTACATAGTACCGGCGCCTGTCCTGTGCTAGAACGAAAAGAGCGGTCACACTGAGCTACATCGTACATGGCGAAAGGAGGCGGAAGTTAAATGCCAAAAATAAAATTTACGTGAAATGTCGTACTTTGAAACAATCTCGGTCTACCTTTTTCAAGACCTAGTGCCGGTGCTACATAGTACGTTAACATATAGGTATACTACTCGAACATATAAATTATTACAATGCAAAGGTTTTTGTATTCAACCATTCGAAAAATATATTAACTTTTTTATAAATAATATTATGCTCGTATCAGATTTAACATGGTTCATTCACATTAACTTCTGATATAATGACAAAAAAAATATTTACAGTCAAAGAACTAAAACAATTTACAACCAAAAAAACAGGCGAACACTGAAATTGGATAGCACTTAATACTTAATTACAATAACTTGTAATTTACTGTTAAAATAGCATAAACATAGCAACTAATAAATTAGTTATGAAAATATAAAACTTTTCTTATTTTGCAGTCACCCGTAACCATTAATTTATAGGTTTAAAAGCGCACTTTGTAGTAGGTACTTTAAGATACTATATATATATCAATATATAAATAATTGCTCTTTATAACTATATTTCGAGTAAACAATCCACATGTTTAGTCTTTACGTTCTTCAGCCGGTATGAAGTCCATTGATGCCGAATTAATACAAAAACGTTTCTTGGTGGGTGCAGGCCCATCGTCAAACACATGTCCCAGATGGGCGGAGCACTTGGAGCATCGCACCTCAGTTCGCACCAAACCTGGCCGTGTTAAAACCAGTAATATATTTGCTCCAACTTTAAATTCAACAAGGAGTCCATTCACCAAAACCAATTAATTATTTACACGGGTATTTAAAACAATGGATGATGGCATAAGATGGTCGTATCCAATATGATTATCACGGAGTTGATGTGGTGATTGATCGTAGTCGACGTGGTGGCGGGCGCGGCGCGTCGTCCATCCGGCAGCCATCCAGGAGGGGCGGCAGGACGGGACAAGACGGGGCATATCAAGGACAGGGCAAATGCATATTATTGTCATGCACATTCCACAACAGTTAGAGAATAACACGACAATGATGCGTAGTGCGGTTAGCGAACGACAACGACACGGTGAGTGTTAAGAGAGGCAGATCGATTATATTCAACAATGTTTGTTTGATGGCGGTTTCAACCAAACAATCATGGGCAACAAAGAAATAACAATTGAAATTGTGAGTAGTGCGTTTTGTAGTGAACAGCGTTTGCCATATAACGAAATGTAAATGTACGCAATGAATTAAGCATAGTAAAATATAGTATCACAGACAGTTTTACCGATCGAGGTCCACTTACGTTTGATGTGGAGAGGCAGGAATGTATCGGAGGATGGTCAAAGGTACGGGGAGAAAGACAGAAAAAGATAAAAAAATGTATTAACACCAGTATTCAAATTCCCGACACCAAACCAAATATACATTTTATAATTTAAGGAACTGTATTGGAATAATAGATGTAGAAATTAAATTTCTTATTTATCAGTTTTAGAAAGGCACTCAAATAAATACTTTACTGTACAATAAGAACTTTATAAATTGTTCAGTAGTAAGTACCTATGACTTAAAAAATACAAACAAAAGGTCAGGTTCAAAATAATAGGTTGGGGGGAGTCTTTTCGCATTATAGTATGTTTGAACTTGTAATAAAATCCCTTTGGCTTTTATTTAGGCCATTTGTATCTGGCTGATTTTAGTATCATTAAAAAGTTTAAATTTTAATTAAAATTAAATTAAATTTTAATTTCATGAGTGAATCTAAATGGAGTAATTCGATACATTTTAAAATTCGTCTACAAGAAAGGTAAAAATTAGAGTCCGGCCGAAACCTAAACCGAATATTCGGCCGAAACCGAAACACACGTGGTCAAGATTAAAATTCCTTAAAAAACTGAAATTAGGTGCATTTTACCCATTATTCAGCATTAATTAGGACATGAAATGGAAACACAGTATATTAATTTTGTTGTAGGTAATCATTTATTAAATATAATATAAAAAATATAAATAATGTTTTTATTATTTTTTCACATTAAGTTCTCATAGCAAAATTTTTATCAGTTATCAATAATCAATTCACAAATTGTTACTGTTTCATTAAATACCCATTGGTATTTTGAAATCTTATTAATTAATACTTTGGTTTGTATTTGTACTTAGAAGAATCATCAATCTCTTTTATCTCAATATAGGAAACTGCACTTCTCAATATAGGATACGGACAGCTGTGCGAGAAACGAAGTAAGGCGAGCGTGCACGACAACTTCCGAAATCAGTTTCGGTTTCGGCAAGAGTTTCGGTTAATGCATCCGCCGTATCGGCCTGACCTTGCATCTTCAGATTTCCACCTGTTTCGGTCTCTTCAGAATTCTTAAGGCAGTGTCAGCTTAACATCACGAGAGGACTGCCAAAACCACTTGTCCGGTTTTTTGATCAGAAGCCCCAAAATTTCTATAGCAATGGAATCATGTCCCTACCTACTAGATGGCAAAAGGTTATCGAACAAAATAGCACCTACATACTTTAGTTAAATGTCAATAAACTTTATTTAAAATTGTTTGGATTTTCATATACTTAATATGCGAAAAAACTTTTTCCCCAATCTAAAATAGGATTTTTTTAAAAGGTGTAAATAATAATTTTGTAACACTAAATAGATAAAATATTGCAAAAAGTACATACAATTTATAATACTTAACTTACTACGTTGACAACACATCGCAACTAAGACAGTGAAGCAACATACTAGCTTAAGCATATTAATATGTTAGGTTATCTATTGCATGATGGTGATATTTAAAAGCACATGCTTGAGAGATTAAGCATTGAGGCAAATCATTTTGATTGTGCATTAACTAAGTAAAACATCTTATTTCTTTAATACCACGTGAACATTTCTGTTGTGTATTCATGACATAATATACATTTTAAAAAGCGAGGAAAATTAAAACTTAAGAGGGGAGGCGGACAATGTTTTTTCCGTACAAACGTTCTCAACTGATTCCTCCTTGATTTATCACTAAAGAATTGATTTTCATACATAAAATATAATTTTACTCATTCTATGCTCCTATGTCTCCTTTCTACGATAACTTGTGTTTCAAAGATACTAGAATCCCTCACAATGCCAAAAATAAACAATTTTTTATCACCACTAAAGACATAAAATTTCTTTTACATATACATATCTAATTTTCGAGGAGGAGAGGTAAACCTCGAATTTTGCAATTTTTAACGTTAACTACTGTTGTCCCTATCGCACGGTATTTGCCAATGCATGACAGTAATAGTTGTTTCAAATACTTATTTCACAGATGTCTCTCAGCTCGCGTCCGCTCTTAAGGCCTGCGCAGACGAAGGACTTTTGCCCGCGTTTTTTTTTCCTCTACAATAGATCGCTTACAACACAAGTTATACTCTCTTTCTTTGAATCAAAATTTCGGCAACAAACAAATTTTAAACGAAATTTCGCCAATGACTCTATATTTCATTTTCGAACACGCGCATAAAGTTCGGAACCACAAACTTTTTTCGTGAACGAATGGAATTAGTTATGTTTGTGAGTTCTTTTTATCTCCACTTTTTAGATATAAGCGTTTTTTACTCCGAAACAATATTACTTTACGATAACATTTTTGATGACATTAAAAACCTTCTTTGACAGTGATAGCTGACTAATGTGTTATTTTGAAGTATTGGAAATACAATAATTAATAAAAATTGGGTTTTGTTAATTTTACATGCTAAAAAATGATCCTCACGCTAAGCAGCCATGATCAATATACTCTAGCAGACATTTTAGGCTTAATATAAACAAAAATCCCAAAATGAAAAAGTAACATTTTTTCGTCAATTTGAGGTTAAAATTTCTAAAAATTATCTGTCAAATTCAACTTGTCGTTCCAAATTAGAGTAATTAGAGTAGGCTTGGAGAATTTAATTGTCAAACTGTTTTCAGACGAACTAATTTTCGAAATGAAAAACAGAGTAAGGTTAGGTAACGTGCGAAATTTCGATCGAAATTTCGTTTTTCGTTGAAATAGAGTAGGCCTCCTGCATCGAACAACGCACACGACGGATTAAAAGTACCGCATACAAAAAGTCCCCCGAACAACCGATGACACCGAGAGCGTACTGGAAAAAAGTAACGCAAACAGCAAACTTCAGTCTGCGTTGCGCGCTCCATCTAAGAGATGGACTCAGTATTTTTTAACGTCTTCTCTTCTCGTCAAACTTTGTGTTAATTACAACACCACTTAATCTCAGAATATTGTCTCCAATAGCATGCGTTTCTCTTAATTTCCAGGCAACAAATGTCCGTACATCGTGTGTTGAGTCAGATACAATCAGGGAATTTTGTCCTTCGCGGATAAAAGTTTCTCGTCTGCGCAGGTCTATGAAATATCAAAGTATTAATAAAGGATCCTGAATGATTTAGCTGTAAGAAATCCACGTGAAGAAGACCCAATATCTCATTTGCGTGGAACTGGACAAAAATTTGAACAAAAAAGTTGTGTTTACTCTAAAACTACGATTGAAACTAATATTTAACCATTCACCTACATAGCCTACTGTTAAGCCATTCTGGACAACTATCATGTCAAGGATTTGCGTTTTATATGGCAGAGGCTGACTCCCTTATAAGGGCAGAATAAAGTCAGTTGTTAGGTGTGCCTTGAGGTCATTGTAGTTTAATAGAAAACACTTCAAAATTAACCACTGTTACTGCGTCATTATTCTCAAATTTATCAAATAATCGTGTATACATTTGCCTCTGGTGGATTCAGAAGACGAAATGCAAAAAAATTGTATAAACCCAGGTCACATAGACACTGTGGGTGTCTGTTTTTTTGGTTTCTGTTTTTCACAACACTAACGCTTCAGCTACTTACTTTTGGATTACACATTGTTCTGATTATGAGTTATCTCACGTGACAAGCATGATTATAACTTATGCTAAAAAAATAGTACTGGGAGAGTGAGAATGCCAGTATAGCACGACATACCGTTTTCACCACTAACTGACCACGTTTAGAGTTCCTATTATATACACACTAAGTCGAGTTTTTAAAATGATTGCTGACTAGAAGGTACTACTTCCACTTGAAATATGTATTTATTTGTGATTCCTAGAATAAATCATTCTAGTTCTATTATAGAGGATAGAAAATCCAATACAGACCTTTAGCATGGTACCTACTTAATATTTGAAGTACATTCCATACCGCAATCTATTGCGGAGTTTACACTACCCAATTTTAAGGGACCCTTACTAAAGGTGTAATGTGAGTTAGGGAGTAAGGGACCCGATCTAGGGCGATTGGCGCGGTGTAATAATTGCAATTGCCCAATCGAAAGGGTGGGCCCTTAAAATTGGGTATTGTAAACCCCGCTTACATTTAATCCCGTTTATGAAATAAAACTTAAAAAAGAAAAAAGTATTTGAGGAAGCCTAGAATGTTTTAAATAACCTCGTAACTATTGTATAAATCAAGGTCAATATTGCAGACCATTCAAGGTCAATTCAAATTGGTAAGATACCTACTCAATGCTCAAACAAACTAATAATTTGTTTAGAAGGCATACTTACAGTGCCAAACAGATTACTAGTGAATACTTGCGAGAGTATAATACGTGTAAGAATTTATCCATACCACAATACAATACTATCCTACTAATATTATAAACGTGAAAGTTTTTATGTTTGTAACTCAATCACGTATAAACGGCTGAACTGATTTGGATAAAGGCACACATAATACAGTTTATCTGGATTGTGACTAATATACATATAATAGTAAGCGCGGATGAAGTCGCGGGCGGTTCGATTTATTAATATTTAAAAAGGAATATCAACTTATTTTACTATAACATTGAATATGATCCCATAAAAGGCCTCCATATAATGATAAACAGAAATTATTCTCATGTGAACATTGACTGATATCATCTATTGTTCGACGACATTGATTTTGGCTATGCATGATTAGATTTACCAAATGTCAACCTACATTTGTTTACAACTAAAAAAAGATTCATTATTTTTTAACAGAGGAGCGTAAACAAAATTTTATACCTAATGCGAAATAGAAAACTAATCAATTTATTCGTTTATTTTTACACAAATAATGTTACGATATTTAAAATTAAATTATAAAACTTGGAAAGGACACTTTCAGTTTATAACTTTCATCACACCAACTCTAGGGAAGTCTTTTTTAAATGCAATTGCTTATATGTGAATTAAAAACCAATGATATAAATAATATTATAAAGCTGCTTAAACTTCGGTTTCACTTTGTTTGATAATTTAATAACCAGAATTGTAATATTGTTATCTTGTGAAAAACAGAATTAATTATTTTGTAATCGTATCTGTGAATTCTAAAATTCTTAAAATATCCTTTTCCATTGTAGTTGTTTCATTTATGAAAGTGTATAATATTAATAACAGTGTAGCATAAGTGTGGGCTGCCAAATGCTATGAAATTTAAAGTGTTAGTCACTGTCAATATTAATTTAGCACAATAATAAAGATTCCAAGTGAGAGATGAACTTGTAGTGTTTGTTATTAATGTTAGGACACTGTTATTTAAAAGTTGTGATAATGTATGACTTTTTAAGAATGTATACAGAACAGTCACAAAATATAGTAGAAGTCTTATAAATTTATTAATGTAGAACACAGTCAAGAGTACGCAATTCTAGAGTTGCTAGTGTTATTACATACCTGCACTTGTGTCTTGGTGTAGGGTAACCTTTTCCTTGGCAAGAACATCATTGAATGCAGGCCAGCCACAACCAGCATCAAATTTAGTATTGGAGCTAAACAGCTCTTGTTTGCAAACTATGCAAACATAGACACCCTCATCATAAAATTTGTTGTAGCACCCTGAAAAAAAAATCTCATCATCTCCTCTGTTAAACTTTCAGTTTCATCTAAAACTTGAATGAAAGATATTAAATCTATATAATTTTTGGTGTGACTGAATTCCTCCAAAGTGCTGGACTGATTTTGATAAAAATTGTTGTGTTTGATTATGCTCTTGGATGGCTTATATTTTTAATAATAATAAATCTTTTGCGATGTTAGTCAAATACTGCATTTGACCAAATAATGGGCGGCAGGTTGTCAGTGTCTGAACACCACCATATTTCGCTTGAATATTTTTTTATCAATAAAAGGTCTGTTGACGTGAGAACTATTACCCCAGGATCAATAGCCAGTATCGCAACTGGTACATACACATAAGCATTGTAGGCAGCGGATCCGATACACTATAAAACATATTTCATTTGTGTATAAAAATTGTCTATATGCATTTTCCATATTTAAATATTTATGTATTGTTATCTGAGAAACTTGATTTGATTCACTTCATAAATATTAATGTCTTAGTATTAAATGCCAAGGTTATTAATTTTACATGTATGAAATAACAAGAAGTAAAATAAAATAACAAAAATAATAATCATCACTATTTTAGATATCGGATGCATATTTACCTTAAGTTTTTTTTTAATTATGGAAGCGGCAACTGCGGTTATTTTTGTTAAAAATAAAACCCGATAATTCCGGGATTCTGCGATGGCTACAATACCCGGGACTCAAAACCTCGTCCCGGTACTTTCGGGACTAAATAAAACCAATAATTTTAATATTTCTACTTCAAATGTTCGCTAACGATTCCTGATTCAATTGTAGTTTGCTAGGCCGCAAACGATCCGCCATACTATAGACGCAACTTTCATCCATTTGCAACTTTGACTTTGTTGTATGATAGCTTGGGATTGGATAACGTTTTTAAAATACTCCCTATAAGACTGGAATCCATAGTTTTGTATGTGGTTCAGCGTGACGAGTGGCTACTCATAACTAGATCCCGCAGTTACGCCTCGTTAGATCGGGGAGTTGGTTTACCTGGTAGGTACGAGGGCAGGTCGGCTGTCGACCGTGGTGGACTATTCAGGTGACGCTATGAACGGGGCAGCCCAGAATCGGCTGAGGCGTGTGCGGACCGGACTGCTGGTCGGATGCAGGGTAGTTTGATGTCTGGCACGCTTGCGATAACGTCAAATTATACCTGGACCGACAAGTGGCCCTGCACCACGAACCATCGTTGCCCGAATGCACCACGCAATTACCTGCATCGCGAGGGTATGTTAACAGCAAACTTAGGCGGCGTCGGTCATAGTCGTGGATATAATGGAAGCACAAAGTGAAGTTGTCCTAGTTCTTTAAAAATAATGGCAAGATACTCTTGAGGAAATATCTACAAAATTTCAATTCTGAGCCATGTTTAATCGTCTCGCGCATAGGTATAAAGATTTCCAACCTTCGAACAAGCCGGGTTTCAAAAAGGCTTTTAGTACCTACCATAGACCACACACACAGCGGCAGCCTATACAGAAAACTGAACAGTATAATCTGCCCGATTGCCTGCCGTTTGTTGATTTTGAGAGCGACTTCGATTCGTTTAAAACCTGGACTATACTACAGTCTCTCTAAAGGTGATAAGTAGACTACAGGCATGTCCAGGTGTTAAGGTATTTTTACGAAAACGCTATGTCAGGGAACCAGGAGCCTACTGAGAAACGAAATTTCGCCAGTGACTACTCTATTTCATTTCGAACACGCACAGAAAGTTCGGAATCACAAACAATTTTCGTGAACGAATGGAATGAGTCATGTTTGTGAGATCTTTTTGTCTCTACTTTTTAGAACACCAGTTTTAATTGGAAACAATTTTACTTTACGATAACAATTTCGATGATATTAATAGAACCTGCTTTGACAGTGTTAGCCGACTAATTTGTAGAGTTGATGCAATCCAATGATGTTCTAAATTTGTCGTTTAATACGTTGCAGTTTAGGAAATGCAATAATAATAAAAAGTACGGTGTATTTGTTAATTTGACATGCTAATACTCTAGCAGTAATTTTAAGCTTCATTTACAATCATCAATCATCACATAAACATCCGAAAATGAAAAGGTAAAACTTTTTCGTTCGAAAGTGTTGTGAATTAGAGTAGTCTTAGAGGATTTAATTGTTATACTATTTTCGGACGAACATATTTTCGAAATGACTAAGAAACAGAGTAATGAACGTGTGAAATTTCGATCGTCGTTTCGTTTTTCGTTGAAATAGAGTAGGCCTCCAGACAGAGCCGGATTTAGGATTGTGGAGGCCCCGGGCCACTTAGGATTTGTATGCTTGTTAACCCATCGAAATTTTGTTATCTTTTATCCTGTTGTGGAGGCCCCGGGCCACATAGGATTTGCATGCTTGTTGACCCATCGAAATGTTGTTATTTCTTAATCTGTTGTGCAGGCCCCTGGGCCACAGCCCCACCTGCCCTGACTTAAATTCGGCCCTGGCTGTAGGTAAAGGTAAAAGAGAAAAAAAAATATCAAAGGAAAAGATGTTTACTAGTTGGAATTTGAAAGATTTTTTTTTCCGAAGTCTATTGTGGGGGCCCCCCGTTTGTGGATGCCCCGGGGCTTTCGCCCCGGTTGCCCTCCCCTAAATCCGGCAGTGCCTCCAGAGCTCTAATCTTATCCAACTGCAATGACGCCGACGCACAGTGGTCCGGATTTCTAAAATAGTGGACTTAGGATCAAAGTTGCAAATTTCAGCTATTTGTAAAAAAATGTAATTGATAGTAAATTAAATGCTGATTAATATTGTTTGATTAGTTTTTCAAGAAAATTACTCCTTCATACTTTAAAAAAATATTTACGAAAAAAATGTATAGGAGAAAATCTATTTTTTTTTTTCTTGGTAGGTTAGCAAAAGGTAGCAGTCAAACCTCATATGGTGGTTAGGGGCAACACCAACACCAAAATTTTGTGCGTATCCTTGCGGCCTTGGGGCCAGCAAAATTTTAGTTATTTATTTTCATACCTGTTCTTTCTCTACTTATTTTACGCGTTTTCAATTAAAAATAATTTTGAATGTCTTATTTAACAAAACAAATCTTTGTTCGCAAGTTCGCATTGCGAACTTATTAAGATTTGTTTTGTTAAATAAGACATATTGCTGGAGTATTTTGTGCTAATAAAACGCATCTTTTTCGAATCAATAGTTTTATTAAACTTATATCTTATAATGAATTATTAATAAAGTTAATAGTTGCAGTAAAATACAGAATAAATTTAAAGAAAAATAATAAAAAAACATTTTTTTAATAAAATTTTAATTTTTAGTAACTAAAAGTAATTGAAGACATATTAAAACACTTTTTATTTTATTTAAGCATGAAACCAAAATTAAAGCTCATAAATTAACATGGTATATATTAAGCACTAAACATACAATTAGTTCATTAGATCTATCCTGAGGGGATTGGGGATAACGATAAATTTGCGTTTTTTGGAAATTGTTAAGGTTTTATTTTTCGTTTTTCCCAAAAAAAACGAAAGTGTGATCTTATTTTTATCATAGCTTGCTCAATTTTGTTGCTATTAACTTTTTACAGTGCTCATTAGAAAGGTATTTTTTAGGACCCTAACAAATGTTCAGTAAGTATATGTCATAAAATGCATCGGTTTCCCGATAATTAGGTTTGAATACTTAGATTTAAGTACTCGCCGTATAAAATGTGCATACAATAACCTATAGCTCACTTTGTATGAATTTTAGAAGGTTTTTCAAAGTAGGATTTTGTTTGATTTTTTATTAGCTTCAATTTTGGTAATAATATTTTTTTTGTAAAAACTCATAGTCTTTGAGTTATTTATGAAAAACCGCTTTAAAACATGTATTTTTATCACAAACATTACCAACCTTTGATCTTTAACAACTCAGAAAGTATTGATTTATCCTAAAAACTTTATATTATAGTGCCCACTCTAAAGCAGTTCTGTATAGACCATAATGCCTAAGGAAGTTATTCTGCTGTTAGGCATGACAATGTCTTCATAAATATTATTGGAATCTAACTTGAATGCTACTAGCAATTGCAACTTTCTCATAAGATATTTTCATCTAGCATTAAAAATAATACAATTACGATATGTATACAATTTTATTGTTATTAAGTATTTAATTTTTTATTTTATTATATTGCACAGTGTGAGATTTGGGATGAGTTGCGGACACCCTAGTTTTAGCTTTTGTATATACCGAGTAACTGCGGGTTACTTTGACCTAAAATGTGCACTTTTTTTTTCAAATACAATTGTAGCTTCTCTTTGTGATGAATATGTCACGTTTATATCTTTCCATTGTGAACTTTAAAGTATAAGTTATAAAGTTATCATACGCAAATAGGAAAAAATGATATTTAAGGATTCATATATATTTTTTTAATTTTGGGCCAAAGTTGGCCTTAAAGAGGGTTACTTTAGCTCGTTGAGTTTTCTCTGTGAAAAAAAAACTCATTTTAAGCCATGTTGGGGTTAAGTAACTCTTATAACAGATCAGCATTAGTATACTGAATACACAAATGGATATTTTTACCCAAAAATAATTAAGTTAAAGAAAAAAATGTAAACCTACCGAAAACCACAGTTTTGAGAAAGTTTGCGCATGAATTTGCGAACTATTTCAGTTACAAAAAATCCCGCGTTACAATGACAATTTGATACAGGAACGATGTCGGTAAAACAATAGGCTTGCTGAAAATATATCGATGTTTCGATATATCGATATTTTTTGTTCGATATATCGATATTTTTAGCCGATATATTTTGATTCGATATATCGATACATCGATACAAAATAACCAATATCGAAATTCGATCAAAAACGATATTTTTTTTTAATTATTAGCGGCATATCACGATCTAACTAAATTCGTATCTGGAAAAATCGTAACTGAAGCTCAGATTAATGATATTCAACATATCTATGATTTGTGCTGTATTAAGTATTTTCTATGATTTGTA